ACGTTCTTCCCTCCGCCTCTGTTCACTCTGTCTCAGATAAAGACCAGAGTATTATCCCTGGCATATCTGAAGATCAATGGAAGACCCTGGTGTCCTTGCTCAACAACTCTCGCCAAGTCGACACGGCAAATCTTTCGGGTAACCCTTCTGAAACTCCTTGGATTCTTGATACAGGCTGTTCCCAGCATATGACCGGCGATCTATCCTCCTTAAGTGATGTTTGTTCGATTCTGCCCTGTTCGGTGATTTTGCCCGATGGACATAATGTGTTCTCAGTTCAGTCAGGTTCTCTTCGGCTTGGGTCACATCTTCGCCTGACTAATGTTTTGTTTGTTCCGGGCCTTCGCTGCAACTTGATCTCGATTTCTCAACTCTTGGCTGAAAGTGACTGCTTTATTACGTTTGCTCGAACTTTCTGTGTTGTCCAGGACCGCATTACCAAGACGATGATTGGAGCGGGTGAATTAAAAGCGGGGCTATATTATTTCATCAGATATGCGACAAGTTTTGCATCCACTCGAACGAAGGATATTCAGTCATTTGAGATGTGGCATAAACGATTGGGACATCCATCTTTCAAAGTTCTTGCAAAGCTTTCCGGTTTCAGTTTTTCTCATGATAATTGTTATGACAATAAACCTTGTGATGTTTGTTTGCGAGCAAAGCAAACTCGGGCTTCTTTTCCGTTGAGTATCAATAAAACCTCGGAGATTTTTGAGTTAGTTCATTGTGATCTATGGGGTCCTTACCGCTCTCCATCGCTTTCGGGTGCCAAGTATTTTCTCACTATTGTGGATGATTTTTCTCGTGCTACTTGGCTTTTTCTGTTATCTGCGAAACATGAGGCTCCAACAAAGCTTCGACAGTTTGTAGCTCTCATTGAACGACAATTCCGCACATCAGTGAAGAAGATTCGATCGGACAATGGATCCGAGTTCATCACTCTACGGGACTACTTCTCCGATAAAGGTATTATTCACGAGACGTCATGTGTTGGAACACCGCAACAAAACGGACGAGTGGAACGAAAGCATCGTCACATCCTCAATGTTGCGCGTGCCTTATTGTTCCAAGCACATCTTCCTGTCGATTTCTGGGGCGAAAGCGTTCTCACAGCGGCATATTTAATTAACCGCACTCCGTCATTGTTGTTAGATGGTAAAACCCCATACGAGCTTCTTCATGGTCAGTCTCCTAACTATGAACATCTTCGTATTTTCGGCAGCTTATGTTACACTCACAATCAGGATCGCGACAAATTTTCCTCCCGAAGCTCTCGATGTATGTTTGTTGGCTACCCTTCCGGTCAAAAGGGTTGGCGGGTATATAATCTTGAGACGAAGAAAATTTCTGTTTCTCGTGATGTCGTCTTTTGCGAGGATCAGTTTCCATTCTCGGCCTCTGTTCCGGTTTCAGGATCTGCACAACTGTCTTTGCCATCTTCATCTCCTCTACCTGATAATGCTGATGATGATCTCTTGACTCGAGCAGTGCCGATTCTGTCTCCATCTTCATCCCCTGCTATATCTGAGCAAGTTCAAGGGAACTCTGAATTACCCCATCGATCTCAGTCAGGCTCAGTCTCACCGGCCATCTCGAACGACCATGATCTCTCTCCCAACGGTCAATCGTCTTCGTCTGCTCAAGCATCCAGTATCCCTGCTGATCTCGCCAGCAGCTCCACCTCGGTCTCTGCAGCTGATCCTGTCCCAGACCCTGTTGGTCGTGGACATCGACAGAAATTCCAGAATGTTCGCCTCCGCGATTTCGTCACCAACAATGCTCGAGTATTGGGCACAGCTTCCAATATCTCCACCACCCCTTTTCCGATCGGCGACTATGTTTCATACAGTAAACTATTGCCTCATCATCGTGTTTTTGCTGCAGCAGTAACAGCCGAAACAGAGCCCCAACATTACAAGGACGCTGTTCGTTTTGAACATTGGCGAAATGCAATGCATGCCGAGATTGTTGCCCTCGAAAACAATCAAACTTGGACTATTGAAACATTGCCTCCTCACAAGAAAGCCATTGGCTCTAAGTGGGTGTTTCGGGTCAAATATCGTTCTGATGGTTCGATTGAACGATACAAGGCCCGCCTTGTAGTCCTCGGAAACAAACAAGTTGAAGGCATCGACTACAGTGATACCTTTGCTCCCGTGGCCAAGATGGTTACGGTCCGAACTTTTCTGGCAGTTGTTGCTTCCCGAGGCTGGGACGTGCATCAAATGGACGTGCACAATGCATTTTTACATGGCGAACTTACCGAAGAAGTTTATATGAAACTACCTCCGGGTTTCTCCTCTTCGGCTCCGAATCAAGTTTGCCGTCTCCGTAAATCTCTATATGGTCTACGACAAGCTCCGAGATGTTGGTTTGCTAAACTCGGCACGGCTTTACGAGCGTATGGGTTTATTCAATCCCAATCTGATCACTCTTTGTTCGTCCTTGCTAAGCCTTCGCATCGCTTACACGTTTTGATTTACGTGGATGATATTTTGATTACGGGAAGCTCGGATGCTGCCATGCGAGACTTTAAACACTATCTCAGCCAATGCTTTCACATGAAAGACCTTGGGCCGCTGAAATATTTTTTGGGTATTGAGGTTGCTCGGAGCTCTATTGGGATTTCGTTGTGTCAACGAAAATATGTTCTAGACATCCTTGCTGAAACGGGTTTACTGGGGGCCAAACCTGCTTCATTCCCCTTGGACCAGAATCATCGTCTGGCCGTTTCGACTAGCGCACTCTTACCGGATCCTGAGCCATATCGCAGATTGGTTGGTCGCCTCTTGTACCTGCTTGCCACGAGACCTGATCTCACTTATGCGGTCCATGTTCTATCTCAATTCATGCAGGAACCGCGCACGGATCACTGGGCTGCTGCATTGCATGTGGTACGTTACTTGAAACGAAACCCGGGGCAGGGAATTCTTCTTCGCGCTGACTCAGATCTTCAACTCTACGGTTGGTGTGACTCGGACTGGGCTGGATGTCCGCGCTCAAGAAAATCCTTATCCGGCTGGCTTATCCAACTCGGCCAATCCTCGATTTCTTGGAAGTCCAAGAAGCAACACACCGTGTCCTTATCTTCTGCCGAAGCAGAGTACCGCGCGATGGCTGTCGCCACCTGCGAACTCCTCTGGCTGCACGGCCTACTAGCATCTCTCGGTGTCTCCCATAGCTCTCCTATGGTTCTCTATTGCGATAGCCAAGCGGCACTTCATATCGCTGCTAACGACGTATTCCATGATCGGACTAAGCATATCGAGGTCAGTTGTCACTTCCTTCGACATCATATTCTCGCCAAACGAATCACTACTCGTCACGTCTCCACTCTCAACCAACTCGCCGATATCTTCACGAAAGCTCTGGGGAAGAAAGAATTCGACGGGTTTTTATCCAAGTTGGGCATACATGATATCTATGCTCCACCTTGAGGGGGGGTATTGGAGGATATGCATATATATGGAAGTTCTGATTGTATTTCCTTAACTGTTATTTTAGGTTAGACAAAGGATTTGTATATTAGACAAGAATATGTAATTCTCTTCAACACAAGAAATACGAACGCCGTTTCCTTGGCTTAAAATCTCTCTACAAGTTCTGATACGTGACAGTCCCCAACATTCTTATTCACCATTATTAACGAAAAATTGACACAAAATTATCAATTTGCGATGAGAAATGATTTAACACGTCAAATAATATATCAAATTAAAATTTTTATGCATTTTGCACATTTTGTTTACCATATGCACACCACCATCGTACATAGAAATAATGATTCCGAATGGAATTTAATTTATCATTTTCCTGTGATTTTACGTATATGTTTTAAAATAAATATGTCATATATTTATTGATAGGATTAAGACCGAGAGCGGTTGTCTTAAAGGCGACAAAATACTTTTAATTCATGTGATTTTGTTTGGCTCCTAATACATTTCTTATATTTTCGAGCAAATAAAATATTTATTTGTATTTTAATTTTTTTTATTTAGTTATGATAATATTCTGTAAAAGAATTCAAATGAGAAAGTGGAAGATTCAATTAAGAAAAAAAAAAGAATTGTGTTTAATATTTGAGGAACAAGAGAGTGGAACCATGGGGTTATGGTAGAGAAAGTGACTTTTCCTTTGAAAATACAAAAGAAAGGACGAATTACAAAGGCAAAGTCTCTTTCGGAATTTATTCCTTACATAATAGAGAAATAAAATTACATGTATTTATCAGCTAGAAAAAGAAATTGTAAAATGCCACTCAAGTTTATTCCTCTATCTATTTGATACCAATTTCTATATTTGATCCTACAAATTTTGAAGTTTTACCAATTTAGACTATAAAATAGTTTTATCTATCTAATCAAATGAAAATATGGCGGAAATATGGAATTCAAATATTATAAAAATCAGGCATATATTTGAAAAATTAATAATAATAATAATAACGAAAATTGACATAAATCACCTTCGAAATTAGGTTGAGATACATTTAATGATGCCCCAAATTGCAAGTAGCTAGGCTTAAATAAGAACGAAGAAACAAATATAGGATTAATAAAATTATTGATTAAATAAATATGCTATTGTATAGGTCTTTTAAACAATTTTCGTGTAATATATCTAAATAGATTATTTTCTATATTTGATATCTGAATTAGGTTTTGAATATGACCATCTTGTTAGGAATATTTTAGATTGGAATTTTCCTGAATATTACTCAAAGTCTAAACGTGTTTAGATGTTTAGTATAATCTCGTTGTTGTTATTCAATCGAATCATTTGGAAGTGAGTCCATACAAAAAGAGTAGTACACGAATATGTTTTATTATTTAATTTCCAAAGCGAGTGTATAAAATAAAGTTATAAATGCTCTCTATTTGATATTTCCCCTCTAATCAATTAATAATATGTTTATATCCTGCTCTATTTAAAAATATAAAATATATGTATGTGTGTGTATAAATGTTCTTTACTCTTCCTCCCAATTCTCATTCTTGAAGAACTCTCTCTCTCTCTCTCTCTCTCTCTCTCTCTCTCTCTCTCTAAATGGAAACCAGTCCTAAAGCATCCAAGAATCAAACCCATAGCAACCACCATCATCATAATCCCTCATCATCATCGCCGTCGTCATCATCATCATCATCCAGATATGAAAGCCAGAGCAATCTCCATAACCAGAACGGCATTATGTCCATCAACTCCATCATAATCATCATCATCTCCATAATCTCCATCTCCATCCTCTTCGCCATTCTTCTTATAATTCTTCTTCTTCACCGGCTTAAATCCACAAGAGATAAATCAAAGAACTTAGATTGCAAAGAAAACTGCAACAATGGTGGAACCTTCATTCCCACCAATTCCGCCAACAATAGCTATGCTTCTAGCCCAGGTAAATATCTCAAACACACACACACACGCATATACACGCATACATACGCACATATATATGGACATGTACACACACATACATATGTACAAAGGTCTGAAGAAAGAAAATTATCATTTTTATCGATTTAAGCAAATCCGTCTTCTGACACGTTATATATATATATATATGTATATATACGTTCATAGATCTCTCTCCTCAATAGATCACCATCCTCTGCAATAATCAACATGATCATCACAATATCCCCTTCAAAACCGCTAAAAGACCCTCGAAAGCCTTCCATGAATGTCTCATTCCATCATTCAAATTCAGAACTATATATATATACAAAAAATGGATTTCTGACAGATATCAAGACGGATTGCCTATATCCAAGAAACGCGTCATCATTCAGACAGCTTCAACAGCAACAACAGCAACGGGGACGGAGGAAAAGCCGTGCCGAAGGAGTACAAGTGTTCACATACCGAGAGCTAGAGATCGCGACCAACAATTTCAGCGAAGAAAACGTGATCGGAAGCGGAGGATATGGAGTCGTATACAGAGGAATACTGAGTGATGGAACTGTTGCAGCCATTAAGAGGCTCCACATGCATAACAATAATGATACTGGCAATGGAAAGCATGAGGAGCGCTCCTTCAGGCTTGAGGTTAGTTCCCACTTCTTTTCTTCCCTTATCTTTTTATTAACCTTTTTTCTTTTTTTGAATCTCCATATTGTCCTATAAGAGATACAAGAGAATATATACATACATATATGCATGCATATATATATATATACACACACACACACGTGTGAGTGTTTTTATATAGTATATGATACATATATACATGCATATAGTTTGATGGTGTAAATTTTTTGGGTCCAATCACTTTTCAGAATTCCTTGAGTTAAAACATTTGCATTTTCGATTACATGTGAATATCTGGTATCATATAGTTGGTCCCGAAGTTGAATTTTATGGAAGACGTCAAAATAACGTTATTAAAGAAAACTTTCATTAATTTAAATATCGGTCGCTTGGACTGTAAGTAGTCAGATACTTTGGCATTTAGTATGCATTAATACATGAATCATTGGTATTGGTTTCATAAAATTAATGACAATACCAAACTTGTATCCTCCCAGTTTGATTCATCTGTCTGAAAACCCTAATTTCTTTCCCATACATCTCCAAATTATCTTGAGAAAAGATAAGTATAGGTAATTGGATGAATTTATATGAAAATCATAGGATTGCATTGAAAAAACAGGAAATATACCATTCTATTCTTTTTTAAATAATTATTCTAAGAATATAAAGTTAGGGCACATTTCGGTTCAGTTATATAAAAACTGAAGCAATACAAACCCAAAAATAGATAATTATGTTCAAAGCAAAAATCGATACCAAAATTAAATAAGCATATTTTTTTATACAATTAAATTAACCAAAATAATCAAATATAAATTATTTTTTTTGAAAGAAACTACAAAATTTATTACAAAATAAAAAAATTTACATAAAAATTGAACATGAAGCAGAGTGAAATAGAATCCAAATCAATCTCAAATACATCATAAAAAATAATACATATTTTTATTAAATCGAAAACAAATTAAACATTTAAATAAACCAACAAGAAAACTAGTGTGTATGCATTTATATAACTACAAGTCAACCAAGTTATTTGCTCTTTTTTTTTTTATATATATACGAATGATGTATTTAGTTGTAGTGAAGTAAGCTTTGTTTCATTTCTAAAAAGACTTGTGTATGTCCATAACTTGCATTTGTCTTATTCACACTAAAATACAATACTTTTGCACATGGAGATGAAGGAAAAAGAGATAAGGCTCTTTATTACATATATAGGTTCTACCACACTTGTGTGGTCAATCTCTACAAAAATATAAACAGGTTGACTATAAATTATAATCAAAATGCCATCTTCTTCATAATCATAAACCAGTGAGATATATATATATACATATATATATATCATTCTTATGTTATTACTATATATGCATGCAGGTGGATCTAATGAGCCGGTTACAATGTCCATATTTGGTGGAATTATTTGGTTATTGCGCCGATCAAAACCACAGGATTCTGATATTCGAGTACATGCCTAATGGTGCTCTTGAACATCATCTCCACGGTCATGACCTTGTTAAAAAACCCGATAATCAATCTCAACCGTTGGATTGGGGAACCCGGCTAAGGATCGCCCTTGATTGTGCCCGTGCCCTCGAATTCCTGCACGAATTCGCCTTCCCGGCCGTGATTCACCGTGACTTCAAGTGCACCAATGTCTTGTTAGATCAGAATTTCCGAGCCAGGGTTTCGGATTTCGGATTGGCCAAGATGGGTTCGGATAAAATCAACGGTCAGATTTCAACTAGGGTTCTTGGGACCACAGGGTATCTAGCTCCGGAGTAAGTAATGTTTTCATTTTGTTGTCGTCATATTATTGCTTTCTATAAATATATATTTATATACATATACATATTTTTTATAATATGATGAACATTTCATGAAATGGGCATATCAATACCGTCTCTGGTCACAGTGTAAGCTATCGTTTTCATGGCTAATAAACACCATACCAAGTCACCTGCAAACTTGGACCTTGGTTGTTATGCCACATTAAATATCCATCCGTGAAAAGGGAGTACAAATGTAAAAATATATGCCAATTCACTTCCCCTCCGAGAATTTTTTTTTTAAAAAAATAATAATAATTTCATTTTCATTACAAATATAACTATATTAATTTTTTTTTCCAGATATGCTTCAACAGGAAAAGTTACAACCAAATCAGATGTTTATAGTTATGGAGTTGTGTTGTTACAACTTCTAACCGGTCGTCCTCCTATAGATTCCAGACGACCTCCCGGGGAAGATATTCTCGTGTCTTGGGTAAGCATATATACTCACCTTTTATCTTATTTAAAAAAATATAAATTTTGTATATTATATATATATATATATATATATATGAAATCAATTCCATTCAGTTTTGTATAAAATATATATTTTGAAATATCGGGGGTATTTGTATAAAAAATTTTAGATTCTCATCATAGAGAGTGTGTATAAGTTCAGGCTCTTCCAAGACTAACCAACAGAGAAAAAGTGAGTGAGATGGTGGATCCAACCCTAGAGGGACAATACTCGAAGAAAGACCTTATTCAGGTAAAAATTTCTTGTTTTGATGTGGCTCATATATAGATGATCAATAAACTATTATGAAATAAAGAACTATAGTATTATTTGAAACCTGATACACGTGGATATACACATATAATTAATTAGATTTTAATATGATAATAACGTATGGTACATGTGTGTAATAAAATGAAAACAGGTTGCGGCAATAGCAGCAGTGTGTGTGCAAGGAGAAGCGGAGTACAGACCATTGATGACAGATGTCGTCCAGTCACTCATTCCTCTTGTCAAAACCTTCAACCAAAACTCTGGTTCTTGTAGGTTTCATTCTCCTACTTCCACCTTGTCCTAATCTCTCTCTCTCTATACATATATATATATATATATGAAATCCTTGTTTTCTGTTTTTTTTTTGTTTTAATTTATGTTTCGGTGGTTTCGCTATGTTAATCTGCAATATATATATATATATATATAATATAATATAATGGATCATCATTTTACGAAAACTTTCCATCTTAGTAATTGAAACCTCGGAGAATGATTGTGTTAAGGAACGGATAATTACAAGATAGAGAGAATCTTTTAAAATAAACAGTTATATGTTTGTTACATCTAATTTAAAATAATTTTGGGGTCTAAGAGATTTGATTTTATGAAAAAATCAACTAATAAATAGGATGTGGTTTTGCATGGGTTTGTATAATAACATTTTTAGCGCTATTAAAATTGCACAAATATATATAATTTTAATAATATCCCTAACGATAGTTATCTACGCCGCTCGATTGTGATGATGGCGTGATTCATAAATTACAATGGTAAGGGCTTATGGGCCCAACAGTAACATGGCTAAGGCCCATTAAAGCCCATCAATCTTGCACCTAGTTCGTCTATTACAGTTTTATTTTGCTTTTTTATTCTCGTCTTCTACATTTATTTTTATTACTTTTATGGATATAGAAATAAAGGTTATAAGTATTTTTAATTAAAATATAAATTTTAAGTGCATATATTCTTTTCATTTACGGATATCTTCACCTAGGCCGCAGGAGCACATATTTTCTATTACTTTCTCGATAAATGGACAGGCGCCAATTTCGCGGGATATTACACGGTGAATACCAGTTATTTCGAGTCAAATACGACTTTCATTTTGTAAAATTTATGACTGTAAAGAATGCTTAAGAATTAATTAAAAGGTTGTCGATTCGTTTCTGGGCTTATATTTTTTTGTATTATCGTTGTTGCATTTATTTTTTATTATTAATAATTCATTAATATTCGATATAAATTTCATGGTGAAAGGTTTGAAATTAGAATTAGGGTTGTACGTTTCGGAATTCGGTCCGAAATTTTACCAATTCGGTTCGGTAATGATTTATTCAGTAATTTAAAATTTGTATCAAATTAATACCATATATTATTCGGTTAGATTCGGTTCTGGTTTTAGTACATTTCGATTTTTATTAAAAAATTAAGATTTTTTTAAGAAAATTTTGGTTTTTCAATAATTTTATAAAGTTCGGTTCGGTTCTAGAAAATTCGATTTTATAAATAAAAAAAATATACCGTTCAAAAATTTTGAATGGTATGATTCGAGAAAAATATGGAGATTTTCTATTCGATACGATTTCTGAGAACCGAATGTCTACCCTACTTAATTAGAACTCGTTGGCTACTTTAAAACTTTGAAGCAACAATGTTAGAACCCAAACAGCACAAATCTCATATCATAATAAGAAGGAAAGGGAAGACAAGGCTTTTAAGTAAAATAAAACACCAATCTTGCTTGTATTGTCTTTTCCTATTTCCACAATCCAAAAGCAAAGAAAATCTCTATAAGATTTTCCAATAAATCAAAACCCTAATTTAAACCCATCTCTCATCATCTCTTCCTATACAAAACCCTAAAACAAAGAAGAAGAAGAATTAGCTAATGGGCGTCACCATGTTACAAATCTTCTATGTTTCCGTACTCGTTTCCGTATTTTTACCGTATGCAGATTCAGTAAACTTCAATTACCCAACGGTCTTCAATTTCGGAGATTCGAATTCCGATACGAGCAATCTCGTTGCCGGCCTCGGCGTCCGGCTCGATCCTCCTAATGGCCAAAATTACTTCAAAACTCCTTCGGGAAGATTTTCCGACGGTCGTCTTCTCATAGATTTCCTAAGTAAGATGTTTTGTCATTTAAGACATATTTCACGATATTATTCTTACTGTTTCGGATTTTACGTGTCCTAAACATCGTTAAAATATCGTAATCAAATGAAATGCTATAACCTAGCTTACCTAACGAAACTTTGTTTGGTGCCAAATCATTCATATTTATAAATTCGTTAAGCTTATACATTTCCTTGAGAAGGAAGCAAGTATCCAACAAACATACCAACCAAAATCATATCATACGTTTCATGATTTATTTCATTTTTTTGTAACGGAAACGATTTTTCAATTTATACATTTTTGCATCATCATATCATATATAATACATACATGTATATATGTATATAAGTAGCTATGAACTCTTATTCTTGTTTGTTACCTACCTTATGGCTCCAATTTCAAACAATCTCTTTGGTCTCTTCGTCCTCCTCTCTTTCTTCTCGCATCCGGTTCTCTCTATATCTCTAAAATTTCCGGCGATTTTCAACTTTGGGGACTCGAATTCCGACACGGGAAATCTCATATCGGCCGGGATCGAGAGTCTAAATCCTCCCCACGGCCAGTCCTATTTCAAGATTCCGTCAGGGAGATACTCTGATGGCCGTCTTATTGTTGATTTTCTAAGTAACGTTTCTCTAACATCTTTTTACGACAGTCATGTTTGGTTGAATTTCGATTCCATGTTTTCGAGTTTTCTTTGAACGATATATGTCTAAACTGGAATTCGTCGGTTTGGCTATCGGTTTTTCCCAATCGATTTCTAAATTCAATATTTATTTAAATCATCTTAGGAGCGAAACAAATCCGAGTTTTACGAGTTTGTAACCGGTGGTGTGTATATATATATATAACGTGATAGATATCGTACATACCATATATATTATGTACCATTGCTTTGAGTAATTCATAATGTTTTATCTTAAGGTAATGTATTGTCATGTGTATGTTTTGGTATGCAGTGGACGCAATGGACATGCCGTTTCTGAATGCGTATCTGGAATCGTTAGGGTTACCAAATTTCAGAAAAGGTTGCAACTTTGCAGCAGCAGGATCCACCATTCTCCCTGCAAACCCTACCTCTGTCTCTCCCTTCTCTTTCGGCGTCCAAATCTCTCAATTCCTCCGGTTCAAGTCAAGATCTCTTGAATTGATTGCAAAACCAGGTTTGCAGCTTAACTAAACCGATCAATTTCTCCGGTTCGCGTATGTTTCTTTCACGAAGATCGCTAGAAGGGATCTTCTGTTACCAAGCAAAAGTACTATATATATCGCCCGGTGTCATGTAGCTTAATTAAAATGATTAAATCTCTTAAAAAACGCTCTATTATGTGCTTAACTTATATTTTCATTGTTAGAGAAATGTTGGACCCCGGCCCTAATAGAACAAGAGAAACTGGAATAGTAAACACAGATGATAACATATATACCCACAACATACATGTATCATGTATGTATACACATGTGTTTATATGAGCGAGCATATACATGCATATATATATGTGGGAGATTCGAAATGTGTCAAACTATTTGGTGAGACGTTGGTGTATGTATAAGATATGATGTGGATATATAAATATACATATTATAAAGCTGGGGATTGTGTGATGATTGAAATTGAAGGAAGGAAGTATGAGAAGTACGTGCCAGCAGAAGATTACTTTGGAAAGGGGCTATACATGATCGACATTGGCCAAAACGACATCGCTGGTGCCTTCTACTCCAAGACTCTCGACCAACTCATCGCTTCTTTTCCCTCCATTCTTGAAGAGTTTGAATCTGGACTCAAGGTATACGTCTAGGGTTTTCCCTTATATAACATACGTACAGATCTCGTTAGATTATTGTATATACAGTTCTTTCATTTCTCTTTCCTATTACTCTAGAAGATATAATTGTAGTAAGGTTCGGTTAACTTTCGAATTATAAAAAAGAAAATCTCTTTAACCTCGTCTATCGTCTACACGGTTATAATAGTTCTCGTTAAGTTATTATTTGGTCCTTTCACATTTTTTTTCCGTATTATTTGATTTTTATTTCATTATCGGGACGAATATTTGGTTTCAAAAGATCTAAACTCATGTTTGATTTGCAGAGGTTGTACGAACAAGGAGCTAGAAACTTCTGGATACACAACACAGGTCCACTAGGGTGTTTGGCGCAAAACGTTGCAAAGTTCGGAACAGATCCATCGAAGCTTGATGAGTTCGGTTGCGTCAGTGGCCACAACCAGGCAGCCAAACTCTTCAATCTCCAACTCCACGCCCTCTCCGCCAAGTTTCGAGGCCAATTCCCCGACTCCAACGTCACTTACATCGATATTTTCTCGATCAAATCCAATCTCGTCGCCAATTATTCCCGCTTCGGTACGTATATATATCTCAAATACTCCACCCTTTCTACCAATTTTCTCATACTATCTTATGATCTATATTTTGTAGTTATTGACCACTCTTTGTTATATCAAGCTAAATCGGACCGAACCAATCCTCTGACAGACCGACCCATCATAGTATATATGATCGGCATTTGTCGTATTTGCAGGTTTTGAGCAGTCGATAATGGCGTGTTGTGGAATCGGAGGACCGCCATTGAACTATGACAGCCGTATCTCTTGTGGCCAAACCAAGATCTTGGATGGAAACCCGATTACGGCCACAGCTTGCAACGATAGTTCCGAGTACATAAATTGGGACGGAATTCATTACACCGAAGCCGCTAACCAATTCGTTTCATCTCAAATCCTAACCGGAAAATATTCCGATCCCCCATTTTCTGATCAGATGCCATTTCTTCTAACTTTGAAATTCTAATCATTGTTTATTTTTTTCATGTTATTGGCTTTTGACATTGAATAAATTAACCCGCATTATTTGGAGACTTGAACCGAATACCGATTCGATCTTAAATCTCGGTAGCAGTAGTTAGGGTGCATAACCGAATTAGGTAACTTATTGTAACATATACAATTCAAAACCGGCTCAGTTATATAGTTACCAAACCGGTTTGGTAATGTAAAACGAAATTGGTTTTCTACTTTTTAGAGACATAAGCATAGTATTGAGCCATGGGGACAACGAAGGCAATGACAAGCAACCCTCCGACAACAAGACTGAACTGTCCTCTCTTCTCATCTGTTTCTTCTCTTGTTTTGAAGTTAGACTCTCTCTTGTTGTCCTTTAATGTCGGCCCCCCAGGGTCCGGGAGGCCATCGATGGCTGCCACCAGCCGCTTTGCGCTGCTATAGACCGCCTCGTTATATTTCTCTTCCGTTGCCAATACTGAAACCTCACAAATTTTCAAACGCTAATCAATCGTATCGCAATTCAATAACCGTGACTAAGGAAAACTTATTAACCTCTCATTTCTTATTTTCAAATAGAAAACACTTTATTCTCACAATTTATTTACAATGTTATTATTAACCACTTGAAACGTTATTACTCTCTTTTTTAGGTTTTGATTCCGGAATCGGTTAATATTACCGTTCTAAAATCTTTTCGGAGTTGAAAACTGAGCTGATAGATATTTGCCTGTAGAAAACCAACAGAGTGGCCGCACGTAAGACCGGAAAACAGTTCAGTCTTGGTTGCAGAAATGGATGGCGTTGATCATTTATCTTTCGATTATTTATAAGATTAAGATTGAGATTATTCACAGGATTAAGATTGAAGTAAGCTAACCAGAACGGAACCAAAACAATCTCGAATCACTGGGTTCGAGTTTCAGTTTCGATTCCAGTAATGGTTTTCAGAGTTAACCCCCATTAACTAATTACCAGACCGTGGCAATATGGTTCAGTCTTAGTTTCTAAACGTTGAAAAGTTAACTGATTCCGGTTTCAGTTTAAGTTACAGTTTTCACAATCGAACCAAACCATAACTAGTTAACCGAGAATCTTCCCGGTTAAAGTTTCACCCTGTAATATATACGCTTTCCCCGTTGATCCAGCAAGAATTTGGAACCGGTATTCCTACCGAATAGCTTGTATACGGGAAAAAGAAACTACTTACCGGGAAGATTATCTGAGACAGTTGAATCAAGAATGTTTTCGCCGATGGCTTGGATAAAGGCAGGACCGCCGGTTATCGCTCCCTCCTTCTGGCTCGTGATCAATACCACAATGCCTTTGTTGTTGCCTTCTTCAACCGTCGGGTACCAACGTTCCAACACTTGGTCGGCGTACTCAAACGCATCTGCTTTGCTCTACAAAAGCGGAAAACCGAAATACCAAACGATTCAACATTGGTATAACAGATCAAAAGCATTTAACCTGACCAATATTTGTGAAACGTTTCTAAACCAATGTACCGAAACCATAACTCGACAATCACTCGGTTTCCAGTTCCACAGAGTTCGTTTATAAATAAGGATGTTAATCGGGACTCACGGTTAGCTTCCGAACAGTGATGAAATTGATCCTCAAGTTCTTCCTCGATTCAAGATCAGACAAAAGCCGTTTGAGATCTGATTTCGTGACCCGACTTAGAACACCAGCATCATCGACGACATAAGATTCCTTCGGCGGGCCTTCGTTGAGGACATCGAACTCCGAGGCCATGGCAATGTCGCCGCCATTGATGTGAAGAGCAGGGGAAAAGCTCAGAGCCAGAGAGAGAGCAAGAGCGGCGAGGCCTTGCTTCGCATCGGTTAACCAATTTCTCGGTAGGGAAGATTCTGATTCCGGTTTAGCGAACCGGGCGGATATGGATTTCTGACCGGACGAGATGGGCTTGCAGAAAGAGAAGGAATTTGAGGTGGGTTTGGTCTGCTGAGGAGAGTGGAGTTTTGGGTTGAGTAGTGGAGGAGAGAGGGAGTGAGGAGAGAAAAGAGTTTCCATTTGGGGGGAGAGAGAGAGAGAGAGAGAGATTTTCAGAGGAAGAAGATGAAGAGGGGGAGATTTTCATGCGTTTTCTCTCTCATTTTCTGGCTTCTGCTTGGATGGATATGAGTGGGGAATGAGTGTGTGGATAACGTTTTCCCAGGGCCATGCAAATGGTTCGAGGGTGTTTTCGTCAATTACGTGTCCTCAAGTTCCAGTTGGGCCGTGTGGTTCCTTCGGCCATGGACCCTAATGGTTTGCAATTTATTTATAAAAAAAAAAAAAAAAAAAAAAAAATGTGTGAAAATATAACAACTTCGAATTTTTTTTTTTTAGAATATATACACACTCTGAATTTGTGTCGAATACTCACGTAACCGGCGTTAGATAATTAACAGAATTTGGTGACGGTGTCTGAAGCGATTCTTCGTTTCTCCGATCATCCGCCCTAATTCACACTACTGGCAATTGAAAAACCCTAATTCACTGGTGAGGAAACGACTCCCTTAAATTGAAATTTTCCTTGTTCAATTCGAAACCCTAGCACGTAAATTAACCGCAAAATTAACTGCAGGAAATACCGTGGCTTTGTTGACGAGGAATACAGCTTCCTGCTTGATCTGAGAATCAGCATCCTCGCTCTTCGCGATCCGCCGAATCCGATTCATAGGAAACCTAAACATCTTCGCATTCTTCGCGCCTCCGCCGCCGGCATCGTCCCGCCACTCTTCCCGTTACGATCACTTCTTCCGTTGCTCCTATGAATATTCTCTCTCCCCCCTCGACGTACGGCGCCGCCGTTCACCTTATTCTGCCTCTGTCTCTTTTTCGTCTTTCCGTTGGCGGAGGCGTTACTCTCGTCGCGAGCATTCCTTGGCCCCTCTCTCTCGTTCCCCGTCTTCTTCCTCCTTTAGAAGACGGACGCCATTATCTGTTCGTTCTCACCCGATGCAAAATGGATGCCTTCAATTTGGGCTTTTATTTTGGGCCGATGGGCTAAGTAATTGGAATTTTGGGTCCATCGAAAAACAATTGCCAAGATCAATAATTTTCATTTGGTAAATCATATATATTCATGACATTATATTATATTAATATATTGGGTTCGCGAAGTCATGAAGGATCCACAGTGGTTACCCGTTTAATTTCTTCCGTATCTTTATTTATCTACTTTCCTATTTCGTGTTAAATAACAGTGGCTTTTAAGGGAGAAGAAATAATATAATACAATATCTTATGTTAAGAGTATTCTAATGCCTTAACGTAAAAGGCAGGCATCAGATGCCCCAAGAATTATCCCAAACTTGCTTCTTCCCCTTTCTTACAAACCATCTTTTTCTTCATCAATAGATCAACGGGTTCTGTTCTTCATCATTTGCCAAACGCATAAGCCATTAAAAAAAAAAAAAAGGCGAGATTTTTTTCCGGTAAGAGATGGCGAGGAAAGATCGTAGATTGTTTCGAACCCTCGACATTTGCAGACAGCTATACGATTTCTTGGTGAAACTTATAGCAAAACAAGCCCTGAAAACGGTGTCGCTGGGCCATCAAGTGCCACGTGGAGAGGTCGGACTAGCCATTGGTCCTAAAGGTGGACCGTCTCGTGATGATCTAAGCTCTGATACCAAATGTAACGAATCACAAATAATAGAAAATGGAAGAAAATTAGGGTCGGGCGGGTTGGAAGGAAAAGATCTAAGGAAGAACGTGAGCATAAAGGACGAAGTCGAGAACATACCGATAAGTAAGAGGAGAATCAAGAGGAAGAACTCGACCGAGAGGTTCAGCTCGTTTGAGCACGAGGATATGTCTCCGAAGCCTTTGAGACCAATTCTGAAGCAGGATTCCGATCTTAAGTAAGATTGTATGTGCGTCAATATGATCGAACTAATTTTATATGCAATTAAGAAAAACGTTACGTACACATCATGTTTTCGAATTGATTGGAAGTTAATCGATTGAATATTTCTTTTTATAAGAAATCGGTTGAATATTGTATACAATTGGTTGATTGTTGGTATGCATCATATTGAATATGTTTATGTGAAACCCTCATCCGGTCGTAGAAATTCGTTATATAGTGTAACGATATATTTAAAATTTAAATTCGAAGTAAACAATAGACAGAACAGTAGACGTCTAAAACCGGCTCCCATATTATGCAAAGACTAAATAGAAACAATAAATTGCTAAAATTTATATATTTCAAAAATTTTACATCACCAAAATAAACGCATATTTCATTTAATTACTAGTGAGTTATAAATATTGACGCATTTCCAATGGATAGAATGCGTAGAAATAAATAAGAAAAAGGTTTTTTTTTAAAGTTTGCATTATTCCGTAAACACCATTTTTGAAATATTTTTCTTCACCCTTTTATTTTTTAGTTTTGTCTTCATTTTGGCGACAGCCACGTACATGTCGAAACCCTCATCTGGTCGTCACGTATCTTTGCCTCCATAACTGCATACTGTGATTATGATGGTATGGTGGATGGCATGGATGATGATGATGATCATGGTCATGATGATGATCACTGCTCATCACAACCTCATGATATGTCTTGTACCTCCATTCTTCATCGACTCCATCATCATCATCATCATCATCAGTATTATTTTCGTGTTCTAGTCTATCCTCATCAACGTTTCCATTACCGCATAGATCCACGATGTGATCAGATTTTCCATGTGATGAATCTCCATCTTCATCGATCTCTTTTTGATGTGTAGGAGATTGGTATATATCATCATCATCATCACCATCACCATCACCATCATCATCATCATCATCATTAAGATGTTCCGAAATTGATGTATCCACATCGTTGTTGAATTCTTGATCGTCACATTCATCTTGAGAATCTCTAAGATCTTGGAAGTTATAATCATAAGCACTTGCAGGGTTATCAGCAGCCTCCACAAGATCCAATCTCAGCCGTCCATTTTCACGTGAAGTACGGAGAATCTCTGGCCGTTGGATCGAAACCTGACTGATCTCCAATCTCCCATCTCTCCTCACCTGCCGGAGATTAAACCACCGCCTCCCTCCTCCGTCGGCTAACGAAGTCAGCAGCGGAGGAAATGTCTTTTTCTTCTCCCTCTCCGCCGTATTCTCCTCCCTTCTCCTCTTCCCGATGGCTTCCGCCTCCTCCGCCGCATGACACGCCATCATCCCACTCTCTACCGCATGACACGTCGTACCGTCGGAGACCCTCGTTTCGTCGTAGCTCTCGAACCCTAGACACTCCGTACACGACATCAGACCGTCCGGATCTATCATCTCCGGCAACATACGAGAAACTCCGGCGACGGAGAACTCAAGAACATGAGATGAACTCATCGGATTTAACAAACCGAGACCACAGTTGCACGGCGGCGAGTCACCATCCTCCGTCGAAATGGACCCGGCGGAGCTTGCGTCGGCGTTCAGGTCGAGGAATGGGTGAAAACTTCGTTGTAGAAGCTCGTCATGTTAACACACGTTATGGAGAGATGAAAGGGTCACAAAGTACTTAAACTATACATATATATATATACACACACCACATACATATGTACTGCAAACACGAAGATCGAAACAAGCGGTTCTTGCTTGGTGAGGGAAGTGCCACCGAACGAAGTGAGCTGTAGGGTTACAGCTGAAAACGGCAGAAGGGGTCCCACGCCAGATCACTCCTCGATATTTCACTTCTTTATATGTATATATATTCCTTCTCTTATCTTCTATTTTCTGAGAATCTGAATTTCAAGAACTTATAATATAAACTAATTTAGGATTTATCCTATCATTTGTCTATTTATGGCTTTGGATTTTTCATAGTGTTACCCAATATGTTAAGCTCATGTTTATCCAACCAGATGGATATTTGGATTTGGATGAAACTATTAAGCTCTTTCTATTTTCTTGTAAACATTATATGGAAAAATAGTGCCTGACTTGTAAAAAAGAGTCTAAAATAAATTCTTATTTTAGAAAATAAAAAGGAATTTAAGTATTACTCGTGTATTATTCAATTCAATCTCCAGAGATGTACTATATATAATACATTGAAATTTTATTCCTTAAATGTATATATATTCCTTCTCAACTATTTTTCAGGTATTCTATATAGAATATGATTGACATAAATGGGACGTTGTATGGGATGAATCTGAATATCAAAGGTTTAAATGATGATAGTTTTTATTTTGACTTTTTTGTTTTTGTTTTTTGCTTTTTCGATTTTTGTAATATTTGTAAATCTAAAAAAAAGGAGTTTTTAGTTGATTATTTTCACTAAAAAAATTTTTTGGATTTTAAAAAAATCAAATTTATAAAAACTTAATTATTATTATTTTTGGATTCCAAAAACTCTAAAAACCCATTATATTCATATTCTAAATGTAAATTTGGGCTTTCATTATACCCATGAATATGGCAAGCTCGCTAGTGGGAAAATATCTCGCCCATTAGTGTTAATAGATCACCAAATGGAAGCCTCTTATATATTTAACTTAATCCATGATTAATCAAACTTAACCCCACATAGAAAAAGCTTTTCATTGGTGGATCGCCCGCTAATGGAAGGTTTAACCTTTCATAACCAACCATTAACCGAAAGTGAAAACCACAGTAAGCCACATCACCTTCAAATGGCGTACGCTTCTTTCGGAAGGCCGTACGTTGACTTTTTGTAATTAAGCACGTGAATACTTTTCCTTCGACTCATGCATTTCCGTAATATGTTATTTTTCCTTTATATATAATATATATACTTTTCCTATATATATATATATATATATATATATATATACATGGACTAAGTTTCTTTATCTCACTCCCCGTCCAAAAAATCTCCGTTTTGTCAAATCCATTCCATCAAAATGTTTTTCTCTAGAATCTAATTTCATTTTGGCATAATAATTTCGAAATAATTTTATGAAATGTTAATCGGGTCGGGACGACAAATTATTCACATCTCTGGCTCGCAAAAGGAAATTATAAAATTTTATTCTCTTGAAGAAATTTGGTTTGAAAATTAAGTTTTAAATGTAGACACGCAAAGACGTGCACATATATAAGCGACGAAATTCAGGTATATGAAACGTTGTCGGCCCATATATATAGAGATTTGAGATCCCATTTCTGATATGAAAAAATACGCATACTAAAAGTCATTGCTTCATACATATCCTTGGATAATATCTCATTGGTATTATTTTACATTATAACACCCACCATGGATTACCGTATGCAAATATTTTTTTTTTAATCTCAAAACTTCTGCATTAAATTACGAGTGATAAACATTATTTTCATAATAGATCTTCGGGTTATAAAACCAAATTGATTAACAGGAATAGATATTATCACAACGTAGACGCTACTCCACAACCCGTTCTCACAACTTCATGATATGATTCATGAGTTTGATCCCTATACAATTTGCGTTACTTTAAATATCTCTCTTAATTTTTAAAATAGAGATCAATGTATTTCCGTCTTCGTTGGTTTGGTATCTTCTTTAAGATTAGGATCTTATTAAATAATCTAGTAAATCAATTTACCCCACATCTCTTGATCACTTCAATTTTTCGACCACATCTTTTACATATTTTAATTTTTTCTTTAACTAATTTTTTGTAGAAATATAAAATTGCAGAAATTAAATAAGAAACAAAGACAAATAAAAAAATAATAGAATTACTTTATTGTTCATTTCTTCTTCTTCTTGTTCCATTACAGTGAAAATAACTTATATATTTATAAAAAAAATTAACAAATAAAAAAAATATAGATATAACAGAAATAAATATGTTACAGAATATTTAACATAATATTGTATTTTTTATTATTGAAAATAATATATCAAAATCTATATTTTCCTCCAATCACATATTCATTTTCCTATTTCAACATTTTTAACCGGAAGACATCTAATCCTTCTAAAGTAGTTCACATATTTCTGTCTCTAGTCCTATAGGAATATCACTACGTGTGCTAATATTGTAAAGCAACTTTTCTACCTCTCGTGATATCTTCATATATACCTAACTAGAATATTACATTTTCTACCCTCAATATTATAATCAGTGTTTATTATCCGAAGAAAAAAGATACGTGAGCATTGCCACAAATGGCCTTTCTTGTTGACAAAGTAAATCTGTTGAATTTATTTTCAGATCCAAAAATCGTTTTTGGGTCTAATTCTTGTGGATAAGAAGGGACCACGACTCCTTCTATATATATATAATACACACACAAACGTACACACAAAGACGTGTGCATACATTTATAAATCTCTGTTTTCTCGTAGAGCAGGAGAGAAAGCAAAGTAAATCTCTTATATTCACCAGTTTCAATGATCTGCATTTTCTCGGGAAACAAACAGAGGGAGCAAGAAAACATTTAAGAAACCAAAAAAGACTCTGGCCGTCACTAGAGATCGATGGAGAACGAACTCGTCATGACGATGGCGATGAGGAAGTCTTTGCTTAGCCACAAAGACGGCAACGATGACGTCACCGCCGCCTTGTTGTTCACCACCTCTTCCGCCGTCTTCGCCTCCTTTAGCCTTGGCTGCGCCGTAAGCTGACCACTTTATATACATATATATATAGATAGATAGATATATGTATGTATGTATATGTACGTAAACATATGTATTTTTCTGTCGTGTGTAAAATACTAATGACAATAGAGCACCTTATTGATTGTTACATATATATATATATATATATATATAATATGGTTCTGTTTTTTTTTTTAAAGCATGAAAAGTTTGGAAAAAACATATTCTCTATTCTTTTTTTTTCTTAATTTAATTGATTAATTTCGTTTTATGAACAGGCGAGCTACTCATCGGCAGCAAAGGATGGGATCCACGAAGACTTGGGACTCTCTCTTGCAGAGGTAACTTACAAGATATATTAGCATATATACCCATAACGATGTGATTGAACGATGTAAATATAAATATAACCCAAGATCAGATGACTCAACTTTACGTAAGGGATGAATCAAATTCTTCCCAATCCAGATTCAAGTCTCCATTTGGGAAGAGACGTTCATATAAATTTTTCCGATCCTCTAGAAGATATAGTTGGTCGAAAACCAGGTCTTAATATATAATAATATTCATTTAACATTATACCCTAATGTTTTTTTTTCCGTTTTGAAGTATTCGGTTTTTGGTTCGCTTTTAACACTTGGAGCAACGATCGGTGCTTTATTTAGCGGAAAAGTGACAGATTTCCTCGGTCGGAAGCCGGTAAGGTCTCCTTCTTACAAAATCTTTGCTTCTTTTTAATATTTCTGTTGGTCTTATGAATTTTAAAATCTGTCTTTCTGTAAAATTTGGTTTCATGCAGACATTGTGGTTCTCCCAATTATTCTTCATCATTGGTTGGCTTGCAGTAGCATCTGCTAAGGTACCAATCTATTTTACCAAAAAAAAAAGGGCGTTTTTTTTTTGTTATTTGATTCGATTTCGTTTGGTACGTTTTCAAATTTACTCGTAAAATAAAAATATTAGATGAACATGAACCTATTTTCCATATTTTTATTTTAATTTATTTTGTTTTGATATAGGCTGTTTGGATATTGGATTTGGATAGACTCTGCTCGGGCATTGCCATTGGATTACTCAGTTTCGCGGTAAATACTAAAAAAAGTTACATTTAAAATAATTTCTAAAAACCTTTATTCTTTAAAATATTGATATCTCAAAAAGGATGCCTAATTTAACGGATTTGATTTTAAACTTTATATTCATTAGCTTTTATATCACTATTTTTTTTCTATAATTTTTGTTGGTATTTCTATTATTTGTGTTATTGTTAATTTTCAGATTCCTGTTTACGTTGCTGAAATAACACCCAAAAACATTCGAGGAGGATGTATATTCGCTAATCAGGTAATTTATTTTAGGTGTATATGGAGACAAGTCAAATTTATATATATATATATATATATATTTTAATTTCTATCCATTTTTTATTTTACAGTTATTCCAAAATTGTGGGATGGCTGTTGTATATTTAATCGGAAATTCCGTACATTGGAGAACTTTGGCATTAATAAGTAAGTAAATTTACTTTCTTCATTTTGTTATCCTAATTTTTAATATAAAAAATCAATATTTATTCTCATTATTTATCAATTTTACAAGTCTCATATTTTTTTTTAGGTGTCGTTCCTTGTTTTGTTCAAGTTTTGGCTATGTTCTTTATTCCAGAATCTCCACGATGGTTGGTAAGAATATTTGAAATCACATTAAATTCTGAGGGAAAAAAACTCAATTTAATTATTATCTAATTTCAAATTATAGTATTCTTTTCTAAATAACAATTTCTTGTATAATTCAATATTTGAAATCATCATCTTGTAAAACATTACCACATTTTCATCGTAATTATTGACGTTATTATTTTTATCTTAACAAGAGAAAATGATATTTTAATTATAATTAAAATAAAAAGTTTAAAAGTATATAATACTTTATTTCTTCAGCCAATAAAATCTGTAAAAAGTAAATATATATATTTATATATATATATAGTAGTGGATCTTTACCGATTTTCGTCATCGAATCTCACCGATCGAAATTGAAACCAAGAAACCAAACAAGACACGATGTTTAACGAGTTCGGTCACCGAGCTTAGATACGTCTCGGGGAGATGAAGGTCGGATTTATATCAGCGTAGATCGGAGAGGAAGAACCTCCGGCGAGTTTCGCCGGAAAATACAGACAACAGAGATGGAACCTCTCTCCGCCGCCAAGAGGAAAAGAAGAAGAACACGAAGGAAAGAGGAACCAAGGGGAAATTAAAACCCTAATTGCCCTCTTACTTTTGGGCTTACAAAATTACTATATTGCCATTAATGCCTAACGACACCGTTTCGTCTGTCCCTTTGGTCAATTTCGTCTTACCACATTCGCGTGGGTCCCACCATTTGCTGAACACTAATAGATAATAGATTAAAAAAACATGAACTTTAAAAAATATCATATAAATATACAAACTTATATGAAAATATATAAATTTCGTAAGTTTATTATAAATATATAAAAAATATGGTTTTATAGAAAAATTTATAAAATTTATGTGTTTTTTATAAAAAAAAATTAAAATTCGTGTATTTAAATCTAGAAAGTTCACATTTTTATGCGATTCTCTCTATATATCCTATATAACTTTGGAGCTTAATAAATAAATTTTTTTGCACGCGAAAAATGGTAGGGAAAAAGAGTTTCAAAATTCTCTGCAATTTCTGAGAGGAAAGGATGTTGATATTTCCAAAGAAGCGGAAGATATTATGGTAACTTTTTTTAATTACTAGTATTTTTTACATCTAATTAATAAATTAGTTTTTACATATAAAAGAGTTTATTTTACCATTTTTTTTCCTTTAGAATTTGACTGAGGCATTAGATAAAGTTCCGCAGTCGACGTTTTTAGATTTGTTTCAGAAGAGATACAGCCATGCACTTACGGTAAGATTTAAATTCCGAAAACTAATTTTTTTTAAGTTTAATTCCATTTATTTAATTATCTTTTAAATTTTAAATGGCACAGGTGGGAATCGGGTTAATGCTTCTTCAACAATTAAGTGGGAGTTCCGGTATTGGCTATTATGCAAGCTCCATCTTCCAAATATCTGGTAAATCAAATGAGATAATTCTACTAACTAATATATCTCAAACTATTATTATTATTATTATTATTATTATTTTGCTATTTTGTCTGAAACAGAAATTCCGGTTGGTCTCGGATCGACGGCAATTGCTATTTTGATGGTATCTTTATTATATATATATATATAAATTACCTGTGAGTATTTGAGTACCAAAAAAATTATTTTGTTGACGAAGTTAATTATTGTATTTACTTTCAGATACCAAAAGCATTTTTGGGTCTATTTCTCGTGGATTACTGGGGACGAAGGCCTCTTCTTATGGTTAGTTTTATTAGATCATGTAGAAAATCTTATAAAAATACAATTTTTTTAAAAAACAAATATATCAAGATTATATATATATATATATATTAATTTTAAAATTTTGAAACAAACACATTAATTATTAATCATTACAAATTATAAAACAAATATAAAAACTTTTAAAATATTAACAGATTCTCTCCGGGCAAATAATTTGCTTAAAAATGAAGAGATAAAATCCACGAGAGAATGTTATATGGGAGCTCGGCAAATTGACGTTAATACAATGGCGTGTACACTGTACATATATCTATATATGTGCATATGGCGCTGACATTAAATAGTACATCATAGATAATGATACCATTAGTTCTTGTATTTTTTTTATAATACAAAAATTTATCAAATTTTTTATTTTTTATTCAACTATATGTACCAAAAAATCGAAAAAATCCGGGTGAATACCCCTTCTTACGTTTAAATTTAAACTTAGGATAAAAGCATGATTTATATATTCTCCTACCATTAGACAATTCGGTAGTTATTGTCATTTTTGTTTATTTAATAAAGTAACAAACCTTAATTCAGGAATATTAATTAACCATATTGATATTATTCCAGACGTACATATCTTAATATTAATCGATGTATATCGAATAATGCAACTTTAATTTTTCTAATTATTAATTATAGGTATCCGGAATAGGATTGTTCCTGAATTGTTTGCTTCTTGCAATTTCCTTTACATTGCAGGTAATTTCATGTTCAAATAATACGATATTTATTTAATAAATCAAAATTAAATGATTGAAATAATTAATCCTCGTTTTATTTATATTTATGTTTTGGAACGAGAGAAGGCATTCCACTTATTGAAGGGAATCACTCCCATTATGGCACTCGTCGGTGTTGTGGTAATATTTTATTTTATTACACAAGTATTTACAATTACAAGTACTCTTACCAAAAATATATCAACGTTTCTAGTAAAATATATTAGCTTTAAAGTGAATTTTGAATATCTAATAACAATTAATTGCCTTAATTTGCATATAGGGATTTATTGCAACATTTGCATTGGGATTTGGAGGACTACCGTGGATCATAATGTCAGAGGTAAAATGTTATAGGTGCAATCCATACATGCATTGCATACATATATGTTTTTTCCCTTTTTTTCCATATGAATATATATAACATTACCGACCATTTTCTTATAATATATATATGTATATATATAAATCGGTGGGTTTCAGATATTTCCGATGAACATCAAAGATACAGCAGGAAGTGTTGCCACCTTTGCGAATTGGTCAACCAGTTGGGTCATCACTTACACTTTTAATTTCCTCTTAGAGTGGAGCCCTGCGGGTAACTAATTAAGATAATTCCTTTTTTAATTACGAATCATTACAACTAATCCCAAAGCTAAGTTCATATAATAATAAAACTATGTGATGGACCGTTGATATATGCAGGAACATTCTATATATTCGCGGGCATATGTGGAGCAAGCGTCTTGTTCGTATGGCATCTGGTCCCGGAAACCAAAGGGAAAACCCTAGAAGAAATACAAGCCTCTTCCATTTTCTCAACCAAATGTCGTCACAGTCTGCCACTCCTTTGACAAAATCACTCCATGTTGTTGGATTTGTTTTTTTATAAGAGTTACTGATAATGAATCCTTTTGTGATGTGTTTTATTCATCTTCTGTCAAGATTTGCAAAATAAAATATTGTTATATTATTGATAATCGAATGAGTTTAAATAGTTTCCTTTCAATAAAATTCTTAATTTATATATATATATATATATATATATATATATATCATTCTCATGCTATTCTTGGTTATTTAAGTAATTGATATCTAAAAAAATTATTATACTAATGAAAATTGAAACAAATTTATTAAAAAAATCAACATAGAAATAAATATGTAGCAATCATCCATATAACTTATAATCAATAAGATGATAACAAAGAAATTAAAAGAAGGTATTTAAACTCAATATCCAAAGACAAACCCTAAAATTGTATCCATTTAATTGAGGATATGTCAGTAAATAGACATAAAGAACAAAAGATATCCTGTATAAAGGTCAAAATGGTAAGTTAAAAAGGTTAAAAATATAACGACCGTATTTTTCTGGTCAACTACATATTGAGATGAAAAACATTTATCTGTAGCAAATTGGTGCTAAAATATAATGTTTTCCTAAATATTCAAATGTATATATGAAATCCTAAAACTATCGAATTTGTCAACCAAAATTTTTGCTAGAGGAAATTGGGAGGGGGAAAAGGGTTTGAAAATTCACGAAAAATTTATAAGAGAAAAACTATTGATATTTCCAAAGAAGCGACGTAACTTTTTATCGTCTAGTTTTAATTATTTTCTTTATCATATCTTTTACAAAAAAATTAAAAATATGTGTTAATTTAACTTTTAAACATTTAAAGTAATTTATTTTATCCTTTTTTTTGTAGGATTTAATCGAATCATTATTATGTAGAGTCCCCAATATAGAAGTCTTTATTCTTGTTTCAGAACAGAAACCAAATATTTACTATAATAGTTTTAATGGTTACTAACTTTGTTAACCATTTGTTTCTTTCTATCTTTATTTTTATTTATTTTGTATCTATATAATTTTTTTTTCACTCTTTATTCAAATTATGTTATAATAATCTAAGATTTAGCAGTTATTTAGTACATGAGAATCAAAGATCTGTGAGCAATGGCGAAAGTTGCCATTTTTGTTGAAAAAGATCTGTGATTATTAATTTTCGGATTCAAAATCATTTTGGTCTAGTATCTCTTGTGGCTATAATGGAAGCCAATACCATATATATACATATATATATATATATGTGTGTGTGTGTATAACCAATCAAATTCAGGAATCTATATTTACGAATTTCTCTATTTTCTTGTAGAGCAGGAGAGAGAAACCAAAGTGGTTCTCCATGTTCCCTCGGAAAACAGAGCGAGCAAGAAGACATTTAAGAAACAAAAAACTCAACATGAAGACGACGGAGCCTTTGCTTAGCCACAAAGACGGCAATGGTGACGTCACCGCCGCCTTGTTGTTCGCCACCTCTGCCGCCGTCTTCGCCTCCTTTAGCCTCGGCTGCGCCGTAAGTTTACCATTATATACACACGTGCACATATATATATATATGTATGTATGTATACGTTAATGTAATAAACGCAGATTTGTGAGATTTACATCATTAATTAATTATCCATGTTTGCCCCAATGGAAAATAATACTAATAATACTAATATATATATATATATATATAAATAACGAAACTCTTTTTTAACGTTCTTATAATTTGGAAAAAAAAACATATTTGCATTATTATTATTTTTGTCTTCATTTAATTGATTAATTTCGTTTTATGAACAGGCGAGCTACTCGTCGGCAGCAAAGGATGGGATCAAGGAAGAGTTGGGGCTCTCCCTTGCAGAGGTAACTTCAAAAGAGACATCATCGTACCGATAAGGACGACGATTTCTCGACGTAACTGTAAAAATTAACACCATGACGGCCGGAAAAAAAAATTGTTATCAAACCCTAACGATAATATTCGATAATCCCGACTGATTTTAAATTTTTGTTTCTATTCTGAAGTATTCGGTTTTCGGCTCGTTTTTAACACTCGGAGCAACCATCGGTGCTTTATTTAGCGGAAACATAACGGATTTAATCGGTCGAAAGCCGGTAGGTATTCCCTTATCTTACAACATCGATCTTTAGTTCTTTTAACAGAAGTGTATCTTGTTCTATGCATCTTTATATATAGTTTTGGTTTTGAATTCAGACGCTATGGTTCACCCAATCACTCTTCATCATCGGTTGGCTCGCAGTAGCGTTTGCTAAGGTACCAATCTATTTTACCAAAAAAGGGTTTTTTTTTTTTTTAATTTTATTTTTGTTACCGAGCAATATTTTGATTCAATTCAGTTTGGTACGGACTTTGATATATAGGCTGTTTGGATATTGAACTTTGGAAGACTCTGCTCGGGAATTGCTGTTGGAATACTCAGTTACGTTGTAAGTTATTTACGTCCATAACTGAAAATATTATTTAAAAAAACACAATCAAAATAATATGTAAAAACATTTTTTTTTAAATATTGATAGCTAATTAAAGAGAATGTCTGAATTAATTAGATTTGCTATTAAACTTGATATCGACTTGGAGGTGGAAAGCTGTCCAAGAAAGATATGCAAACTCATGAGCTTTTAAAACCACTAAATTAAATTATATAATTCTCGTGTATATTTATAAAAACGTGTTTGTGATGTTTCTATTATTTTGTTATCTATAATTTTCAGATTCCTGTTTACATAGCCGAGATAGCACCCAAAAACATCAGAGGAAGATGTATATTTGCCAATCAGGTAATTAATTTAGGGTGTATATATATGAAGATAATTTTGATTTAAAAATTTTGTTATTTCTATCCATTTTTTATAAATTGTACAGTTATTTCAAAATTGTGGGATGGCTGTTGCGTATGCAATCGGAAATTTCGTATATTGGAGATCGTTGGCATTGATAAGTAAGTTATTTTTTTATTTTATTTTTTCAGATTTATGATGTAAGCAAAATCTATATGAATTCTGATAATCATATCGAATCTTACACAAGTTTCATATTTATTTTAGGCGTTGTACCTTGTTTTGTTCAAGCTTTGGCTATGTTCTTTGTTCCCGAATCTCCAAGATGGTTGGTGAGTATATTTGAAAATGACAATAAAATTTTAGAAAAAAAAAATCTATTTAATTGTTGTCTAATAAAAAATTTACTTTTTAAAATGATAATTTCGTTTTTCTCTCTAAATAGATACTGTCTTATATTGTTATTTTTTAAATATTAAGCACAGTCTTTTGAAGCATTGTCATTTTAATAGTAATTTCATCGTAAATAAGAGAAACAATATTTTCAAATCAATTACGATTAAAAAGGTTAAAGTATATGTCAATAAATTTGCTTTTTTAAAAGGTAATTGCCTCATTATGTTGAATAAATTATATATATATATATATATATATATAATTTTTATCTCATCAGGTAACTTTCTTTGCAGGCGAAAAATGGTAGGGAAAAGGAGTTTGAAAATTCTCTACGATTCCTCAGAGGAAAGGATGCTGATATTTCTAAAGAAGCCCAAGAAATTATTGTAATTTCTGTTTTGCTAATTTTATTTTTCTTACGAAAATTAGTTTTTAAATATAAAATAATTTATTTTCACTTTTTTTTTTGTTAGAATTGGGTTAAAGCACTTGACAAAGTCCCACGATCGAAGTTTCTAGATTTGTTTCAGAAGAGATACAGCCATTCACTCACGGTAAGTTTTTAATTACGAAAACCCAATTTTTTAAAATTTCAATTTCATATTTTTACTTTTAAATTAATTTACTTAGTTTAGGTGGTAATCGGATTAATGCTTCTGCAACAATTAAGTGGAAGCTCCGGCATAGGTTTTTATGCAAGCTCCATTTTTCAAAAATCCGGTAAATCAAATGAGATTTTTATTATTATTATTATTATTATTATTATTATTATTATTATTATTATTATTATTATTATTATTATTATTATTATTATTATTATTATTATTATTATTATTATTATTATTATTATTATTATTATTATTATTATTATTATTATTATTATTATTATTATTATTATTATTATTATTATTATTATTATTATTATTATTATTATTATTATTATTATTATTAATTTTTGGAATTTTGTTTGAATAAGATTTTCCCGTAAGCCTCGGATCGACGGCGATTGCTGTTTTGATGGTATAAATTTTTATTTCCCAAAAAATATTATCAGTTAAATTTCAATGCCAAAAGATGTTTTTTTGTTGACAAAGTTATTTATTGTATTTGTTTTTAGGTACCAAAAGCATTTTGGGGTCTATTTCTTGTGGATAAATGGGGACGAAGACCCCTTCTTATGGTTAGTTTTATTAAATGACATATAAAATCTTATAAAAAAATCAAAATAGTGTATTAATTTTGAAATAAATACACTGGCTATTAACTATTTTAAATTCCAACACAAATATATATATTTTTAAATAATAGGTATCTGCCACAGGATTGTGCCTGAGTTGTTTGCTTCTTGCGGTTTCCTTTACACTACAGGTAATTTTATGCTACAAACAATACAACATTTATTAAATAAATCAATATTAAATAATTGAAATAATTAACGTTTCGTTTTATTCAATTTCTCTTTTGGTCACGGAGCAGGCATTGGAGTTATTGAAGGGAATCACTCCCATTATGGCATTCGTGGGTGTTGTGGTAATATTTATTTTATCACACGAATATTAAGCTTACCGAATCTCAAATAACTAATAGTAAAATATGTCGGCATTAAAATTAATTTTGAATATCAAAATACTAATTTTTAATTGTCTTTTGCACAGGGATTTACCGCAACATTTGCATTAGGATTTGGAGGACTGCCATGGATCATAATGTCAGAGGTAAACAATCCATACATGCATGCATACGTATATGTTTTTTCCCTTTTTTCATATGAATATATATATATATATAATTACCGACCATTTTCTTATAATATATATTAATTTGTGGGTTTCAGATAATTCCTCTGAACATCAAAGTTACAGCAGGAAGTGTTGCCACCTTTGCGAATTGGTCAACCAGTTGGGTCATCACTTACACTTTTAATTTCCTCTTAGAGTGGAGCCCTGCAGGTAATTAATTAAGATAATTAATCAATTAATTATTAGTTACAAATGATAACTAATTGCGGATCCTTACAGTTCATATAATTTAATAAAAAATTGTTTACATACAGGAACGTTTTATATATTTGCCGGTGTATGTGGAGCAAGTATTTTGTTCGTATGGTCGATAGTTCCCGAGACCAAAGGGAAAACCCTAGAAGAAATACAAGCTTCATCTGTTTGCTAAAGGGTTTCAACCATTATCGTCGCAATCTTCCCAATCCGAATTCGAGTCCTCGTTAATTTTGTATAAGATTCGCTTTACCAACAAAAATATGTAGATTTAATAATAATGGGTCTTTTTGCTATGTGTTGTTAACTTGTTATTGATGGCCTTGTGAATACTTTTTGGGAAAAAAAAATTATAAAACATATTAAGAGAATAAAAAAATATAAATTTTGGAATAATTTAATCTAATTTTCTAAATCTGAAAGCCCAAAAAAAAGATGTTTGAAACAAGTTTTTATAAACATTCCGCCAAATTTCCTCAAGTTTTTATAAACTGCCCACAATTGTTTAATTTGGCGTCAGACCGTTTTGTCTCTCATGTTCCTGCAGGAGCTGAAGGAACTGAAGACATCGAAAGCTCGCTCGCTCATGGCTAGGAACGTTCCTCCCATTACAGCCTTTGTTTTCTCCGACGGTCACAGGGATCACATAGGAAGTGCATGAATCCGTGATACCATAACCAACATTAGAGTTTTGTTTGCCTATTTCGAGCGTCCAGATCCCCACGAGCTCGCGGCTCGGTCCGGACATGTCTTCAAGTGAGCAAAGATTTACTCCATAATCTCTCTACTTGTCTATATAGTTCGCGTGCCAAACAAACGTTCACATTCTTTAGATTTGGCTAACACCTGTTTAAAACCAACTCTTCTATGAAAATATCAATTTTGGAAAACAAAGTATTCTCAATAATCAGAATTTTTATTTTATTTATCAGAGAAACTAAATTGATGAAACTATATATCAACTTAAAATGAAGAAAAATGATCTAAAATGATCAAATAAAATGACTCAAATAGAATCGTAAAGACATTTGTCTGTTATTCATTAACCCATAATAAAATGTCCATGTTGTTCATGTCCTGCAGAAAGTGTTCACATTTCAATGGATAGATCCACAGATCAACACACCACACTTAACAAGATTCCATCTTTTTTATTCACTTGCTCGGGAATGATCTCTTTTAGCCCTGAAGACCGATGATACCTGCAACAATGGCAGATGAAAAGAGCTAATTACTCTCTATTCAATGGCATATATAAACAAAGTTAAAAGATCGGTCAGGATGACATTCTGAACGATAATAGCATTGGGAGAAGCCGAAGATGATGATGATGATCCGCCTCCTTAAAAGACTCGAGGTACGATAAAATTATCTCAGATGAAATCATCGTAATCCAGATGAAAACACGGATTCAGTTCCTACAGGGAGAATTCTATGGTGTAAATGACAAAAGTATTTGGGTTCCGACTAGAATCAAGATAGTTTTTTAAAACAGTCGTGTTAACCAATTTTGACATGCAAACCTCAAAAGAAGTTCTAATAACACTTTGTAATGGTTAAAATAAAGGGTTTTACTAATTTGAAAATAAAAAAAAATGAGAATTTTAGAAGCTTTCTTTATGAAAAGGCCCTATATTTACTTACCACAAGCAACTCGTCCACCAGCATTTCCAGTTGACTTGCTGAGTTCATGGCCACCTGGAAATAGACATTGAACATGTCTCCTGTTAGAGAGAGGTCTCATATAGGCAATAAACATTGTCAGATGTGAAGTCTAACGTTAGCTGTAGATACTGATAGCATGAAAAACACAACTATGGAAATGAAACAAAGGACTTGAAAACCTATAGCTTAAGTGAGAATTGCAAAGAGGTATTTATTTACTTACCCTTTCCGAGATCATCGGGATCTGCATGGACAACAACAGCCCTTCCAATGATCGAGTTTGGTCCAGTTAGAGGAATCTGCAAGAAGAAATTTTGTTTCGTTCACTATCACTGAGCCAGGTTTTCAGAAAAGAAATTTGTAGCATGTAACAGGAACACAAATGACAAACCTGGTTGTCCACAATTGTGAAGTTGGCAGTTCCTGAAAATGAACAAAACGTCGAATTTTGCCATTAACCGGCCGAAATAATCAAATCAAATTCAACAGAGCAAACAAATAATGATAAGGTTGAATAGCACAACGGCCACTTCTAAGCTTGAGGGTGAAGGTACAAGATAGAGAAAATATACCGTCAGCTCCAACAGTAATGTTTCCTAGATCGCCAGCATGACGGTGTTCGTCCTCCGGCGCACCATGCTCCTTACCAGCAGGATTGAAATGTGGGCCTGAAAATGACGATTGATCAATAGATCAACGTGGACTAGAATCCAATTGGTAATAAATGAGGAACTCTAAACAGTTTCAAGCAATCCAAGATACTAGGTGTTTCAAAGTTCATAAACATTGAACATCATCTATGCATGTACAATGATGTAAGAATAACATATGCACCCATTTAAGACAAAACATATTTGTACGAAACTGTGAAATAACATAAGAAGTTAAGAACTTGTTAGGTTCCCATCTACTGTGAGAATACTAAAATCAAAGTTATCATTTTTCTTTAGAAATCCTTGGAAACTTTCTAATAATACGCTAAAATTGTGTCAATCAAAACAAATTTAGTTGGATATCTCAAGTCCTAGAGGGAAACACCATCTTCTCATCCAAGGAAACACGAATCGACATAAGGGCTATTGAATCGTACCAGTTGACATGCAACCATTGGTAGTGTCCCCAAGAGCATGAACGTGGAAACCATGGAGACCAGGCTTAAGACCAGAAACATTTCCACTCACATTGGTCGGTCCTGGAATCCAAATAGTTCGAAAGATTAGCCAAGACAAGAACATAAATCATTTGAAAACGTCGAAGAATCGAAATCTAAGAGCAGCGTAATCCTACCATCTCCTTCCTGTGCAAAGTTGATAGTTCCTTTAACACCCTCGCTGCTGCTCAAAACTGCCACTGCCTTCACCATTTTGAAACTGCTTTGTGATCTGCGAAAGACAAAGCCTTTTTAAATCTGCATATATGAAGAACTACCATGTCGAGGTATGCATACATATCAACCAAAGTCATCAAAACGAGAAAGAAATTACTCTGCAAAATCAGAACTCTCCCAAACTAAGGACAAAGAACAACAAAGGAATCAACAAGCCCACCAAAAAAAGAAACAATAAACACGCAGTTTCTTAAATCGACAACAAAACGTAGTTAAAGCTACAACCGTTTAGAAGAGCTATCAGCTTCTGTGCACTAATCAAAACAAAAGGCAAACCCAAAACATCTCAGGTGGTTTTGAGCACCTAACTCATCTTTGGTGCATTTCACTTCACACCCATCAGATAAGATCCAAAATTCAAACGAAATCACTTCGATCCAAACGAAAACTAACTAAATCTGTAATCACATCTTGGCATATAAAGCTCGACTGCAACATCTATGGCGTATTAACTCTGACGTCAAAATCGGTGGCTCATAATTAACTAGCCTTAACAACTACTATTGTTGACGCAGAAATAAGAACCATCGAAATCAAAGTGAAGAATCGGAACAGGTAACGATCAAACCCTAAACCATAAAAATCTAACCATTTGCTCGAAAATCGATCGATCTATCCAGACTTCGGATCGGAAGCCCCCGGGATCAAAGTGAAGAATCGGAACAGGTAACGATCAAACCCTAAACCATAAAAATCTAACCATTTGCTCGAAAATCGATCGATCTATCCAGACTTCGGATCGGAAGACCCCGGGAAAGAGGTCAAACGGAGAGAAAACGCACCAAAAATTCACCCATGTTCAACAACATAGAAGAAAAAAAATTCAGAAAATGCTGGAGGAATCAATCTTACGTACCTCAGAACACCCCTTAGAGAGAGAAAATTATCAGTGACAAAATGCCAATGGAAATGCCTGAGATTCGTTGATTCAGTATGCTCTTGAATATATAGACGATGGCCAACTGTGAGATGGCTATTCGTTTTAATTTATTCTGAATAAATTCTTTCACGAATTGACCCCGATATTGTTAAAGTGTTTAACAAGCGCCCCAAACTCACAAATAGTATAATAATTTATTAATCTCTTAATAAATCCTGTCTAAATTAGATGGCGTATTGATTTAATAAATTCGTTAGCCAAATTATCAAAAACAATTCTAAAAATTACTACAACTAGAGTAAAATTGATAATTTTATGCATATATCATTTGACTATAGTCAGATATTTTAGATAGGGAAAAACAGTTCCTTTGAAACGGTGGATTTATTAATAGGAATTAATTGTTCTAGAAGAAAATAAATTTAGGATCTAATTGGTATTTTGACAGAAGTTTGTGGGTTGGTTCTGCAATTTGTTATTATCATTTATGCCTCCCTTTTTTTTTTATGAAGGGAACATTGAAAACGAGCGTAAAAATGGCCGCGCCTGCTGGTGTTTCTAGGACCTTCGTCTACCTAAGCAAGGGAGCGTTTTGTCATTTTGCGTGACTCCTAATTTGACAATTGTATCGCAGTGAGTGGTACTAAATTGAATATCTTACTCGTGGCCCGGTCCACGTCGGATAACCTTATCCCAAACATATATCCATAAAAATCATATAATTTTTCTTTCTTTTTTTTTTGTTAAAAAAAATTAAAATATAATTTTTATTCTTTCCCAATGCTCTGTGGTGTATTTGGAAATTGCGAGTGATTCGAACGAAAATTCGATTACCCAAATATTTAAATCAAAACAGAATCAAAATAGATAATAAAAAAATTAACAAAAAATATTAAGAGAAAGAGGGATCGCCCAACAAATTAAAATATGAACATTAAAATAATAATAATAGTATAAATAAATCTTCAAAGGTTACATACAAAAACTTATAAAAAAAAACTATATGTTTTGGATGTCGAAACAAATTTAATGTAATTTAGTATATATTATAAATATAAGAATAAGTTTTAAAAAGGGCATAAAGTAAACACAAATATAAAATTCTTGGTAAAAGGATGGAAAATCTAAAAAAAAAACACTGAACTTTATAATTTTAACAAAAAAACACTAAACTTTATTTTTTGTCAAATAAACATTAAACTTTTTAAAGAATCTAAAAAAACACATAACTTTTTAAATGATCCAAAAAATATATAATTTTTTTTTGCGATTATAAAAAAAACACTGAACTTTTTTAGTGATCTAAAAAAAATACATGAACTTTTTTCGATTTTAAAAAAAAACTAAGTAAAATAATCTGACGTGTTTGCATTTCATTGGGTCACATCATTTATTTTATTTATTTTGACAATCGTAGAAAAGTTACGTATTTATTTTGTCAAACTTAAAAAGTTTAGTGTTTAATTGATAAAATAAAAAGTTTAGTGTTTTTTTTTTGTTAAAATTGTAAAGTTCAATGTTTTTTTTAAGATTTTTCCTAAAAAGATTCTGGTAAAAAGTTTTGTAAAATAAAATATAGAATTTTAATAACAAATCTGTCGCAGGAATGGAACAAAGTTACTGCGGTAAAATCAAACTTATCATAAAAGCGCCAACTTAAGGTATTTTTAAATAAGAAAGAAAACCTTAAAAATATAAATAAAAGATTTACCGAAATGAAAATATTCGTTTTTTTAACATATACCTAAATTCATGATACAAAATTCGAAAAAAGATAAAAGTAATCTATTAAAACCATGTGTCCAATTCGACAGCCAAGAACTCACGGGTAAAAATAAGCAGACAGCGAACAGTCAATAATAAATAAAAGAAGACATAATAATAAGAGAGCTTCATATTCACATTTGTTTTTATTCTTCACTATCTTATTTAGTTCACGTCTTATAATTTTCAATATTTTCCAAAGTCGAGGGGATGGATAAAAGGACCAAAAACTAAATATTTATCGAAAGAGAAGTCTCAGCAAGAAACCATCGAGAGAGCACTTCAAGTCTTAAAAAAAAGAAGAAGCAGAAGCAGGGTACGAGGACAAGCATTTGTAATAACTTCAAAGAATTCGACAGACAATATCTAATGCTAACCAAAACAATAAGTTCAACCCGGTTTTGGCTTTGGCTTACTGTCATCATCAGAGTTCTTAGTTATCGTTCTTCTCCTTCAAGAGCTCTTCGATGGCATCGGCCGCCTGCTCGATTGTGGCGATAGTCTGAGCTTTCTCCTCGGCCAGGGTGATCCCGAACTCCTCCTCCAGTCCCATCACGATCTCGACCTGAATTCCAAAATGAGATTCACTTCCAGATAAGAGAGCTTTTTTCCGGTTGGTTGGCCAAAACCAATGGCAAGTAAATGGTATCTTCGAATAGTGGAATGGCCAGAAAACCAAAACCAAAAAAGGGTTAGCTTATGGTTGTCATGCACTGTATTCATCTAATCATATTCGACATATTTTCACGTCCCCTCATGTTGGCCTCTTAGACGAGATTCATAGCATTGAGGATGAGACCTCGGCCTAGACATGGAGGCGGACCATCACTTCTAAAGTGTTACCTTAGTCACTGCTAAATCATCCCCAGTTTCAAGGATATTGATTAGGTAGTTAACATGAAATCTAATGAATCGCTCTTTAAAATTTTCGGAGAGCCCTTGAGAGGCACGAGTAAAACACATCGACAGTTGGGTCCAATGAAGAGATGTTAGAGAAGAAATCTGAAGATTACCGTGTCGAGAGAATCAGCACCGAGCTCGGTAAACTTAGTTGCAGCTGTCAATGTTTCTGCATCACCTAGCGAGAGCTGTTTCTTGACGATACCACACACCCTCTCCACAGTCTTGGGCTGTGCCTACTCAATGACAATCAAAGGGAATATATTATTAATCTTATGCACATGCAACTCAATTCCTAAAATGCGTCGTAGAGGGACCCAGAAACAGTTTCCACGCAATTAACCAAGTCCCTCTAACATAAAACCCAAGAACATTTTCTCATATTGTATCCATCATTCCAAAGGCTGGCTTTTTCCAAGCCTATTCAGATCAGCAAAGCTATTATCATTTCATGGATTAAAGTTTTATATTTGAGCCATAGAAAAGACAAAAAGTAAACACCATTAGAAAGAACAATGTAGCTTACAAGGCACGAGAACCTCAACCGGGCAGGTGACGGACGAATTGTGAAAGAGAGATTGCTCCTTCCCTGGCTGAAACCTGTAACGGGCTTAATAGCCAGTGCCTGCCCATCACATTCCACGATATCATTACCTTATAAGTACAAAACATTCACTTAGAATGCAAGAGCCAGACAAGCTTTAACGGTGTAGGAAACCAGCACAAGGCTTTTCTTCCAACAGAAAGCTATACAGAAATAAACAAATCTAAATCCACAGAATAAGCTGCACTTACTCCACTTCCACACATTCATAGCTAATCCAAATTCAGAAACAGGTGAAACCTAAGAATGTACCAAAAAAGAGTAAAGCTAAACAACATTCAATGGAGGAGATCCACAATTTCCGCTGAGCTAAATACAGATAAAGCCCGACATGCGAGAGAAAAATGGATTCAAGAAACAGAGCAACGAGTAGTTCCGAAAGCAGCATTTTCACCCTTAAAGACTACACATCGATAAAAATGCGATGTCCTCAGAGGAAAAAAAAAACATAATCACAGCCGTGTTCAGCAGATCAAAGTAGAAGGGTATGAACATAACTAACAACACTGAAACGAGATCAATTTTTAGACAAAGCAAAACTAGATCGAGAACAGCATCGCATGAACCGAGAGCGCAAAATCAGACACAACATCTTCATAAACAAAAAGCAGAATCAGACAATCAGATCAAGATCACCAGAACCAAACAGATCCAAGACGCATCGGTGATATCATACACGGCAAAAACATGGAAAGAAAAATAGATCGAAAACAACCGATCTTCGTGATTAACGAGAGAGAAAGATATATACCATCGGGCAAGGACGAGATCGCGTGGAGGTCGATGCAGCGGTGACGGAAGCCATGGATCCCCTCGAGAGAGATACAGAGAGGGGGGGGGGGGGGAGAGAGAGAGAGAGAGGGAGGCGGAGAAGACGAAGAGCGTGAAAGTGGGACAGGTGGGAGGTTTTTATAGTACTATGGGTTATTTATTCTGAGATTCCAAAGAAGCCAGGAAGAGGAGGTACAATTCCGCATTTCAGGTGGGTTGGTGACTGACAAATGGGTTAACAGTAACACGTTTTATAATATTATTATTAATAATTTAATTTAATTTAATTTAATTTCGAATTTTTACTGGCCCAAATAAAATTAAAACGGAGCCTGTTTCAATCAAATTGGGCGCCAACTGATTGTATAAATACTTTGGGCTAAAAGTAAAATTTATAAATTATTGGCCTGTTTGTCCCCCCCAGAGGGCCTTGTGTGCGCTTTGGTTTTTGGGGTTTCGTAAACATTAATCATTATTATAAATTAAAATTTACATTGAACCATTACTTCTAAAAATTTAAAGAAAAAACAAAGTTTTTTGTTTTTTTTGGGGTTTTTTTAGATGAATATAACTCTATATCTAACTTGAAATCCATATATATTATACGTAAAAACTGTAAAATAATTTCTATAAGAGAACCATATAAAAAATACAAAATTAGGGTTATAATTGTCGTTTCCACGTTTTTATGGTTGTATATTTATATAGTGTAGTGTTATAAATTTGTGAAATTGTCATTTTCACTTCCATGGTTACGGAGGGAAAATCCGGAAGTTCCAAAACAAAAGGTTGGCACATATTTTTCTGCGTTTTTGGATAAGATATTTAAAAGGGTAAAACTCCTAAAAAACCTCCGACTTGCAAAAATATATACAAATAAACTTTTAACTTGAAAAATTGTCAATCAATCCCCGAACTTGTAACTTGTCACTTAATAAAACCTCAAACTTGTAAATTATTGTTCTAATAAACCTTTGACCGGTTTGACCACAATTTCGAACGATCGGAAATCCACGTATTGACGGATTGCTAATATCATTTTTTAAATTAAAATTGATAACATGTATTAGGTGACATCACCAATCCGTTAATACGTAGATTTTCGATCGCCTGAAATTGTGGTCAAACTGGTCAAAGGTTTAATAGAGCAATAATTTGCAAGTTCGATGTTTTATTCAGTGACAAGTTATAAGTTCGGGGATTGATTGACAATTTTTCAAGTTGAAGGTTTATTTGTATATATTTTTGTAAGTTGGAGGTTTTTTAGGGGTTTTACCCTATTTAAAATGGAACGGAATCGAATAATAAATAATTATATTTAAACGTTTACAAAGATTAGTTATGATTTTTCTGACATTAATTAAAAAGATTAGAATTAGAGTATATAATTCTCATATGATGAATCATTGAAATATGAAAAAAAAAATAATTGACAGTAAATCATGATTTTTTTTTAAATTAAAAAAAGTAGAAAAGAGCCAATGTTTTTCACTTTCCATGAAAATGAGAAAAATGATTTAAATACGAAATCATAACTTTTACTCCTAACTTTTAACTGTATATACACAAAAGCATCTCAATATATAGATTATTACTAGAATTGGATTTAATTAATTAATTAATTACAAACATTTACTTTGGCTTTCAATATATTTAAAAAAAAAAAAGTGACTTCCGGCAGTGCCCCGAAACACTACTTTTTTTTCTACGTTTTAGAAAATTTAAATCTCAACCTGATTTAACGTCAATGACTAGATTGGTTTTCTAATTTATTTTCTAAAATAAAATTATTTTTATTCCATTTTTCAATTAGTTTTATATTTAACTCCGAATAATTAAATTTAATTTTAGAAAAAATGTATTCACTCCACATTTTATAATATATATATATATATATATATATATATATATATATATATATATATTAGAGTGTAATAGTGTAACTACTATCAAAACATTGGAAAGTGTCTTGCTCGAGAATTTATTAGTGGTCATAGATTTTTGGAAACGGTTCAAATGTGAATTTTGACGTGGACCCACTTGACTACTCTTTCTGTATGATTCAAAGATACTCTTTTTTTCCCCCGATTGTGACCACCTTTGTTTCTCTCTCTCTCTCGTGTGACCACTTTGTTACACGTGTTTGGTTTCATAAAATTATGGTACTATAAATAATTTAAAAGTTAATTATATTTTTTTTATGTTTGATTATATGTAGATATTTATTAAAATTTGTTAATAATTAAGTTTTGAAAGGGATAACTTTAAAAGTTAAAAGGTCTTTTGTTTTTTAATATTTAAAATATTTTATTTTATTTGAATTTTGTATAGTTAAATTTTAAATAGATCTTGAAAAAAAAGTTTTATTTTTTTCTTTCGGAATATTTTTTAAAATAAATATTTATTTAGATTACTTTTGATCAGACAATTTTTAAAAAATAATGTTTTTTGTGTTTTTTAAAACAAAAATTAAGATTCTTTTTGTATTTCAAACGTAGCTTTCACGTGGGTTGCTCAAAATAATATGTTTTTGGTAATCTAACAACAAAATTTACCTTGTGGACAATGTTCCAAAACGTGTAAAAATCAATGTTAAAGATTTTACAATTTACGTATTAGAATTGATTATGTCATTTATAGGAAGTTCTAATTGATTTCTCTCAATTAATATATTTATTTAACGTAATCAGGCTTAATTATTTTTCCTCAGTACAGTGTATTTATTGAATGCGCTTTTTAAGTCATACAAAATAAAAACAATTGCAATAAAGTTTTTTTTATATATAAGAAATTTGTTTTTAATATTTGTCGTTAGGTACAACAAATGCTTCATCTTCATCATACTTTGCGTTCACTGCTTTTCCCCACCCTTCCAAGTTTTCAGTTTTTGCAGAGAATTCCATCTCAAGCTCTGTATGCGTTTGTGTGTATATAAACATTCGTCTATACAGTTCATCTTGATCGATTCTTTAGCATTTGAAGTTTTCGTGGGTCGTCGTCGAATCCGGTAAGTTTTTTCCTTCCAATTCTTCGAGTTCCTCTGATCGAGTTCATGCCCTTCGATTAGGGGCCTCCGCGTTTTCTTCTCGTGTATTTTCTCGGGAATCGAAATATTTCGTGTTCATCCGTGTGATCCGAGTTGTAATTCGCGCTCGTATCGTATCCGGATTTGGCTCTTTCAAACGTCGTCGTTTTTGTTCCGCGGTCCCGTTCAACCACAGAACTATTTGGGGGGGGGGGAATAGTTAGATCGTGGTCGCTCTGCTCGCCGCTAGTTTGATTTTCCGGCGACTATGAAACGCGTCGCAGTTGGGCTGCTGTTCTTCGGAGAGAAGACGAACGTGTGTAGGTAAAACTATGGTTACGTTGGTCTCCCGGCGAGTTTGAACGATCCGACGTGAGAACTCGTCGTCGACGAGTCCGCACGGCCGAACGTTTCTGGTCAGAGAGGATGGTGGAAGTGTGAGCGAGTCTTGTAGTAGGCTACTCAGACTAACGAGGGAATGCGTCTGCACGTGAATCCGAGTTTAATTGCTTGTATCTTATTTCTTTTAGTGGCGTTTTGGTCTTGCTCTGGTTAAATTGTTCATTGCAATTTCAATCCGAGTCGATGGGCGAGTCGTGTTGAGTCCGGCAGCGAGTTTGATGGAATCGGGTGATGCAAATTTTCTTGTCGTGTGTTTTCTTATGATACCTTTTGAAACGAGTGGGATGCTCATTAGGTGATGAGGCGTGCAGAATCTCTCATTCCAGTGCTTTTCGGTGGAAATCCCTCAACTAGACATGGGGATGCGTCTATCGAATAGAATCTGATTCAAGTTTCAAGCGAATTTAAATTAATTCTATGCGGAGTTTATGCTCTGCATTTATATCTCCTTCTCCTTAATGTTTGTGGCTCATGTTGTCTGCAATGGTGGGAGGTCTTTAAAGCTGTGGTTTTGATATAGGGGTGCAAAAGGGATTTGATACAAGAAGCAGGAGCCCTTTGATGCGGAGTGATTTCGATTTAGCTTCTCCAGCTTTTGCATCACAGCATCATGGATATGCCGCTTCTGGATATTCAACCTCGGACATTGAAGTTTGTAGGTGAGGAAATGATCTTTTTCACTGTGACCCGTGTCGTTAGTCATTCTCTCTTTTGTTTTGTTCTTTGGAATTGTCCCACATTATAATCTCCTTTTGAAACAAAAGTGGCTGGATGGCCATCATGGTGTTCCAAGCTGAAACATTTGGCTCCAATACTCGCAAAAATTAGTTCAGTAAAACCTGGATCTTGTATAAATCTGAGGGGTAGAGATTTCTGTTCTTATTTTTTGTCGGATGAGAAGAATCGAATTGCTGTTATACTTGGAAATCCCTTTATTTTTGCTAGGGATCTGGCCATATGTGCTCATCGTTAGAGGAGTTGAAATATTGAGTAATTTGATTTATGAGGCTGGAAGAATTTTCTAATTAATTCATCCTGCTGGATTTGCATGCAATGTTGTTCTTGAGAAAATGCTTTGCGACCCATTGTACTCAGATTATAAATTGTTAAAAAAGAAAAATCGGGAAGTGGTGCAGACGAAATTTATGCTTGGCTTTTCAGGTTATCAGTATTTGTTATCCATGACTCAGGGGCTGGTTTTCTAATTTGCAGTTCAATTGAATAAGCAGAGTTCTTGTGTTGTTCAGCTTACCAATACAACCCATCAGCATGTTGCTTTCAAGGTTTAAACACATTCTTCTTTTAAGATACTCATCATTCGTATTGAAATTTCCAGACTATATATTTTGCTTGAGATCGAGCTTGATTTACCTTTTGATATTGCCATATTGGCTTTCGATAGGTCAAGACCACATCCCCAAAGAAGTATTGCGTCCGACCAAATGTTGGCGTTGTCGCACCAAATTCGTCCTATGAATTCACTGGTATGCCAACTTCTTATATCTTTCTCGGCTATTTTTGTACCGTATTTGTGTGCTTTCAGTTTTCTCCTTATACAGAAAAAGAACTGATGTATAAATTATTATCCGTCTGGAGTTGCTTTGCCCTATTTGCTGCTTACAACTGAAACACCGTTTTGTTTCTTTTTTCCCTAGAATTCCTGTATTAGGTTTGCACAAATTTCAAAATCTGCGCGAGGATGCTTGCTCTATATCTTTTAGCCTGACAAGTCTGTGTATTGATGTTAATGCAGTCATTATGCAAGCATTTAAAGAACCACCTCCTGATATGGTCTGCAAAGATAAGTTCTTAATCCAGAGTATCACTGTGCCTGCGGTGACATCTGATGAAGACATCACAGCTAGCTTGGTAAGCATTCATAACACTGCCCCCATTCATGTGTCCAGTAAAAATCGGTTTCTGGTCTTCGTTTACAATTGGTTATCCTTGGCAGTTCTCCAAAGAGGAAGGCAAACCCATACAGGAGAACAAACTCAAAGTCACTCTTGTTTCAGCTTCTGACTCACCTGAATTGTCTCCGCTTGATGGAACACTGAAGCAGGGTCCAGCATTTGAAGGTTCAATCCTTAAGGATAGAGTATTTAGTCAACCCGAGACCCTTGCTTCTCCACAATACGTAAGCAAAGCTCTTATTTTTTAATTTCTATTTCTATTTCTCATTTGACCCTTTCAACCTGAGCTCTTTGTGATTGTACATCAAGAGTAACAGCCCAGCAATAGGCAAGCGTCTTATGCTTATTAGGTTTTCGATGTGCTTTCAGGATGGTGAGATTGGCAAGGAACCAAGGATAGTTAGTGATGAAGAGATAAAACCAACCAAGATTGTCGGCGATATCAAGGAATTGAGGCCGCCCAAGAAGAGCTCTGTGAGTTTTGTGGACTATTTGGATCCTGGAAATGACGTAAAACCAACTAGGGGCAGCTATGACATGCCGAAGTTATCGAAGGAAACCGACTTTGGCCGGTTAACGTCTCATGAGGATGCAGATTTCAAAAGGGATATTAAGCCAAGAATCAACACTGAGGTTCCGAGAAAGCCTGTGGATTTAGGGCATGCTAGTGAAATTAATTCAGCTAAAAAGGACAGAGACATTGCTGAGTTGCCAAAGAACATAGAGGATCGAAATATTAAACGCATGGATGAGCTGAAGTTGGTTAAAGACATTGAGGATATGAAGCTGAAGATCAGTGCCCTTGAATCCAAGCTAAAACAGGTCACGTTTTCTCTTGAACTAAAAATTTCTATCACAACTTCTAAACATACCTTGAAATTTGCAAATTTACCATCCCGAAGATATGAGGATGTAGGTTCTGACTCCTTGATTAGCTGTAGATTGCAAGGTTTAATGTGGAGATTAGCGACTTGACGAACTTGCTTTTAGTATTTTACCTGTGATTCTGAATTCAATACATGACATATATCCGCTGATAATTTTGAACAACAGTTGGTTCTTGTCTGAAGAGTTTTATCTGACGCAGGCTGACACAACCATAACACAGCTTACCGAAGAGCGGACTCTAAGCTATCAACAGAGCCAAAGCTTGCAACGAGAATTGGTTAGTGTCTCCTTTTGCATCCTCTGTTTCCGATCAATGGTATCTTCAATAAGTGGTTTGATCAAATTTCATTACAGATTCTAACAGATCTTAATCCAAAGCCTCTATTCGTATTCTCAAAACCGCTATTGCATTGTATTCTTAGTAACGAGGTTTGGTATTTTTGACATTTTTGCAGGGGGAACTAAGAATGAAAAAGGTAATCAAACAAGAGCACGTTGGGTTCCCTCTCGCCTTCGTGTGTGTCCTGGCATTCATCAGCCTCGTTCTCGGATATCGTCTGCACCCTTGATGTCCCTCTCTTTCTCTCTCTCTCACTGCAACTTATTCTGAGAACTGGTGAAGTAGACTTCCCTTTTATCATATATAAAGTGTGTAGTCTTGAATATAGAACCAAGGGAGAAATATATTATCGTCCCTTGAGGGAGTATAGCTTATTTGCTAACACCACCATTGCTTATGCTCTTTGCCTTGTTATCTTACTGCAACTGCTCTTGTTGTGCCCTTTAGAAATTTGGTTGGTCTTTTAAGCGTTTTCTTTCTAAAACCCTCTCTTGTTCTTCATATCATCAACTTCTTCTTGTGCCTCCTTTTTTTTTTTTATGAGCGTTTTTGTTTGTACAATAAACCAAGAAAAACCCCATTCGAAATCCATAAAATAAGCCCTAAATCTTATTTATTATTCAGAGTAAAAAAAATATTTCGAAACAATTTCACAGGAATTTTGTGAGAGTGTCCTCTCCACCATGGGGAAGATGCTTGGAAATCCTTCTACTAAATTACATGGTTTTGAAATGATTGGTGCTTCATTGTATTTTAAAATATTTTTTAAAAATGTATTCTTGTAATCTCCTGTACGAACGCATTTTTAGAATTTAATTTGGGATACGTATGCATATTTTCTTAACATCTGTCACAGGATCACGTTAGAAATTATGTTTAAAGCATCAAATAAATTTTTTTTTTTTTTTAAAAAGAGCATAACCATTTGAAGCAGAGGAACACCTGGGCTGGAAGTGACCAAACAACTGCAGAAGAAGCAAGTGGGGACCACATGACCGGGGTTTTGTCTTCTAATTGATTAGAACACGCCAAATATGCCGACACCAACGGCTAATTTACAAGTTCGGATAAAGCCATGATGATCATTTGGATAAGGCCGTGAAACTGAACTCAAATAATTTATCAGTTCATAAAGAAAAACACGTATCTATCTTGTTAGAATCCGCCTCTTGAATACGATTTCTGTACGAACAAATTAATACATTAATGTGAACAAATTAAACCTTGGAACTGCTGCGATTGCTGAAGCTAAAGCATTGCGAGGCAGGCCTCGAGCCGAGAGGGGTTCTGTCGTGTGGACATGGAGACAGACCAGACGGAACCGACATGCAGTTATAGGACAAGCATACGGACACCGAACCGGGGAGTTTGACGCCGGGACGCATCGGAAATTCCTTGAAATAGTTATTCTGCAGATACAATGTCTTGATGGTGCCGTTGACGAGGCTATCCAAGTAATCGACTGGCACTTCCCCCGTGAGAAGGTTGCTGTTCAAGAACAGATTCTCGGCTCCGGCCAGTTCGCGAGATAACTCTCCTGCCAGAGAATTGTGGCTCAGATCAACTACAGATCCCTTAGCAAAGGACGGTGATGATGAAAACGGCGTTACAGCTCCGATCTCCGTGAATTTGTTCCGTTGGAGAAGCACAGATGAGGTGGCAGGGCCGAAGATCGAGATGGGAATGGTCCCGGTGAACTTGTTCATACTGAGATCGAGGTACCGTAACTCGGTGAGCGACTCCAACACTTCAACGGAACCACGCATGGAGTTGTCTGAAACCGACAAGTATCGTAGAGTGTTGGGAAAGAAACGAGGAAGCATGCCCGAGATCCTGTTCATCTTGAGGTCCAAGTGGAACAAACGGTTCGAGAAAGGGCCAAGGGTGCCGGAAAGATGGTTCCCGGCCAGAACAAGGACTTTCAGCCGTGGCAAGCGAGTGAGGCGAGGAGGGATAACACCGGTTAACTCATTGTAACTCAAGTCAAGTGTATGCAAATGTACAAGAGCTGAGAAAGATACCGGTATAGACCCGGTTAAACGGTTTCTGGTCAAGGAAATGACACGGAGAAAGGTGAGAGAACCGAGCTCAGGAGGAACCGGGCCAGTGACTAAACCGGGCAAAAGGATGAGTTGGGTTAACCGGGTTAGATTGGAGAGAGCAGGAGAGAGAGAACCCGAGAGACCCGGGCCAAGGGATAACGTTGTGACTCGCCCGAGAGAGCAGGTGACGCCAGAGAAAGAGGAACAAGGCTCGGAAACAGTAAAATCCCAGGAGGAGAAGGAGGAGGAACCGGGAATTTCGGTTAGAGAGTCCCTAATGGCTTCCAGACCAGCTCGGTCCGAGGGAGCCATTGCAGAGGCATTGGTAATGACGAAGAAGGAGAGAAGAACAGTTATGTATCTCATGTTGGTTTGAAGTGAACGAAGCCGTTTGGTTGCGTTTTAAGCAACGGTGATGTATTAAGTAAAGGAAGACACTGTGGGTGTGTGTGTTTTAATGTTTTTTTGGCTCCATGTCCCAACTTGTGGTGTTTGTTTTATGATGATTTTTTTTTTTTTGTGGTAAAGCTCATAAGTGACCGTTTGTGGTCCCCTTTTTTTTATATTTGGACTTCTTGCAACGCGAAAAATGAGAAATTGGTATCCTGACTCTTGAATCTTGATGATATAAACATAACCCAACCAAACCGGACCAAAGTTTGGTCCGGTTTAAACCGAATCATTGTATTTTCTGAAACAGCCCGCTTATGCCATTGGTCGGTCTGAATTCGGTTATACTTTTATGAAGCCATGCCAAACAAACCGAACGGTTAACCGAAAACCCACCCAAAACGGTTGAACTGAATTTATTTCTTTTGTCTGTATTTCATGAGCCGTACGAGGTAACCAAGATAATCTGTAAAATTTCTTGGGAGATTTGATTCATATTCATATACACTTGTGTTGGTCAGAGCAACTGTTGTCTTTCTCCTTCAGTCTTCATCTTCCTCCTCTGCTTCCTTGAGCCACTGAAGCAGAAGGATTCGAAACCAGTTTATTGAAAACTCCATATATAAAAAGTCAATTCAGACAAAACCATTCCGTGAAAGTCCGTGTTATTTTTCACAAACCAAAACACACACGCAATGCAGAAATGTTTCTGCATTGTTTCGAAAATCGAATGTTTCCCGAATGCGGGTTTTAGTTTTGTTGGTTGTCACTTACCACAAAACCACTCCTCCTCCATCCGGGTTTGGTACCGGCTAGACAAGAGCGAACTCATACCTCATACCTAGGCAGAGTTGAAGGATGGAAAAAAAAATATCAGACTAAGTAGAAGGTATTGAAAGAGTCGAGTCGTCTTTCTGAAAACAGTCTTAAACATACCGTACGTTGTTTGTAAATAAACCAGAGGGCATCTCCAGCACTAATAGAACCGTGTGTCTATGGTCTGAACCAAGAACCCCGGGTGTGAACACCACTCGGAATTCTCCAAAAACTCAATGACTCGCTTTGAACGAGCGCAGCAGAACACAAAGACCTCCTCCACCCCAGCAGACTCGAGCCATGCCAAGGTATAATCAATCATGCGAACATTCACCAGTGGCAGTAGTACCCTTGGAAGAGATTACTCAACCATGAGAACCATTGTCCAAGACCACGTTACAAGTTATAACAAATGCCAAAAACTACAAAACACTGTAAGCCTTGCCCTTACATTTTTATGCAGAGAGGCTGATTCGAACCCCAGGGACAGTGAGCTTACCGTTGAGGCAAGCCGGCCCTTCACTAGAACCCTCAAAATTGAGAAACAGAACGATTCCGACAAATGGAAACCCATACTCTAATACAATCCAAACATGCATGAAAGTGCAATAAACATTCACACCAGTGGCCATAAAACCTTCAGGATAGGTTGATTCAACATGACAACACGTAATGCCCAAGACCGCATTACAGTTATCTCGTTAACATCACAAATGTCAACCTCAAGATTGAAAACCACATTCCACTGATCTTTCGAAAACATCATAAAACGGAGCCAATTATCGACAAACCTCGAAACTGAAACACAACAACGAGATTAAAAGGCTATGATTAGTTTGACTGCTTCGTTCAGCGACCGGCAACAACGAGATTAAAATTCTAACCAATCCATTCAATTCTGAATAGCTGGTTGCAGGAAAATGTATACGAGACTGTCCTAAAGAAGAACCTTTGGGACGTTCTAGGGTTACGGGACGGAATTTTAGTAGTGAAGCTATCAGCAAGAGGAATGGCTTGCAATTTTTGGCGAGACAGCTCCTCATGCTCTGAAACCCTAGGGGCTCCTTCTCTCAACACCCATCTCCTTCTCTCTCTCTCCAATTCACTTATTCCGTTTCACAGAGCAATTCCGCTGAATTTCAGCAGAAAGTAAAACCCTTAATCTTATACCAAAGAAAAAGAAAAACCCTAAATCAGATCAATGCAGTGAAGAACAGGTGACGTCCTATTCGATAACTAAAATGGGAGTTTCTCTATTGAATTTTAATATAATATAAATTATATATTTTGTATATTTTAGAAAATTTATTAAAATCATGGTGCTGTTTAATATAATATTTACAAAATTTTATGTTAAACCTGTTTTGTTTTCATTACTAAACTCCCGTTTTTTTTTTTAATTTAAAGGACAATAGGTTTTCGAACTTGGAAGCTTTCACAAGCTTTGTCGGAAAGCGGGAGTTCTTTCTATAATCATATAATTTTACTAAATTAACTCACAGAGACAAATTATTTTTTTTTGTTAAAGACAAATTAAATTTTTACTTCTAATAATATGGAAAAATAGTTATTTTCCCTGAACAAGAAAATAATAATTTGGAAAAGACAAATAAATGTAGAACCTTTTTACCAAATCATTTAAAAAACCTCGAACAGAATTATTATATTACAAATTTCGGGTTACTAGACGTTGAATATTTGATTTTTTTTATTATAACCATAATGCTATTTAGTTTTATTTTGAATTTGCATATTACTCTTAATTAATTATTGAAAGTTTAAATAATTGGACCGCAACAACAAAACAATCGAAAGCGAAATTTAAAAAAAACGACATTAGTAGAGGGAAAAGAGAATAAAAATCATACCACGGAAACAAATGAATAAAACGAGTGATTAAAAAATAATTTATAAGAATTATCACTAATCTAAACAATATCCAACATCTTAGAAAATAAACAGAAAGAGTTTATATATATATTTTTATATAAACAACAATGAAAGTCCAAGCATTTATATGTTAACTGAAGCAATTCCACTCTTGTTACATGAACAAGAAAGAAACCTCTTTGAAAACACCCCCTTTTGTTTGTTTCTTCTTCATCTCTTTAACTAAAAAACACTTCCACTCAGCCTTCTTTCGTGTCTGCTCTCATCTCTTCCCTTTGCTGGTTTTGTTATTCAGGTGACTCTCCTTCTTCTTCTTCGAGTTCCCGGTTATGGGGTGACCTAGAGGTCCGGACCATGTCTGAACCTGCGTGGGAGGGTCGTCTTTCGAGAAGTTGAAGGAAGTGAAGGAAGGGATGATATCTGGAGGGACGAAACTCGGGTCAATGTGTTGTGAGGCCCCCAGTGGAAGCCCTAACGCTCCTCCGTCCTGGTGAGGCGGAGGAAACTTCTCGCTCTTGCTCTTTGCGTTCGCATGTGTGATCAGCCTCCGCCTCTGTTTTCAGCGTAAAACTTGTTACATGTATATTGTTTATGGTGATGTTGAAAGATCAAATATAGTATGCCTGCATGTACCATGCATATATATGCAGACATCTTTACGTATAGATATATACATATACAGACATGTGAATGCATTGATAGGGATGATGCATGTATGATGTAAACAAAGCTTTGTTGTTCTCTGCAAGGAAACGTCTAAAGATATGTTGAAGATCACATACACACTTTCCAAGAGACACTGGATTCATGTCTTTGCATACTCGTGTGTGCGCGTGTGCCTTCATGTATCATGCATATACATGCAGGTATCTGTCTGTATAGATATATGATATACATCTATATATACAGACATGTGAATGCACTAATATATACACTAGGGCAGAGCTCGATCGTTCTAGTCAAGGAAACGTATAAAGGGATGTAAAGATCAAGTATATACTTACAGAAGTCTGATAAATTCATGCACATATATATATATATGCAAAATGTACATCTATCATGTATGTAGGTGTATGCATCATGTATCAATGCATATAGATATGCATATCGATATACGGAGACTACTCAGACTAGTCACATGAACAAGAGCATACAACAGAAATTGATATTCCTCAAGCAACCAGATGTCAAAAAGTGTAAATTCACATATTAAACAGAAAAGATTATTGGAAAGAAGAAGTTGATGAAGACATACGTCGAGATTAGTTTGAAGTTCGGCATTGGCTTCTGGAGCTGGCATGGCTCGATTAGAACGATCCCGGTGCCGATTCTTCCTTGTACCATCCCCTTGTGCCTTATTAGCAGCTCTTTGCCTGAACATCAAACACAGTATTGTTCATATGCACATGAAAAATGTAACAAGGTTACCCACTTTTCTACAAATTCAGAATAAAGACTGATCAGTGCAGAATGGATATCTGGGTTTCCCATGGTACCCGTGAAGAACTCTGCTCGAGACGAATGATAAATGATCATCAACCAAAATTGACATATACAGATCCCTTTTCCAATCCCGAAACACAAAATATTAGAAACCTAAAGGTCTATAAAGGTGGATCATAATTTCGTTTCGTTTTTCATTGCATGAATCATGATTTCACGGGTATGCTTATACGAAAACATATTGATTGATATGAACACTCGTGAAAAATTCAATATTCATGATCTCATCGGCGTCTGCAATATCTGAACACAATGTTCTCTCAGGAAACCGAAAATATTTGGATTGTTTGGTTAAATTCCAGCTTTATCGAGGCTGAGAGTCTGAGACAGGGTACACCGTACTATTTCACACACCCTACCGAATAGACAGAATTAATATTGATAATTCACATCATATTACCATTTGCATTTATGATCACATGAACAAAATTCAGGGCGTAAGGCCAATGTCACAAGCAAAACAAATTTATGTGAAAAGTTAATAAATCATTTTATATATCAATAAGATACTGAATTAAAGATCACTGACCTCCGAGCTTCTTCATCCCGTCGTTTGGCATCCATTTCTTTGCTTGGGGGATACTTCGGAAGATCAGCAGGTTCACAGGCATATGGTTCCGTTGAAAAAAACTGTAACAAGAATATTATTTTTATTACTGGACTAATTCAAAATCATCTTAGCATCATATACAAGTTCATAAAAAGAAGCACAAAAATAAAACTTGAGAACTTACTTCGCTTCTTAATGCATCTGTTGCGGTCTGCCTATCTTCTGGTTCAATTGAAAGAAGAGTGTCGATGAGGGGAAGAGATGATGGTGGAAAGTCTTTAAATGTCTCTCTTATGCACCTTTTGTATGGTTCCCGAGGTTTGTAGATGGCTCCGTGTGAGAATTTTCCCTTTTTCCAGTAATCCTCAGAAGGCGAGCCACATAACTTGTATATCTTATGAAGCTGCTCGACCTATGTATGTGACATAACATGATGACCGATAAGTAATTGCTATTGTTTGAAGAATGGAAGACATACCAGCAAATGCAGGATAAACCAGGACGAAACTTTCATCATGAAGATTTACAAGAAAGAAGGCTAGATTCTTACATGAGAGAAGTGAATTTCATAGTCATATACGAAATACCGCCTTGTGAACATTTAGTCTTCCTTATGTATTTTAAGTTTGCCAATCTAAATATTTGCCCAGAAAACAAAAAAGATCGATTCCAAGGCAAACAAATTTAAAAGAAAAAGACAGAAAATTTTAGCGCAATCAATTAAAGTTAAACTACCAGAGTTGGTGGTGCTTAGCATATGCCTTTCTTTGGTTTAGAAGGACCCTAATGTTGTTGCATTTCTATCTCTAGGCAAACCCACTTGCTTCACCTATATATATATATATATATATGCCCACACATCATACCAAAATGTGATAGGAAAAAGAACAAAGACATCTATAGTTAACAGGGAATAGCAGAACAGATCTCAAAGTAAATATGCATGGTCAAAGAAGAAGATGACATGGTCAGCTACCTCGGTACGGCCAGGCATAATGGGCCTCCCGGCCAATAATTCAGCTAAAATACAGCCTGCACTCCAAAGATCAATGCCCACACCATAATCAGTAGCTCCAAGAAGAAGCTCTGGAGCTCGATACCACAATGTAACCACCCGGCTTGTCATTGGTCGCCTGTGCTGTGGATCAAAAATCGTCGCCAGCCCGAAATCAGCAATCTTGAGTACTCCACCATCATCAATAAGAAGATTTGATCCTTTGATGTCCCGATGAAGCACACCGCGACTATGACAGTGCTCCATACCAGATAGCAGTTGACGCACAAAACACTTAACCTATAACATCAAAGATATTACCACCAAGAAAAAAAACTGATCTGATATTTGCATAACATACAGAATTGCAATGTGAAATTATGAGATGTAGTAGGCTTGACCTCTGGCTCCGAGAATTTCACTACAGGGCTTGCAGCAAGACCAGCCAAATCATGATCCATATATTGGAAGACAAGATATAAGCTACAAGACATCCTTGATGTCACCAGACCTTCCAACTTCACGACATTAGGATGATCAAGTCTTCGCAATATAAGAATCTCTCGGGCCATAAACTTCACGCTTTCTGGTTCCAAATTGTCAAACCGAACCTTCTTTAGGGCCACTATTTTACCATTCAACATATCCTTTGCTCTGTAGACATTACTGTATGTTCCTTGTCCAATCTACCAACAAGAAGGGCACCAAAATGATAGGCTATAATTTGTAAAGAAAGGAAAAGAGAGGGAAATGCAAGCCAGTAATATGGTACTGACACTATAAGCATTACATATTATATGAATTTCCCTCAAGTGCTAACATGATTCTAAGCTGATCAAAACTAACAATTTTAGAAATGGAAGTCAACCCAAAACGAACTTTAAGTTAAAATGTGGCATGATCTAACTAAACACACCTTATCTATTTTCTCAAAGGTGTCTGCTTTCCTTGGAATCCACCCATTGAGCGCTTCCCCGCAAGCATCTGAGAGCCAAGACGGCCAACCAGCAGCAACCTGCTCGCCACGCAAATGCTTTGGCGGATTACTCAACCGTGGATTTGGCTTTGACCTCCTCCTCTCCCCCTTTGGTTTCCTATCCCTATCAGGGTTTTCCTCCTTCTGGGTCTCCTCATTATTAACCTCCACAACACTATCACCATTGCTCTTCGTCACTGGTGCATTCTCTGTAAATCGTTCAGTCCTAGTGTTATTTGCCTCTTTAGCTCCAGATATCGTCCCAGATGGTGCCTGGCGGCCAAATACACACCCCATTTCATCAATCTAGGCTTCATTTCTCACCATATTCCAACATTTTCGATAAACACTCCCTGCAACTGCGGAAACACAATCGAATTAGAATGGCATAAAAAACTGCCAAATTTAACTCCAATAAATCACTCGAACTGTATGCGATCTAATCGCATGATAAATCGAAGGAAGATTACAGAAGAAAGATTGTTACATCGCTTACGCGGTGGTGTCTTTCGACCCAATAACAGAAAACCCATAGCACGAATCTAAGCTTCATTTATCACCATATCCCAACACTTTCAAACACAAACACAGTGAGAAAGTAATCTAACCCTAAGAAACCAACAGAATCAAAATGCTTGAACATCCACTGAAATTAAGAAAAAGAAGTCCACTACGATGATATAAGATGGAGTGATGAAATCGAAGCAAAGGGACATGCAGTAAAACCCTAACCAGCGATCTGGAATCCCAAGAAGCTCGAACTTACAGCGGAATAAGTACGAGAACTTCGAAGATTAGCGAGAGAAGAACCCTAATCTCAGAATCTGATTGGAAAGTTTTGCAGTAGAAAAGAATGAATCTTTGTTCTGTACTGTAAGGGGGGGGGGGGGAGAGAAGGGGCCTTGCCAGGCGTTTTATTTCCTCCGTTAAATTAAATAAAAACTAATCTCAGAATCTGATTGGAAAGTTTTGCAGTAGAAAAGAATGAATCTTTGTTCTGTACTGTAAGGGGGGGGGGGGGAGAGTAGGTGCCTTGCCAGGCGTTTTATTTCCTCAGTTAAATTAAATAATAAATGTATAGAAATAAAGAAATAAAGTATAAGTAGCGCAGATCTCTGTCATTTGGGTCAAACCAGAGAAATACAATGGAGACTGAGTATAAGATAAAATTATTTTTATTACGCCGAATAAATAAATATTTAAAACCATTTCCCACGTCGCTGAAAATAAAATATGTAGTTCCACATGGCGTTTCTATGCATGGAGCGTTGAAATCTAAGGATAATATCGTAATTTACCATGCTTACAGGTGAGCAACGACCCTAGAAACCACGAGGGTCGCAGCAAACGGTGAAGGCGTTACAAACGAATAAATATCCGAATTCGCGGGGTTTATAATTATGCATGTATTATCTAATTCTAACCTATATGATTCGGATGTTTTATTTTTAAATTAATTTTTTGATGATCTCTAAATACAAGTATTAGTGATTTATGAAATTCTCGTGAAATCTAAGAACTTTAACACTAGAAAAAATCAGTGTTACAATGGAAATAACATTGCAATACAAAGAATACGATAATTTCATGACAAAATACAGATAAAAAATTGTATCGCAATTAGCAATGATTTGCTATGGATAACAACGGAAAAATGTTTTTCCTCGAAATATGATACGTGTCTATCGTATTAAAATATCGTGATGGACAGTGATTTGCCATAGAAATTTCTATAGCAAAACAAAATAAATCACCGTGATTCATCTTCTTTGTAGAATTCAAAAATTTTCGTTCAAAAAACAAGAATCGTCAAAATTCTCTCATAGTGACCAAAACGAAATTCAAGTAATATATGTGCATGTGAATGTTCTAATGTTTTACGTATATAACATGTGCGTATATATTAACGTCCTTCCAATTTCTTTCTTTAAAGAAATAGAGCGGATATACTGTGATTTTATTTGGATTTAAATTACATTTAATTAGATAAAAGCTAATTAAGTAAAAAAAAAAACTAAAGATGAATGGATTTAGCCATTTAGGGTTAGAGATTTGAGCCGTATGGAAAAATTTGGACGAAGAATTATGTGAAATCCAACAGCACTTTAGTTTCAATGTTTGCTCCAAACTCTATTAATGTGCCAAATGATCATAGTACTAAATAATGGTTATATTATATTATATATATATATATATGAATGGATTTCAGTAGGACCCCTCATCAGTTTATGCCACGGTACCAATTGGCGATATGGTGCGACAAAGTTGTATTATTAAACTATATCGAATCCTAGGACAAGGGTGGAATTTTTTTCCCCATGAATTGTTTATTTTGTTATACCAAGTGATACTATCGATTTAATTGGACCTTTCTATCTACATGATATTGGTACGAATTTTGATTGTAAAGTTTGGAGATGAACTCTACATTCTACTAACGGTAAATAACGACTCTTCCTCACTTACATGGAAGTTTATATATTCATTTGGAAAGCCACACGTTAAATTTATGAGATTAGAGAAGACAAAAGACATGCGGTTGATGATTATCACCTCACAAAACCCAAAAATGGAATTTTTTTTTTTGTAACCAAAATCCATAATAATACGGGGGATAGGGACAATGTTTTGAAATATACGCATGTTTTGATATTTGAGATTCGGATTCGGAGCGGAACAATCATTTCACACTCTCCAATTCACCGGTTGAATTATTCAAATTTGGATAAAAATGGGATGTTTTTAATGTACATGCAATCATTTTTCTCAAAAAAAAAAATATCATTCGAAGAGGTTTGAATTTCGTAGTTTAGGGTTTTCCACGAGATGAGTAGAAGGGAGATATTATATTTGGATTTGCATTGTGGTTTGTCGGGAAGAATATAAATGCCTTTTTATATTTAAATTTTGCATTTATACGTGTATTTGATTTGGCAGCTCCGGTCTATAACATGTGTTTACACGTTCTTTTTGGCTGCATGAAAATCGTTTGACCGAAATAAATTTAAATTAATTGACTAAAAAAAATAAATTGAAATTAATTACTTTGATGAAAAAAAACTTGAAACGCAAGCAAGTCTAAATATAAAATATGCTTTTCTATAAAAAGAAAAATATTATAAGTAATAATATCTTATGGTCAGATGAAAGAAGCATCATAGAAAGGAATGGCTTGTGTGGTTTGCTTACCCATTCAAACCGTATTATGCCGTACGAATACGATAACTTATAACATGCAAAATACAGAGATAACAAAATAATACATATACATATATATATATTACATCATAGGAAATATTTTTCTGTATTACAAACGAATTTTGGATATTGCGGCCAACTACGTATACTTCACGAGTTTTTTTTTCCTTCCAAATTTGTTCAATTAGATGGTGATGATATATGTTTTTTTTAAATGAATGTTAATTTGATGTTTTCCATATGTTATAAATAAATTAATAGAAAATTTTGAATATCTATTTTTCTATCTTTTGAAAATTGCGCTATTTCTTTCAATCGGATTGAAAAACATCTGGACGAAATTTTACATTGAATTGTCTTAATGATCATTCTTTTTGTGACAAAAAATAAAATAAATCCGTTCATCAATTTGTAATTTTAAAGTCTATTAACTAAATATAGCATCGTATGTGAGGCTATTATATCTGCATATACTCTTGACAAGTAAACATACCATGAGCGGATTTTTTCTTATTTGTTCGCTATCGTTCCACCACCTTGTGGGAAGGAAAAAAGTCCTCTGTCTATTGTTTTGACTTTAATCCATACTTTTTTTTTTCATATGTGATCATATGACCACAATTACAATATGATCACATGGATTATGACGTTAAATTCATAATAATTTTATTAAATGATTAGTGTGATATGTAAGATGTAAATATGGTGAATTAGTTTGATCATCATAAATTTAATGTTATTAATAACGTAATCACCACGTGATCAGAGTGTAATTCTAATCATATGATCACATTTAGAGAAAATTATGTGTTGAAGTCAAAATAACAGATATAGAATATTTTTGATAATGTTCCGTGAAAAAATCTATGTTTAATTAATTAATTATTTAAAATTTTATCGTTTCAAATATTGAAATTCAATGCAACTACAAGATAAAGATAAATATATATTAAAAATCGAAATTCAAGAAAAAAGAAAATGTTTTTTCAAATTTGAATACTTTATTTGTTTCTCCAAAAATAACGTTATAAATAATTAAACCGTCGTGTTCGAAATGATTAATCCCTTCATTAAAAAATGGTTTTAAAGTTTGTATTTATTTATATATGTATATATCCTCTTTAGTAATGTTAAAAATAAATAAGAAAAGTTGGACTGAATTTTCTCTTTATTTGTTATTATAGCTATCTATATACAAAATTTTATCTATATATCTATATAAAAAAAATGAAACGTTATATGAAATGGAATATTCTTCACATATATAAAATTGAAGTGGCAATAGAAATTTCCACATATATGTTATATGAAATGGAGAGATTTTTTTTTTGGGTAGGAAGTAATGCCAAATTTTTGTTGGGCACAAGTTGAATTACATTTTGAAGATGTTGAATTTCAATGTTTAACTTTTAGACGGGCGGAGTTTTCATGGTTTAAGTACAGTCAGGAATTGAAAATTTGGAGTTGGTCTCCGATTTTTTATTTTATATTTATTTTTTTCAAATCAAAATTTATATTTAATTAGTTTTTATTAAAAGCATATTTATTTTTAAAAAATAATTTTTCATTCGAATTTTTATTATGTTTATATCCATTTCAGATTTATTTTGATTCAAGCTAAGTTTATTACATTCAATTATTTTTGATAGATTCGATTAAAATGCAATATTATTTCATTAAAATTGAATTGAGTTTTATGGCCGTATCGAAATGACTAATATGCCACTAATGATATATTTTATTTATGTTTTGTATTGTTTGGCGTTCAAGGACCGTGTCCATGTCTCATTTTAGACCTCCTCAACTGTCAAATATTCAAACCGCGGATTTTCTCTCTCCTCCAGTCAAATCTGCTATTTTATTTATCATTTACACATATTTACTGCAATTTTTTTATACTATGATTACTTACGCAAGCGCACATCACATGCATGCCCTATATATATATATATATATATATATACACACCCTTCGTTACATGCAAATTCATAATCTCCAATCCTTTTTTTTTATAAATCATAATCTCCAATCTTATTCAATACACACAAATCATAATCCGTAAACCGAAATAAACCCACGAAAGACAAACCCTTAAACCCTATTCCATTCGATTCATCATCATCATCTCATATAATCGCGATTTCGTTCGATTCGAATCATTTTATCAGATGGGTAGTCGCCGAAACTTACGTACAATTCATACAATCTCTCTTGTATTAGCCGTAATTCTTCTTCTATCGTCTGGTTTCTGGAAAACGGCGGCGGCGGCGAGGCCATTCGCCGGAGAAGAATTGAACATCCTTCAGTCTCTTCAGAGAGGTCCAGTGACGCCGTCGGGAGGTAACCCCTGCACCCATATTCCCGGCGGTCGTCGCGGCGGCCGCGGTCGGTGTATTTTGGCTGACGAAGTTGATTTTCCGGCGAATAACCACAGTGGTCATCCGCCGGAAACTTTTCCTGGGATGGTGGTGGAGTTTCAGGCGGCCAAAAACGTCACCGGGAGACAACGTCGGAAGAGTTCTTGATTCTTTTGGTAAAAAATATTTTTTTTTTGTAAAGACGTATTACGAGGTCAGGTCAAAAGGGCTTTTTTATTTTATTTTATGATATTTTAGTTTTTTAAAAGTTTTTATTTTTCTGGGTGCAAATAAACCCATTGGGATGTAAATGAAAGATATATCAGATTCTACGAATTCGTTCATTCATTAACCCTTTTGTCTTCATATACATACTCTAATGAATTCATGACATAAATTAATCAATTTTGAAAATTGCGAGTTTTCTTTGTTTTTGTATACATATTTCACAAACTTGAATATCTTACACATATTCAAATTTAGAAAGCAAATGATAATTTAAAGTAGAATATATATATATATATTTATATACACACACGCTAACATTATAATATTAAAATAATTGACTTGCATACATCATATCATTTATGGTTGTTGTAGTTTTTGATCAAACACATGTTCTTCAGGATTCTTGGTAGATGTTGAGAGTTTGTTCTTTTGTTACTTTCAATGTAAAAATTATTATTATTACTTGGAAAGAATATTTTTCGGGAAACATGAAATTGCAACTTATCTTTCGAATTCTATTTTGATGTCTATTAAAATAATAATGATCAGTTTTGGACTGACTCTATGGATTATAATGTGAAATTGACCATTGACTTTGATTGTAGATCGAGACATCAACCATGCACACTACGTTACTTTGTAAAAAAAAATTTAAATAATTAATAAATCATACGAAGAACCTGAAAAAATGTTTGGTCTAGCGTTTTCATATACTAAAACTACATTTTCTTAATTAAAAAAATAAATAAATCAAATTACTCTATTTTTAGAAGATGATTTAAAAAAGCAAAGCCCACACTCACACATACATACACATGTACAGAGGGGAGAGAAAGAGAGAGAGCACAGGAAGAAGACGACTCGGTTTGGGGCCACGAATTGGCGCGAAATTGAAGGGAAGAAGAACCAGTCAGAAGACATCTATGGAGAAGAACAATGTCACTCTCTCAGATTTTCATTCTTTTCCTCACATTCTTCTCATTCTCTCTCCCAGTTTTTCATTTTCTTCCTCTTTTTCGCTCTCGGTTTCGATTCCTGGCGATCGAATCCTCCATGTCATGGCTCAATTTCATCTTCCGGTGATCGGGTCCTTCTGCTTCTGTTTGGCCCGATTTCGCGTGAATGTTGTATGTTTGGGTTAAATTTCGATTTTGGTTGATTGGTTCTGTTGATTTTGATCTGGGTACTTTGAATCTGGATGGGTTTGTGAGGGGATATCCGAAATTTGAAGCTTTCTTGCGTAACAAGTCACTTTCCCAAATATATTGAGGTGAAATGTTCTTGAGGGCTAGGAATTTGTTAGTTTGAATTTATTGCGGCAGAGGAAAAGAGGTCTCAGCTGAGCTTCCGACTTGAAGCCTTAAAATGGTACGTAACATCCACTGTTAACTCTTTTAGATCTTTGGTATCCAGATTCACAGAATTTACAGCGGGTGGTTTCCATATTGGCTGTTCAAATCGTACTGCTCCTGCTAATCTTTGTCTGTAGCCTATCAACACTGTCATGCTTTGCACACTGCAGGGAACTCCAGTTAACATCATTGTAGGTTCTCATGTCTGGGTTGAAGACCCTGAGGTGTCTTGGATTGATGGGCAGGTCGAAAAGATTAATGGACCAGAAGTTGAGATCCAAACCACCAGTGGAAAGAAGGCCAGTCACTCACCATAGTCAAAAGAAATTTCAAAGTTCTATTCATTTTAAAAGTCTAAAATATCACGAAACTGATTTCCTGATTTGTTGCTAACATAGGTCACTGCAAAATTGTCGAAGATATACCCAAAAGATTTGGAGGCTCCTGCTGGTGGAGTTGATGACATGACAAAGCTGTCTTATTTGCATGAGCCAGGAGTTCTTCAGAACTTAAAAATCAGATATGAACTTAATGAGATCTATGTCAGTACTGAAATTTTCTTAGTTTTATGAAACTATACAATTGCCTCTCTTGACACCAATATAGTTTTCTGTTTGACATTGTCATGGCAGACTTACACTGGAAACATACTTATTGCGATTAATCCATTTCAACGACTCCCTCATATTTACGATGCTCATATGATGCAACAATACAAGGGAGCACCATTTGGGGAACTAAGTCCTCATGTTTTTGCAGTTGCTGATGTTGCATACAGGTAGCCTTAGTAATACATTACAAGTGTTTTGCTATGCAGTGATCTTCTTTTTCCAAGCTGATATGCCGTTTTTACATTCAGGGCAATGATAAACGAGGGAAAAAGCAATTCGATTCTGGTAAGTGGTGAGAGCGGAGCAGGAAAAACTGAGACCACTAAGATGCTTATGAGATACCTGGCATATCTGGGAGGTCGTGCTGTTACCGAAGGAAGGACAGTTGAACAACAAGTTCTCGAAGTATGTATGATATTTTGTCTGAGCATTCTCGGTCCTCCTTATATGTACACACATATGTGCATGTGTGTGTGGGTGTATGTTCTTGTTTATTTTCCTATTCGAGCTCATCACTAAGATGCCTTTAACATTTACTTTCAGTCAAATCCTGTCCTTGAAGCCTTTGGTAATGCCAAAACAGTCAGGAATAACAATTCCAGGTGAAACAAATTTTACACACTTCCACTATGTAATATCATGGGCATTGGAAGTTTTATGTGTCCTAACAAGTTTTACGGAATCTCACCTGAACGTTATATTGTTCTGCCACAGTCGCTTTGGTAAATTTGTTGAAATTCAGTTTGATAAGCAAGGAAGAATATCTGGAGCAGCTATAAGGACATATCTTCTTGAGCGATCTCGTGTTTGTCAAATTTCTGACCCTGAGCGCAACTACCACTGCTTTTATCTTCTTTGTGCTGCACCACAAGAGGTATCTTGGCCAGCATCTAATTTATGTGGGATGTTGGTTTCCAATCATCATACGGTACATGACTCTTGCCATAACTTAATGGAAATTGGCAGGAAGTTGAAAAATACAAGCTGGGACATCCAAAGACATTTCATTATCTGAATCAATCAAAATGCTATGAGCTCGTCGGTGTAAGCGATGCCCACGATTATCTTGCCACCAGGAGAGCAATGGATATCGTTGGGATTAGTGAGAAGGAACAGGTATTTTGGTGTAAGCAATTAGTCTTATAATGTAAATTCAAATTAATTTGTTTCAGTTTTGAATTTTGATGATGATGATGGTCTCTCTCTTATACCTCATCAGGAAGCAATTTTCAGGGTGGTAGCTGCAATTCTTCATATTGGTAATGTCGAGTTTACTAAGGGGAAGGAAGTGGATTCATCAGTTCCCAAGGATGACAAGGCGAAATTCCATCTTAAAACAGTGGCAGAACTTCTCATGTAAATGTTTTATCCTGAGATGAATTTGTATACGTCCAATGATTCGGGTACTAATCGGAAGCCTAATTTCAGGTGTGATGTACAGGCGCTTGAAGATGCATTATGTAAGCGTGTCATGATTACACCAGAGGAAGTTATCAAGAGAAGTCTTGATCCACAGAGTGCTGTAATCAGCAGAGATGGTCTAGCTAAGACAGTTTATTCACGATTGTTTGATTGGTAAGTGGGTGATTTAAGAGATGCTTTGCTGCTAGTATCATAACAGGAAGTGATATTTTACAGATTTGGTTAAGTATCTCTAGTGATGTGCAGGTTGGTAGACAAGATTAATAACTCGATTGGACAAGATGCTAATTCTAAATCTCTTATTGGAGTCCTTGATATTTACGGGTTCGAGAGCTTTAAGACTAACAGGTAACAATTTTGAAAGCGGCAATTTCAGAGAAATGTGATCAGTGTTGTTCTACTGTGCTTCCTCTGCTAATTACGTTTCAGTGCAGTTTTGAACAGTTCTGTATTAATTTTACTAACGAGAAGTTGCAGCAACATTTCAATCAGGTGATTGCTCTATTGTAGGGAAAACCTTTTTTAGACGTGTTTCATTCTTCAGAGATTTTCATTTACAAGTTTCTGTTACTTTTCTTTTTTTTCAGCACGTTTTCAAGATGGAACAGGAGGAGTACACGAAAGAAGCAATAGATTGGAGCTACATTGAGTTTGTGGATAACCAAGATGTTCTCGATCTGATAGAAAAGGTAATTTCTTAACATAACTACATTTTAGAGTCTTGAACTGTGGATTGACAAATAAAACAATAAGTCTGCAATGTTGTTCTTCTGCAGAAACCTGGTGGGATCGTTGCTCTCCTTGATGAAGCTTGGTAATATTATCATCCAATTCTTTCATGGAGAATTCTATACTTATAACATTCCAGGAGGTGATGTTGACTATGAAATTTCTGTAACCGATATTTTATGATTCTTCAGCATGTTTCCAAAGTCGACCCATGAAACATTTGCAAACAAACTTTATCAGACGTTCAAAGTCCACAAGCGGTTTATTAAGCCAAAACTCTCTCGTACAGATTTCACTATCTCCCATTATGCTGGAGAGGTATATTCTTTTTATTTTGAATAAATTAGGCTATTAAAAACAACACTGGGGACTATCACACAAGTTTATTAACGTTTGTGAATTTCGTTTCAGGTCCTTTATCAGTCTGATCTATTTTTGGACAAGAACAAGGACTATACAGTCCCAGAACATCAGGATTTGTTGAATGCTTCCCGTTGTCCTTTCGTGGCGGGCCTTTTCCCTCCACTCCCGGAAGAATCATCTAAATCTTCGAAGTTTTCATCGATTGGTTCTCGTTTTAAGGTAAATAGACTTATTTGGTGTAGGTTCAGATGTTGGAAATATCATCTCCAGCATTTTGTAGAAAGGAGCTATAACTACTAGAAAAAAATTGGTTGTGATGTATGTATTCGTATATTTTAAAGCCTTTTTAGAAGGACTGGAATAATTAGCCTGTACTCATTATGTGTAATGTTTTTATTGCGTGGTAATGCATGGAATAACATGTTGGAACTGGTTGATGCAGTTGCAACTCCAACAGTTGATGGAAACACTAAATTCTACAGAGCCTCATTATATCAGATGTGTGAAGCCCAACAATCTTCTAAAGCCTGCCATATTTGAGAATGTCAACGTCATGCAGCAACTTCGATGTGGTGTAAGTATAAATACGTAATCATCTTCTAGTAATGAGGCTGAAATGTTGAGCCATGCAAGCTCTTTTATGACTTATCCAGTGTTGGCTCTTGTCCTTGTAGGGTGTTTTAGAGGCAATCAGAATCAGTTGTGCGGGATTTCCCACTCGTAAACCTTTCTTTGAGTTCATAAACCGTTTTGGCCTTCTAGCTACCGAAGCTCTAGAAGGGAAGTAAGTAACTTTTTTTATTCTCTCTTTGCCATTCAACCTCTATGGTTATCTAAGAGATAACCTGACTATATACAATTTTCTGATTTGTCTCCACGCAGCTATGATGAGAAGGTCGCATGTAGAAAGATATTGGATAAGATGGGTCTCAAAGGATATCAGGTAACTATTTTGCAAGTGTCTTTCCTTCGTTGAGCCATCATACAACATTGTTGTGGTGATCGATCAAAGGCTAAACAATGCTTTCGAAATGTGGATTCCTGTTTGGTAATGCAGATTGGTAAAACCAAGGTGTTCTTGAGAGCTGGTCAAATGGCTGAGCTAGATGCCAGAAGAGCCGAAGTCCTTAACAGTGCTGCAAAAAAAATCCAGAGACGGATACGGACTCATCAGGCCCAAAAACGGTTCACTGCTTTGAGAGAGGCCACAATATCTATGCAAGCTATTTGCAGAGGTGAGCTGTCTGATTGATCTAATACTATCGCTATTCCCATCTTGTGTGGTGCTCTTGGTAACAAGTTAGAAGGGCATATATATTCATTGCGACGTATGCAATTTTCTGATCTGAAGTAGTTGATAAGTTGTTTTCTCTTTTGCTTACATTGCAGGAAGACTTTCCTGCAAAGTTTTTGAAAACTTGAGGAGACAAGCGGCTGCCGTGAAGATTCAGAAGAATGCTCGGAGATGTCATTCTAGAAAATCCTATAAGAAGCTCCATGAGGCTGCTCTTTTTGTGCAAATAGGTTTAAGAGCAATGGCTGCTCGTAAAGAATTTAGATTTAAGAAGCAAACAAAGGCTGCTACAATTATTCAGGTTCATATTCTCAAGAGAATTATACAAGCATTTCAGCATGTTGAAGTGTCAAATTAGCTTAGCTTTTCTACCATTTTGAATGTTTAATTTCTGTCTTCAATTGCAGGCTCAATATCGTTGTCACAGAGCAACCTTGTACTACAAGAAGCTACAGAGAGGAGTGATTGTGTCACAGACACGATGGAGAGGAAGACTGGCCAAGAGAGAACTTCGGAAGCTCAAAATGGTATCATTGGTCTTCTTAGTATTCACCATGTCTTGCTATAAATTTTCTCTATGCATCTTCCTATCATATATTTTGGTTATCATCTGAGACAGATTCACATATGCATCTTGAATTCTTAAACCTAATTTCTAGGAAACCCATACCAGGTGCTTAGAGTTGGGTAATTATGTATACGTAGGCTTAAAGATCTCTCTCTCTCTCTCTCTCTTTTCTTTTTTCTTTCTAATTTCCCAAAAATACTTCCAAAATCAGGATTCCAGTTCTAGTTAGCTCGAAGTTGAAACCAATAGAACGTTCTTTTGCTCTCATGTTTCAGTTTCGAAACCACCTAGTAAAGAAGGAGTTCTTAAGATCAATGCCGCTTTTCCTGCATGTGAATTTTACAGTTCAATATGTTCGTTATCTTGCAGGCTGCGAGGGAAACAGGTGCACTTAAAGAGGCGAAGGATATGCTTGAAAAGAAAGTAGAGGAACTCACATACCGTGTCCAGTTGGAGAAACGTTTGAGGGCAAGTACTTAAATCACATGGAATAATCATTTTATGGATGAAGTTTAGATTTTTGATAGGACATTTCTGAAGGACATGAATGGGTTTTATTATCTTTGCAGGTTGATTTGGAAGAAGAAAAGTCTCAGGAGATAATGAAAATACAGGGTTCCTTGGAGGAAATGCGGAAAAAGGTTGATGAAACAAATGCTCTGCTTGTTAAGGAACGGGAAGCTGCAAAGAAGGCCATTGAAGAAGCGCCTCCTGTTGTTAAAGAAACCCAAGTTTTAGTGGAGGATACCAAAAAGATTGAATCATTGACAGAAGAAGTAGAAGGTCTAAAGGTATTATATCTGCTATAAGCTGCAGCATCTTTTCGATCTGTTTCTTATTGTGTTGCAAGCATCGTTACATATGAGTTATAGGTCATAATTTATCTTTCAATAGGCTACCCTAGAAACTGAGAAACAACGAGCTGATGATGCAACGAAGAAATTTGATGAAGCTCAAGAGTCTCTTGAGGAAAGAAGGAAAAAGTTGGAAGAAACGGAGAAGAAACTCCAGCAATTCCAAGAATCATTGACGAGGCAAGAGCATCTCAAGCGAAAATTATTGTTGATTCCCTTCTCCTCTTCCCTGCTTATATAAAAGAATGTGGTTAACACCCGTCTCTGTATATTCTTGGGGAGTTAAGATTATGCTGCTAAATTTCTTATTTGAAAAGCTAAACCTTATCATTTATATGATCAGGCTAGAAGAAAAATGCACCAACTTGGAATCGGAGAATAAAGTACTACGGCAGCAGGCTTTGTCCATGGCACCAAATAAGTTCCTTTCGGGTCGATCCAGGTCAATTCTACAGGTAATCTGTGATACCGAAAATTCAGACTGAGCTTTGTATTCTTGCTTTTCTTTTTTGAAGTTCATAGCTTCTCATTTGTGTGTAAAATAACAGAGAGGTTCAGAGAGTGGTCATCTGGCAGTTGATGGAAGGCCTAGTATGGTAAGTACATTTCTCATCAATGTGCTTGTTTCTCTTAGAGAAATTTACATTGCTTTTTTCAAATTTAACTTAACTTGAGTTCATTAATTTTTTTTCTTTTCTGATTGGTGCGCATCATGTTAATTGATAATAGGATATGCATAGCAATGTGATGATTCATAAGGAGAACTCTGAAGTGGAGGATAAGCCACAGAAGACGTTAAACGAGAAGCAGCAAGAAAACCAGGAGTTGCTTATCCGTTGCATCGCTCAACACTTGGGTTTCCAGGGGAACCGACCTATTGCAGCGTGTATCATATACAAATGCCTTTTGCAATGGCGGTCATTTGAGGTTGAAAGAACTAGCGTCTTTGATCGGATTATTCAGACAATTGGCCATGCTATTGAGGTTTGGGTTTGAGCTTACTTTATATGATTAACTAATTCTCGATTACAAGGCTGCTGCGTTAGGGAATAATTTTGCAATGGTTTTTTTTTTTCAGACGCAAGACAATAATGAAGTACTCGCATATTGGTTATCTAATGCCTCAACTCTCCTCTTGCTCCTTCAACGCACACTAAAAGCTAGTGGTGCTGCTGGAATGGCTCCACAACGACGTCGCTCATCTTCTGCCACTCTCTTTGGGAGGATGACACAGGTATAAAGCTCAGAGTCTTTAAGATGATTGCCATTTTTTGTTTTACTTGTAAATTCTGTACATATATGCGCAAACATATAGACACAGACACACATGCGTGTATATGAAAAGAACTTAGTTTTATAGATTAGATATATCATCTTTTTTCGTTGATAAATCAAATCGAGGAATGTTTATTGCTCTAGAGCTTCCGGGGGACACCCCAAGGCATGAATCTTTCGATGATTAATGGTGGTGTGGGAGGTGGAGTGGATACCTTAAGGCAAGTTGAAGCCAAATACCCGGCATTGCTTTTCAAGCAGCAGCTCACAGCCTATGTAGAAAAGATATACGGTATGATTCGGGATAACTTGAAGAAAGAAATTTCTCCACTTCTTGGATTGTGCATTCAGGTAAAAGCTAACCTGTCATTATATCAGTCACGGACACAAGCGATGATATGCAGTTTTTGAATTTCCTCCCACCTGAAACATCAAATCTATTGGTAATGTGAAATAGGCACCAAGAACATCAAGGGCGAGTTTAGTGAAGGGAGCATCTCGTTCCGTTGGCAACACCGCAGCTCAGCAGGCATTGATTGCTCATTGGCAAGGAATTGTGAAGAGCCTTACAAACTTCCTCAATACACTGAAATCTAACCACGTCAGTTCCTATATATATATATATATATATATATTTATTTATTTATTCTTCAGTTTCCCTTTAAAACAATGTTTGAACTGAAGTTATTAATCATACCCAACATGAGCCACCATGAGCTTGAATCATTTGATAAAATTTGCCACCTCTTTCGCAGCTCATTTATTTAAATGCCATTTTATGCTCATGTTCTAATAAATGTGTCTTCTCATAATTTTCTTTCTTTGGCAATTATCTTTTAGGTCCCTCCATTCTTGGTTCGTAAGGTGTTCACACAAATATTCTCATTCATCAATGTTCAACTGTTCAACAGGTTTCTCTCATTCACTGGCGCTGTTTATTCATTTCCTCTCTCAAACATGTTGCTTCTTGTACTAATAATTCTTTTATTTTCTCGACTTTTCAGTCTCTTATTGAGAAGAGAGTGCTGTTCATTCAGCAACGGTGAATATGTCAAAGCAGGATTGGCTGAACTAGAACATTGGTGTTATAAGGCAACTGATGAGGTACCTTCTCTAGTTTTTCTCAATTTCTTTCCACTAAACAAAGCCACTGATGCAAGAGAAAACCTGCAATTGCAGTATGCGGGTTCTTCTTGGGATGAGCTGAAGCATATCAGACAGGCCATCGGGTTTCTGGTAAACTTTTGTTACTTGTCATAACCATGGAGGTGCAGGGAAGAATCCTTACATGAATATCTTCTTCTCAACTCAGGTTATACACCAAAAACCAAAGAAAACCCTCGACGAGATAAGTCATGATCTTTGTCCAGTAAGTGACTACTCTGCAGAATCTAGAAAAGGAAATTCTTTTAACATTATGAGCTATGCAACCAGACAACGCCCCCATTGTCAAATTCTCTGTTAAAATGAAATATTTGCAGGTGTTAAGCATACAGCAGTTATACAGAATCAGCACGATGTACTGGGATGATAAATACGGCACGCACAGCGTCTCCCCTGATGTAAGTTTGTATATGCATCACATTTAGTCTCCGTCCAACGTTCATAGCTTACATTATTACGAAAAGTTAAAACTTTCCTAACATGTTCGTATTTTTTCTACTATAGGTTATAGCAAATATGAGGGTGTTGATGACAGAAGATTCAAACAATGCTGTTAGCAACTCCTTCCTGTTGGATGATGATTCCAGGTATACACGATGAAGATTTGTTAAGAATATGAATTAAATCATCTGCAGTTTGGTTTTCAGCTTATGTGAGGAGCACGATTGAAAATTTATAGTTACAGTTGAGATCTAACCCTGAAAATTACACTGAAGCAGACACAAACTGAGAAGGGTTTGTCTCTTTTACTTGGTTGGTTTGGCAGCATTCCTTTCTCGGTCGATGATTTATCGAAATCGATGGAGCGGATGGACATCGCTGATATCGAGCCACCGCCTCTAATCCGAGAGAATTCAGGGTTTAGCTTTCTGTTGCCATGTGCAGATTGATCCTTTTGATGTTTTGCCGCAGCTCTTTTTCCGAGGCTCTTCTTGTACGGAGCATTGACTTCTGGTAGAGAAACTCCTGGGTTACTTGTTACACAAGAAAGAAGAAGATGTAGCATATGATTGCAAACAGGTTTACGTTACCACATCCTGTTGGTACCTGAACGGAAAAAACGAAAAGTCAACAGTGTATGCTTCCATTTCAAAGCATAAATAAATGGTATTGTTATTATGATTATATGATCCATAAAAGAAGCTGATACATGATGACCCTCAAAAGTATTACATAAACTCTTTTCCATTATTGTATAAAACTGAATAATCTGTACCCGAACCGAACCAAAGAATCAAATCCCGAAACTCCCACACCTTTATTTCTCTGAACAATTCAATTCTCATTGCATCACGGGTTGGCTCGGTTAAAACCGGTTAACCTAAAAACGACAAGTTCTTGCATTTTGGATTGAAAGACAGAAATTTGTTTTTATTCTACAAAAAGATGATGCATATTCAGGCTGACATTAAAAAAATAATACAGTTCAGATTTAATTATAGATAGTTTGCATTATTAATTTTTGAAACTGTTGCGTAAAGATGGAATTATTTCCAACCCATTTCTTTAAAATTTTCGTGAAAACCGATTAGACCGAACCCAAATCGTACAACCTCAATTGTTAGCCGAAATGCCCAACCTTTGGACTTCCCGTGAAATCCCTAAAACCTTAAACCCCAAATTTGTTCTCTCTCTCTCTTATCTCTCTCTGTGAATAATAAGAAGAAGAATAAAGAAGAGCGACTTGTTTCTACTTAAGACAAGGCCAGGGATTCGCTTCAGGTATGTCGCCTAATCGATCTCCCTTCTCTCTCTCTCTGTTTGAGCTTATAAATTAGCTTCAGGGTTTGGATGAATGGGCTCCTGAGATCAGCCTGTGCGTGTTTCCCTGTGGTTCTGTTACCGTCACATTGTGTGTGTATATCTTCCGACACCATGGGTGTGGCATTTTCTGGTTCCCAATAAAGCTTGTCTCTCCGATCGTTGATTTTCCGATGTAATTCCCCGTTCGCTTGGTCAGTTTCTGAATCCGATAGGGGTTTAGACTGTGGCAGTGGACACGTTTTGGAGTGTTTAATCTGTTAGGCATTCCCTTTGATTTTCTACTGATTTCTAAGTCAAGCAACTATAATTTTCTTATCACAGAAATCATTGCTAGTAAGGTTAAGAAATTTTGCTTTTTATCCTTTTTTTTTATTTTGATGATGTAACATTGTAGTCAAGTATTTAATGCGATTTGATTTGATTCACTAGATCCAAATAGTTTGTCCTCATATTTGTTGTGTAATTGAAGTACAAATTCTACTGAAAATAGTATGGAAGAGCTGAAACATATCTATATTGTCTGCTTTAGGAATTTTCATTCTGTTGGATCATATCCAGGTTATTTAAGGTTTTGAATCAGGTCTACTCCAGTGCTTTAATGGAAGAGTGCTTTCTGAGATCACGGACAAGCCCATCGGTAGGTTTCCTCACTAACTTGGCTTATCAGTTTCAGAGCTGTCTCTCGCCGAGTTTCACTTTAGTTGGTACAGGATTGATTTCTCAAATTCTGGATTTGAGTTTGAATTTCAATCATATCTTCAAGCCAGTGTATCACCCTTGCACCATCTTGTTCGTGTTATTGGCAGGAAAGATGCCGAACTGGTTGTTAGCGTTGTTGCAAACTGTTTTCCTTTTTTCATTCAGTTTCGTAAACTGCTACTCTTTTTAAATGTAGACATATTGCCAGCTTTTATGCTCTGTGGAAGGTTCTTGGCAACCATTGAAATAGCATATTGCTTTTAAGTAAAGGCAATATAGGCAATATTGCTTGGACTAGACGTTCAAGAAACTAATACATTTTTGTTGAAGAATAAGTTTTTGTCTTTACAGTATTCTTTTGAAAGTGATTCCTACCAGATAAGACTGCATATGCCCTCTTGGAACTTTCTCAAAGACGGCATCAGGAATCGATTCATTTCTGCACTTACAATCATAGAATCTAATTCCTCTCTAATGGTTTGACGTGTAATTTGGAAACCACACTGCATTGCACCCAAGGTTTATCTTTTTCCCTTTTCATCTTTTATGTTGGAAGTTCTTGCTTCAATATTTATATTCCTTAATCATTGTGATCATCTAGGCCACTTTTACATTGCCGTGCATGAATTTGGATTCTCGTCACTGAACATCGCCGCAATATTTCCATTTCCATCATTCCCATAATAACTGCTCTGGTAATCAACTGTATAGTCTCTCCTACTGTGATAGGCATGCCTCGGTGGTGAGTGTGTATGCTCATACCCGGTCACATAAGGTGATGGCCTGCTTATATTGTAGCTATGAGTCCCATAAACAGGCTGTGGTTGTTCTTGGGTATTAGTGTATCCAACCTGCATGTCCCGTTGGAACCCTTCACTGTGAACATTTCTCACATCTGGCTCATGCACAAACCTTTGGCTATTTGCATATCTGACCAATGGCTCAGGAACACTTCTTGGGCTATGTGCATATCTGACTGGTGGCTCGGGAACACTTCTTGGGCTATATGCATATCTAACCGGTGGCTCAGGAACACTTCTTGGGCTATGTGCAAATCTGACCGGTGGCTCAGGAACACTTCTTGGGCTACGTGCATACCTGGCGGGTGGCTCAGGAACACTTCTTGGGCTGTATGCATAGCTAACCGGTGGCTCAGGAACATTTCCCGGGCTATGTGCATACCTAACATGTGGCTCAGGAACACTTCCTGGGCTATGCACATATCTAACCGGTGGTTCAGGGATACTTCTTAGGCTATGTGCATATGTAACCGGTTGTTGATGCCGACTTCTTGGGCTATGAGCACATCTCTCTGGTGGTTCATGTGGTAAGCAATGACTTGTGGTGTATGTGTTTGGTGACTCTTGTGGGTCTGCGTGGCTGTTGCTGTATCTATCCCAATAACTGTTATATTGATGACTTCCATAATCATATCTATGCCCATAATCAGGAGGGTAATGATAAATCACGTGAACCTCTCCTACATCTTTTTGTCCCATTTGGCTTCCGAGTTCTTGTGCATTACTTTCTGAAGCTGCAGGTGCTGCTGACTCTGCTGCTGGTTTCTCTGGTGGTGGCTGGTCCTTTGATGGCTCGGGTGATGGAGTAGCTGTCTCAACCGTTGAAGCGGCAACGTCAGCTTGCTGAGAAGCTTCTTCGGAAGCTCGTGGCTCCATTTGTGGATGATTGGCTGCTTCGGGATCCTGTAGCTGACTCGCCTCGGGTGCTTCTGAGGTCTCAGGTTCGGTTTTCTGTTGTTCTGCGTGAGAACAAATGGTTGCTATCTTCCTTGTTTTCCTTATAGCTTTCACTATCTTCTCTGGATCAGCCCAGCCAATCACTGTCAACTTCTGCTGAGGAAAATCAACGTAGATGTCATTTATGCCTGCAATGATCGATGACACTTGGGCCTGAGGTTAACGTTTAAGATATCGGAGAGTGAAACCGTGGAAATGAGAAGGTAAAAGATTCGCTTACCTCTGATGCCGTGAAGAGCTTTCTTGATCTTTTGCACGCACCCATTACAATCCATACGGACCTTGATCTCTGTGATATTTGGTTTCTGCATTTCATCATGAAATTCCTCAACAGTTAGAACACTCCGAATGATACAAATCTAAAGAAGAAGAAGAAGGATTGCTCTCCTTGATAAAAGGATTGATCTGTAATAGGGATGCATTGCTTATGTTTTACCTCTAACTCTGAAGCCATGGCGACCAAATGAAGAAGAAGAAGAAGAGGAGGAGGAGGGTTTGTACAATGAGGGGAAATAATCAAAGGGCGTGGCTTTTTATTTGGGGTTACAAGGAGAGGGAATATTTGAAAGGAAAAGGTGTGTGGGACATCTCAAGAATCTTTCTTTTCTTTTTCCTTCCGTGTGAAACTTGCCTGCAAAAATTTGTTATCTATACCACCCTTTAATTCTTCTTTTTTCCCCAATATATTAAATAAATAAAATTCGTAACAATATTGAATTAATAAACATGAAATATATATGTATCGGTGGAGATTTTCCTTTCCAGTACAGATTCGGTTTGATTGTCTAGAGTTCACTGTTTTCAATTTTTAGAAAAGAAAAGTATTTATTGGATTTGATTATATTTGATTTTTATTTATATTTGATTTGGTTTTCGTTTTTATTGATAAAAATAATCGATTTCAAAAAATATTTTTGGTATTTCGATTATTTTAGGTTGGACTTCAAATATTTGGATTTTAGAAAAATTTATACCCATTTAGTTTTTATATCATACTGATTTAGATAAATTATACATTATTTGAGTTTAGATCTATTTGATTTTGCATAATCAAACCGAAAAGGTCAACCCTAAATATATCTATTTTCTTGTCCAAAGGAAAGTTTTTGTTGTAGTAGTAAATTTGAAGAGGTTGCCTTAAATTGTATTCATTTCTAACAGAATTGTGTTATATATATAATATATTAACATTGTAAAATTAAAGGATAACAATTTTAGGGGGTTTTTCTCTCTCTCTGTATTAATAATGTATGTACCTTTTGAGGGAATTTTGCCTTTTTGTCTAAGGATGGTTCTCTCCAATTCTCCTTAGTTTTGTGGTTATGATTCAGAAACCATCTATTTAAAAAAGAGATGCCATCAAGGTTGAAATATGAACCCTAAAGCCTATTGGTTTTTAAAGTAATTAATATATATATATATATATATATATATAATGTTGATTGGTAATAACTTAAAAATCATATACATGCACCTTAGTATAAATAGATAGTTGTTAACATGCACGTGAAATACCCTTCTTGTCATGATAATTCTATCATTAATAACGACAGTCTTTTTTTTTTTCACGTTTTCAACAATATATTAATATATATTGGTGGAATATTCGATGACATGTTTTCAAGCTATTTTATTTTCATGTTTTTTGTTCTATTGCACTAATATGTTGGGCCAAATTGGTCAAAAGACAAGTTATATTTAGCTTTAGTTTTTGAGAAAGTGTAATGCAATGACATGAACCGCACTATGCAGGAATCCAACACTTGGAAAATTGATTTTTTTTCTTCATATTTTCCATAATATATATATATATATACATATATATATATATCAACGTTGAAGATTCTCTTTTAAAGGCTCTAAAAGCTTTGGCATGAAATTGATATGGAGACTTATTTCGGTCTGGCAAAGTCCCTTTTCGGATTTTGTTCACATGAAATTATTATTATTATTATTTTTATCTCCCTCTTTCCTGTAGGTCCAACTCTAATTCATTTTAATATGGTATGTTTGGATACAAAAAAAATTAGGATTTTTAAGTCTGAATTTTAATTGAAATGGGCTGGAAATTTCTTATCTGAATTCGAATGTAAAAATATAAGATATCCCAATTGTGTAAAATTCTAGTTCATCATATAAAACAACAACTAATTAATCATATTCATAGTTTTCTAATAGGGAATTTGTTGAGATAAATCCATAAATAATCAATATCAGTACAATAATATATTTTCTAAACACTTTTAATTCAAATAGTATAATTTATCCACGGATGGAAATTTCTTTTCTAAACACTTATAATTTAAGCTTAAGTTTAGTTTGAACTTTAATAATTAAAATAATTTATTTTTAAAAGTTAATATTTTTGAGCTGATTGACTAATTCTCGTTAAAAAAAACATCCGTAGATATTTCCAAGTCATGTAATGCCCATTTCCATGATTGCCGACTCGGCAGATATAAAACAATAAATATGCATAGATCTTTTAATTTCGAACTTAATTGATAATTTAACCAAAAAAAAAAAAAAAAACACAAACTAAATGGGATATTTTATTTTGTGCTAATAACGTGCCTTGATGTCTTATAAACCCTAAATATATATGGATTGATTTAGATCTTAAATTAACGACCTTTTTCGAAAATTGTTGGATTGGATGATTGGTTCTCATTGTTCACTTGGTGGATTTTTGCAAGAAAACGATTCCGTATATACGTAAATTGATCATGTTCTTATGTTTTAAATATCTTTGTACGAAATTCCATTTGAAAATAATTATTTGTTATTCAAATTTATTTAATTTATGTAATAAGTTGTTTTATTTATTCATTTTGTAGGTGTTACGGTGCCAATGCCTCTTCCATTTCATCCTTTCCCCCTCCTCTTTCATGGCGGCCTCCGTTATTTCGCCGTCTTCTCCCCTGACGGCTGACGTTACCGCGCTTTGATTCGAATAAAATAGCTGATATATATATATATATATGGATAGATATACACTTTGGGTTTAATAAGGGAGAAAAGCCCATTAGGCGGCCCATACATAAATAGTTTTAGTTTACCCTTGCACCGTACAAAAAGGTTGTACTTATCGTAAAATTAATTAAAATTAAAGTAATAATCAATGGATGCTATGTCAATATAAATCGTTAGAATACTATTTTTTTTTTTAAGAATATCAAACCGTAACTTGAATTCGAATCAAGTTAGAGGTTGAATAAAAACAAATTTTTACAAATTATATATAATAAAGAGTTGCTCGAAATTGACAAGTATATTATAAACAAGTACCGGTCAGTTAAAAAGATTTCGAGTCATTTTCATCAAACTATATATATATATATATATACATATATAAGATATTTAAAGTTAATTTTAAAATAATATACAAATTAACTAAAATGAATAAATATAATTTAAACAGTTCGATCTTGCCAGTCGTTTGGTCCAACGGTCGATCAAAACTATCCATCATTTTGTTCATTTTCATCATTATGTTTTTGTTGATGGGTTTTATTTATTTATTTTAATTATTTGCGTATGTCTTTGTTGATAATGATAATGATTGATAGATTGAACACGAGAATAATGTTCATCCATTCACGAATTAACTAATTTTTAATAATTTATTATTATAATCCTTAATGGAATTTGGTTGATTGTTTAACAAAAAAAAAAAACAAATATAATATTATCGGCCGTGGGCACCACTCATATTATCCTGTGGTACTGACTTTGTTATTTTGTAATATATTAAAATTGGAAGCTTTTATTAGAAGGTAATTAATTAAATGATCATTAGAGACGCTTTAAAAATAATTCATTATAAAATAAATTCATTTGTTTAAAATTTAGAATTATTTAAACATAAAAATAATCTTTAATTTAAGTTTAAAATTTTATTACTTCTAAGTTCGAATTATTGACGAAAATATATGATATTTCCAGTTTTATTTTTTAAACATAGTTATATTAATCTTGACATAATGATCTATTTCAACACCACCATCTCAAGATGTGACAAAGCATTCAATTCCTATATGTTATAGAATTTCATCTTATGAGTTTTAAATTAAAAAGTCGAGATGTTATAATTATGTTACATAAATGATGATTAGATAAATTATTAATAAAATATAAAAAATAAAAGATTGAATAATGTAATGTTCAAAATCAAAATTACAACGTCAACTAACGCCGTCAAGACTTAACTGAGGGGGGAAAAACAAACAGTCCCCTTAATTATACTCAACGTGAATTACAATTAATTAATTAAACTTATTTCTTCTCAAAAGCAACAATCTGCTAAATAAATGGATAATCATTAACAGGAAAAATTTGTTTGTGAGAGAGACAAACCAAACCCAGACCAAGTATCTTGAGAGAGAGAGAGAGAGGAGTTCACGTTTGCAGCGTTTGCTTCCGTTCCGGGGGGAGAGAGAAGAAAAGGAGAGACAGGAAATCTTTTGGACAGATCGGAGCAAGAATCGTAAGAAATTCTCAACAATTCTTTCGAATATCTTAGATTTTCTCTCTCTGTTTTGTCCTTCTGGGTCTTTTCTTTTGTTTTCGGGTTGTTGGTGTTTAGCTGTTTGGACATTATTTTTCCTCGGAAAGAGATGTGGGAATGTGGTTCGATCTGTACAATGTTGTCTGACATTTGATCTTCTGGGTCGATGTTCTTTTGATTTCTTAGGTTCTTTCCCCTTTCCTGGAGTCTCCTCTCAAACCTCTTATCTTTTCTGGGAAAAAAATGGTTAATCTGTTCAGTTTCAGATGTTTCCTTTTTGTTTCTCTATTTTTAGGACAGGGACGTTGTTGCTGGTTCGATATGAACATTGGGTTCTTGATTTAGTTTTAATCTCTTGGTGCATGTGTGGTATATACTAAACTAACCATTTATGGAAACAGATTGTTGTCTCTTCTTATGTTTTAGGAAGAAGGGTGATTTGATTTCTCTGTATATGTTTGATGTATCGAGAAGTTTTAATTTCTTTGTCATTAATGCAATTAATAGCCATAGTTCTCAGATCTTGGTTGGATTCTGGGTTTTACTGAAATATTATAGGTCAGTATTCTAAATCATTTCCTGCATTTGTTCTTGATATATTTCAATCCATTGCCTCCAATATGAACTTGAAGCAGAAATTTTTTGTCATTTGGACAACTGAGGATTACGATTAATTGGGTATTGTTTTTGGTGAATTTTGTGGCTTCTGATTCCAAAGTGGCGGTTTAGCTTATTTTGTATATGCTTAGGTAGACAGTAAAGTAAAGGTTGAAATAGAGCAAATTGAGTCATGAGGAAGATTCTGCTGCATAAATCAATGGGTTTCCTTTGAAGGGGAGAAAAGTTGTCTGCAACTGGTCTTGAAATCTCGGTGGATTTTTCCAGATTCTGTATTTGTTGATGTTTATGTTTCATTATGGCCTCTTGGTAAGATTTAAAGATTGGATCTTGTTTCATGGGTTTCTAGTGGCTTGCTTTCTCGGATATTCTTCTTCTTTTCATATTCTCTGCAATCTTTTACTAACGGTATAGAGGATCAAAAAGGCAAGGTATTACTTGGTTTCTCGGATCCTCTTGTTCAGATTCTGATTGCTTTCTCGGATCTTCTTCTTTTCATATTCTCTACAGTCTTTTATTGACGATACAGAGGATAAAAAGAAGCAAGTATTACTTGGTTTCTGCCTTTTTTCAGAGAAGGAGCCCGCATATCTTGTTATTTGACCTTGCTTTTCTTTTGCTGTTTTGGGACTGAATGGATATATTTCTTGATGCAGAGGTAATGGGGAGAGAACCTGTGGACAAGCACATGGATAAGAAGTCAATTAATCGCGTAGCACATTCAAATGGTTCATCCGATGGAAGCAAACTCCATGGCTTTACCAAGATCTCGGAGGATAATGCTGAGGTCGACGTAGTGAAGGAATGTACTGAGCAGAACTTGGTTGCTAAAGATGCCCACGAGATGCAAGAAGTTCTTGACGTTAAAAGCAGAAATCATGATGAGAGAAATGATAATGTCGGATCCAAGAAATCTTCTGATGATAAGAAACTGAGCTCCTCGCCTCCGCTTAATTCCCGTGGTAATGGAAACCACACGGTACCGAAATCATTTGCTCTGGCAACTGAAAAGCGGGCTTCACCCCTGTCTCGTACTGCTGGAGTTAATAACAACTCTTCAGGAAATGCTAACAGCTCAAACTCTCCCACTGCATCAAGAGGTTCACAGGTAATAAAATTCAGAATTCATATATTTAGATTCCATCTATAATAATAATAACCACAATAATAAATAAATAAGAGGAACAGAAGAATTTACAAAAAAAAACGTGATCCTTAAAAAAAGAGGTTAATTAAGAGAGGGGTAACTTAAGATATATGTAATTGAATGTCTAAAATCCAATTCCATCGGGTGTTTTAAAGAAAAATTATAGAATAGTTTGTTTATGTTACATAAGAAACACATGTAATTGTGATATTTGATACTAGTACTGCCGAGTAGAGTTTAAAAACCGATGTGTATAATTTGTTTTCTATACATTTAAAACTTTCTAGAAATGAAATCTGCTGTTTATAAACCATGCCTTAGTTATTCTTCGGTTAATTGCCCCCAGGTTCATGTGGTTCTCTGCAGTAATTTTACCAAATTGATGAATCTTGCTCATATAACAACTATCTAACTCTGCAGCATGTAATTTCATTTTTTTCTTTTTGTATCTCTTGAATTCTCAGCCCGATTCCCCCCTTACGGCCAGGAAGCCAACAGAACACATACAACATCATGATGAAGAAGATGGCTGGTCTGTTGCTTCCTCGTATCCTCTCCACGGAATTAGATGCTTACATATACAAATTTTTTATATAGAGAAACTGTATCTATGATTTTAAGCATTTGATGATCCTTAGCGGTATATAGCTCGGCTACATCTATGAAAACAGTTAAACCCAAGGTAACGGTCGGAGTTGCTCCAACGTTTAGGAGCACTGTCCGGTTGGAGAGACGGAAAGAGGTACTTTATTTGTAACTATGAGATTCTGTTTAGAGAACTCTGTGATTTGTGCCATGTCTCTTTTGAGCAATCTTCCTATTTCAGTGTTTGTCTTTCGTTTTTTTCTGTCACCCGTCCTTATTTCGGTACGACTGGTTTCAGTTTTACCAGAAACTAGAGGAAAAACACAAAGCACTTGAGGCAGAGCAAAAAGAGAATGAGCAAAGGCTCAAGGTACATACACGCATACGCATACACATACTCATCACTTCTGTATCCATATAGATGTGTATCTATCTGTTCTCACACTTCTTCCTGGGATAATAACAAATATAAGGGCATAAAGCAGCAATTACAAACTATATAATGTACAGCAATTACAAACTATACAATGTGGTTCCTGCACATTTTCATGAAATATCAAATAGCATATGATTTTTTGGAGCAGCATTTACGTGTTATTTACCATGCTTTGTCTTGTTATTGTGCGTTTTCTCGGAATAACAATGAAGATAATATCTTTTATCTTCTCCAGGAAGAGCAAGAAGCGGCAATTAAGCAGCTCCGTAAGAGCATGGCTTACAGAGCTAATCCGGTACCGAGTTTCTACTATGAGGGTCCTCCACCAAAGGTTGAATTAAAGAAGGTATGATAACAAATCCAGTGTGGCTTCACTTATCATCTCATTTTCGATCAATATCTTGCTCGTCCAGAAATGTTGAAATCAGTGATTTGATGCAACATACACATGAAGGACAGATTACTCGTTTTTTTTTCTCCAGGAATGTTTTAGATTTTGGTGTCGTCTCTATTTCAATATTTGTGGACAAACTTGTCTCATGCTTTTTATAGTTAACAACATCGGCATTTTCGGAAACTGGACTTCGGCATTTGCCTCTGTTGATTTGAGTTGCCCATACAGTGGGGACCCATCTCTTGTTCAATCTCATATTTGAATTCATTAGAGGTTTTCCTTAAAAAGACAAAACATAGAAAATCGTTGTGAAGAATAATGGGCTCCACTTTCTTAGGTTAAGTGTTGCCATTGCTCTTCTTCTGGGTTGATTTTGTATATGAGTTATGGTATTTGAACTTTTGTTTCATCTGAGCTCATTGTTTGTTTTTTTTCTGCATTTGTATATATCTTTGTTTGCATAGTTGCCACTGACTCGGCCCAAGTCCCCGAACCTTAACCGGAGAAAGAGCTGCAGTGACGCGGCTAACTCACAGTGTAAGGAGGAGGAGAAGGGAAAGCACTGTGCCCGACACCGCCACAGCGTTGACGGTTGCAAGGAAGAGCCTAAATCCACAAACAGCCCGAGGACGGCCAAAATCAACGGGAATCATCCAAGAAAATCCACAAAGGGAACTCCAAAGACAGCGACAGCCCGAGCGGTCGAAGATTCCCGTGAGAAGATCACGGGAGAGATCACGAGAGCCGTTTCAGGAGAGACGAGTGTGGAGAATGGTGAAACCGTTGCTTAGTTTCTTCTTCACTGACTTGGAGAATGAGAGAAAAAGAAAAAAAGGGTGACAAGAACAAGCTCTCTCTCTCTCTCTGAAGAACCCCAAAAGGAAAACCAAAGGAAACAAGAACAAGGTGTAAAGGTTGTATATATACATATATATATATGTATTGGTATATTGTTTGCAGATGGATTGTTCTGAAAACGAAGAACAACTGACTGTTCATCTCTTGTATGTTTTCTTTTAAAATTTCTGTGTTTGTACGGCTGAAACGACTGCTTGTTTGATATGAGAATTGATGTAACCCTGTACACTGAGGTTGCATTAATATATACATATATATATATATATATATATATATATGTATATCGTCTTGTATTGTTGTCATTCTTGAGATTGTTCTGTTTTTTTTTTTTGAAATACAAAGCCACGTAACTTAAAAATAAGAACAAAAATCAAGGGCGCACATGTATTTTGATCAAATGGAGGTACTTTGTTTCCGAAGACTTTTTTTAATTAATTTTAATATAAAAATTCAATATTTTATTGAATATGTTTTTGTTGTCTCAATAATAATCAAATATTTCTGATAGAAAAATCGGAACCATGTAATAGACAAATATAACTCCCTAATAGGTTATGGTTGTGAAAGTATGGAAAAAGACATTTTGGGTTTGACCTTTTTTTGAAGCAAAATGCATGAAATATAAATTTTTTTATATTTTCACTGAATAAATTCTGGCAGAATAATGTGAAATCAAAACCCAACAAAACAATATTTACGTTTTTTTGTCGGAATTACAATCTGATGTTTTTATTACCAGAAAACAATCTCATGTTATGCAGCATTGTTGATTTCTTTATAAACCCTCACATCGATTATTTTATATTTAATCATTAAGAACACTCTGATTAAGTCTTTTATATTTTATCACGTTTAAATAATTAGATTTTTACGTTTTCTCACGTTTAAATTAAGAATCCGATTATTTTTAAAGATAAATGTTATGTAAGACGATTATTTAACTAATATTAATATTTTATAAATTTTTGTTTTTCTTGAGAGGTATTCGTTTTATTTTATAAAAAAAACATCATATTTAATTGTCTACAAAGATGACCCATTTTTATTTATAAAACTAACAAATAATGAATTTTCTCTAATTAAAAAATGACTATCCATTTATGCAAAACAAACTTTCTTTTTTTTTTTAGCAATTTCGAAAATAGATAAGTTCAGTAAAGAGAAGGAAAATGTTGTCATATTTCACGCTTTTTAGCCAGCCTTGCACCAATGGCGAAACAATAAAGAATTCGTCCCTCGTCAATACATACACACATCCCTCCCCAAATTCCCAATTTCCCGAAGAACCCTAGAGAGATCCGGAACTCTCCCTCCGTTTTTCCCCACACAAAATCGGCCAACCCAAACCCTAAATGACCGCGAAATCTCCGCCGTACGGTTACGGCACCACCTCCGCCGGCTCCAGCGGTGGAGGACCTTCCTCCTCCGCCGCAATCGCTACAGCATTGATCGCACGCGCGAAGCAGACGACGCAGTCGGTGATCGCGACACTTCGGCCATGGCGAGAGCTCCTGGACATCTCGTCGTTCTCTCTCCCTCACTCCTATGACGAGGCCATGTCGCGCGTGAGACACAACCTCGGCTACTTCCGTGTGAACTACGCGCTCATCGTCCTTGCCGTCGTCTTCCTCGGCCTCCTCTATCATCCGATTTCCATGATCGCTTTCATCGTCGTCTTCGTCGGTTGGATTCTCCTCTACTTCTCTCGAGACGCCAACGATCCGATTGTGATCTCAGGTCGGGTCGTGGATGATAGGATCGTGCTTGGAATCCTCAGTTTGGTCACGATTCTGGCTTTGGTTTACACAGATGTTGGCGAGAATGTTCTGGTTTCGTTGATTGTCGGTGTGGTGATTGTCGGAGCTCACGCAGCTTTCCGGTGTACGGACGATTTGTTTCTCGACGAGGAAAGTGCCCGGCAAAGTGGGCTTGTCAACTCTGCCGTCGCCGGAAAACAGAGCACTTCAGGTTACTCTCCGATTTAAGTCGCCGGAAAAAATGTTGCTAATTTGGGTAAACTCCATCAAATTTTAAACTTCAAGGTTTTGCAAAATTTTAAACTTCAAGGTTTTGCTTGAGTCTGTGTTCCCTGGATTGAGGAGGGATGGGATTTGGTCTTCTGGGTGTTGTATTGTGATGAATTTGTGTGAAAAATTCTGGAAAAATTGTAACTTTTTCTTCCACTGTTGAATTGAACATTGCTGCTTCAATACATTTGCTTGGAAATGAAAAGGAGCGTCTCTTGGATTTGTCTTGAAAGTCATCCTTGTCTGAAACAACTCGATTCACGGTTCTGGGATCATTACACAAATCCAGAATCACAACAGAAACCATCGCCACAAATTATCATCAGATGGAACCAATCCACAGAAAACTCAACATTTGAAGTTCATATTTAAGTAAATCTGGCAATATCAACAAGATCTTGAACGAAAACCCAGCCATTGATATTTCATGGATTCAATGAGGGAAAATTTTCAGGGAGAACAAAGTGGATTTGTATATTCAAGAACTCTAGTCTAAACTCTCACAATATGATCAACTGCCATAGGACCATATCCAAACTAAACATTGTTGATGCATGACAAGTTTTCCTATAACCGCGATAGAAAGCCGAAAAAGAAGAATCCGAGAAAAAAAATACCGTGGGGAAAAAAAAACCAAACCGAGCTGAGTTCAGTCTTCTTCGAGATTGATCGAGTCTTTGAACTTTGCATACAAGATTTTCTTCAACTCTGCCATTTGTGCAACAATGGTTTCCTTCTCTTCCTCGAGCTTTTCAAGGTCCTTACTAGTCGCCTCTTTCATCTCTTCTATCCTCGTCTCTACCTCCTCCCTCGGCACATGAACAAAGACTTCTCCAATTTGAAACCGAACAATTTCCTCATCGGCAAGTATCAACTCGTTCCCAGCATCCTCCAGATTATCACATTTTTCCTGTTAAAGTAGGAAATGGCAAAATTTGAATAAACCCAACAAGAAACGATCATACGTAACCGAGAAACAAGTCAAGAACTATGGCATAGAACATGTAAAGAAAATATAGGCACAAAGCAACACATGTAAATCTTAATAGCCTGATTCGATAATCCACAAACGGACAGAAGCCCTAGAGGAGGAATACCCACAATGAAAAGTTTAATCAGAGGAAGTGTACTAAAGATCTCCATTAAGTGAATCGAAAGTGAACTTCAGTACAAGATCTTCCATTTTCCGAATAGAAGCATAAACTCCATCCAACACAGGTAACCACAACAATCCATTATCTTTTTGATGAATTTCATTTCATATATCCAAAATCGTTTGAAAGGTCTCGTGTTCTTCCAGACAATTTAGCAGCCGAATATCACATCCAGGTTTCTATATCCTCAATAAAGTGCTCGATTCCATAATAGAGCAGAAACAGTAACAAAAGATCAAATCAATTCAAACAATTAGATAGAAATCCTTGAACCGTATTCTCCAGGACACATTACTTGATTCTGCGAGCAGCCAAAACATTACCCAGGTTCCCATCCTCAATGTAGCATCTGATCCACTAAAAGAACAAATGGCTCATACACAGTGACAAAAAATCGAATCATCTCAAACAAAGAATCCCACTAAAAACCTTAGATTGGATCCCTTCTCAAAGAAAAACCCTCCAATTCAAGACATTCGTCTTGCTCACTCTCACGAATAGTTTGAAAGATACCCTAATTCCGAACCCAGAAACCTAAAAACCCTAAAATCGAAATCGAGCAATGGAGTGAAGCTAAACACGAAATCATCAAACCCGTTTGGAAAAAAAATACCTTGGAGGCTTTGATTTCGTCTTCGAGTTCATGGAATCTGTTGTTCAATCGGCTGAACTTGTTGATGTTCTGCTGATCTTCCCATGTCACTTCCGTTTCAGATCCACCTCCCTGCAAATCCAAACATTCATGAGATTAAAGAGTCGATAAGCCTCAGGAAAACGAAAAAGATGAAATTAATGAAAACAACGAAATGCACCAAACTTAACAAAAAAACGAAATGCACCAAGATTTTTTTTACCTGCTGCATTTTGTCTTCTTTTTTTTTTAATCTCACAGAAAAAAAATTCTGAGAAAAAAAAATGTGAAGAACACAGTGTGCAAGGTGAGGGAGAGGAGGCGGGGGCAAATGGGCCACACGTGCTTCTATATCATATGGGTTGGGCCTCGGCCCATTTCAATTAGTGTTTGGGAATTGTTAGTTGTTCAGGAACGAATTTGAATAATATAATGTTTAGATTAATTTTTATTTTTCTCGGATACAATTCGATCTGAATCTATCTGGAAAATCTGAGTGTTTGAACAATTTAGATCGAATTTGGATAATATAATATAAATTATTTTGTATTTTTAAGATTGGGATAAAATCAAATCCTAATTTTATATGGAATTTTTAAATAATTCGGTTCGAATTGTAATAATACAATTTGTATCTTAGATTTTTTATTAAGACTCGAATGAATGAATATATACGAATAACCAAAAATATTGTTATTTTACCATAATTTTAGTTTTGATATCTAAACTATTATAAGACCTACTTATTTAATTACATTAGATTTATTTATTTTTTTAAAAAGCCTAATCTATATCTTGGTTTGAGGCCTTTCTCTCTCACATCCTCTTTCTCTTCCTTGACGTTCTTTCTTCCCCCATTCTCTCTCGTCGTTTATTAATCTCTGAACATTCTAGAAAGAGGAGATTCATTCGCGATTGATTTCGGTCGAATATATATAGATATACATATATATATATATGTGTGTGTGTGTGTAACCGAAGTCATTCTACTACACATTTTCTTTATCTTAAATCTTAACAAAACATATTGCAAGAAGAAAAAAAAACTTCGTCTCCTTTTCCTTTTCTCATCCCGGTCCCTTAATTTTCAAAAAATTACATCTTTATCACGTAGGTATATAAAATTGATGCAAACATATCCCAAAGCTTTTTTTTTCCAGTTTGTCAACATTCTTTTGCACGATTTTGGGTTATAGAAGGTGGTTCATCTCGGGTTTGGGGATCATCGGCTGTTGATCGGAAGGTCGCAGATGCGTATTGAAAATCGTTGACGCTAACGATATCGGCATTATGCATAACTCTTTGGACTGAAGGAATTGCATCGCTGCACCGACTTCTTCTTCCATCAGTTTCGCAACCTGCTCTTCCGTACCATCGCCGGTCCATTTCTCCCACATCGGTTCGCTTGCCCCACCGTCATCCCCCTTGTATCCCAAAGCCGGAAAACAAAATCGAAGAAAATATATTTAGTTAAAAAATTCGATAAAATATGAACAATGACCACAGAACGCACAGATGATTAAATTCTGAAGAAGCAATCCTTATCTGCATACGTTTGATAGAATCCATAAAGTTGGGGTCTAATTGTAAAAAACATAAATTCTGGGTATAAACGACAAAATTAAGGTTCTCTTTTGTTATAAGATTATAGGAAGACAAGATCAAGTTATATATGGCTCCAAAGATTAGATGGCGAGAAAATCACAACACAAGATTTAGGTGTTAATTGCAACTTACAGGAGTATTGGGGCTAAAATATGGTTTATCAAAAAGTAAACTTTTTTTTAAAATTTAGGGTGTTAATTGTAACTTATAAGGAACCAAGAAAGGAACCAGGATTACTTGACCCATATAATTGATAAGTCATAACAAGATCCAACACCAAACAAGGAAAAAACAAAATGAATTCCTCTTCTTTCTTCTTCACCATATCAAGAAGCTTGGGGTTCAAATCGAAAAACATATCGTCAAATTCAGTAAAGAAACATGTAAGATCCTAAGACCCGAGTTTTTCGGGTAATCAGTCTCGTAGCGATAAAATCATATGATTGATTCGAAAGAGAATCGAGTTCAAAAAATTAGCGATAATCCGCAAACTAAAACATTATAGATACTATATTGTATCGATAAAAATAGAACGCTAAAGATTTCTTACCCAAAGCTAATCAACTTGGGTCCAAATTTTTTTCAAAACTTTGGTTTTCATGTCAGTATGCAGAATAAAAACGTTTAAAACCGGAAAGAAACGAAAATATTCGGCTATTAATAAAGAAAAAAAGGCTGGTTTTCAAGGTTAAGTTACCTTCACCGAGGATAATGGAACGCCGGCAACGAGCTGAGCCACGGCCCCGGTTGCACCCAATCTGCTCGTGCTCAAGACCTTCAAAAGAAATGTAAACCGGTTAGTGGTTAGCCATCGGTTCACTTTTGCGAGTGCATAAAAAGAAGAGAGAAAAAAAGGCTACCCATAAAGTTCTTATCAGCCAGAAACCCTAATATCTTACATGAAGTTCATGCATGCCGAAAGCAAGTACCTTTACTTGGAGACGAAGAAACTTAACGTAATCCACGATATCGTCAAGCATCGCCGCTCGATCCGTCTGCATAAGGGCAATGGCAAAAAGAAAGGATTGAACTTTGTTACAAAATCATAAAACCCACAAGTTTTTAAAAAACAAAAACAAAAAAAAAAAGGGTGAAGAATCGTAAGGACACGATACCTTGTTGCAAGTAGGAACCAACTCCTGCAATGCTTTCATTCTCTCGGCGATACGTTCTCTACGTAACTACATGGCAAACACACTCAAATCTCCGCCAAATTCTTGAATTCCGGATTCGGTTCGGTTTCTGTATATTCGTATTCGGGTTTTGTTGATAAAAATGCTAATTTTTAAAGGAAATTCTGTTTTTTTTTTAATGTTATTTTGTCCTAATTCTGTGTTCGATTAAAGTTTAGAATCTGATTATTTCAGTTTTTAGAAAAATAATCATTAGAAATTCAGTCGATACAAATGGTTCTATTTTGAATAATACTATATAATTATTCAGTCGAAATAATTATATAGTATTCAGTGTTGGGAATGGTTCTATTTTGGATAGCCAAAAAAATGTTAAATCATTAGAAATTCACATTACCCTTTCAGCTATACTGTGAGGATCAGTGGCTTGCCCCCGTCTCGCCCGTACACGTGGACGAATCGTCGGTTGATTTGCCGCCGGAGCGGCGGTTCCCGGCAGAGGGTGGCCGTGAAAATGCTGCTTCAAATTTCAACAAAAAAAATCACATAATCTGTTTTTTTTTTTAATTAAGAGAATAGTTTCATAGTCGATACAAATGTATCTTAAAGTACCACTCTCAAACAATAGTGGAATTCATAGTCGATCACGAAAGGAGACAAATTTATAGTGCATACAAAGAAAAAAAAGGAGGACAAAAAAGTAAATTTCCACATGAAAAAGCTGTGATGTGTCCTCCGTGGGGCACAAATGTCCATAAATAAATATGTACCTGGTGGAGTTGCGGCGGAGGCCGTGGACGGACCGCCGGAGATTGCAAATGTCCGTACGCCGGGAAATGCCCCGTCATCTGCAGAGTCTCTCTCTCCTGCAAAAAAATGTTAAGCGGGCTGACTGAATTACCCTCCCAGAACTGAACATATTACGAGAATGCCACGGCGGAAGAACAAGAAAGTGCTGCCAAAAGGCAAGAGACCATTTCAAGGAAAATGCAAACACGAGAGAAGAGATTCTCGATGGAAAAACCCTTTTCAGATTTCGATTCAGATTATTAAATAGTTTATGAACATGTGTGATATTAAATAAAACTTTTGTCCATATTTTTTTTAAGACTTACATTGATGATGGAAGTGGCATTGTCAGAGTCATTACTGTTGCCGACAGCGCCGAGGAGCCCATGATGTTCCAAGTTTAATCCAAGACCCATCATCCCTCCCATGCCCAAACCCCGGAAACCACCGCCGCCGGAGGCGAGCTGAAGCATCATGGGCATGGAGGAAGAGGAGCTGCCAATTTCTCCGCCTCTTCCGCCATAGCCAGGTGGTACGCCCAAGATCTGCTCAAAGAATTCGTCTCCGATCCCATCTTGTTTATGATGATTTCCCGCCATTGAATTTGGATGAGAAAATCTGCTCTGATGGTTTCAGAAACCCTAGAGATGGAACGAAAAGATCGGAGTTTGAATCTGCAGAAGTGGAGGCTGGAAGTTTTCAGCTGAAACCCAAGAAATTCATAAGAAACATGAGACTTCGAATCTATGGTTTTCTTCTATGAATTGTTTCAACAGAACCCTCCACGAGAAATGTAGAGGCTCGTGATCTTTATGGATCGGTTCTCAGTGGTGTGTTTAAATTAAAAAAACATAATTAATATAATATAATATAATATATATAGTATTATAGAAGTGAAGAAGATGGTGGGAATTGAAGGAATATATGTTTCAGAAGGAGAATTTTTGGTGGAGGGTATAAATAATAAATAAACGGAGGGATAAGGGGCAGAATGGGGATTTACGGGAAAACCGAGGGAGGGGTTTGGGTTTTGCTGGGTAAATGGGTGGCAGATCCGGAACCCGATAACCCGCAAAGTGGAACTGCGTGGGTTCCAATGACCATTTTATTTTATTTTATTTCTAAAAATATTTTTATGGCGAAATAATAATAATATGTTGTTTAAGAATTGGATTTAATTTACTAGATATTTTATTATTATCCTAATTTAGTTATTCTGAAAACGTATATAAAAAATGTAAGCTATGTTTTTTTTATAAAATAGATAGAATTAAATTATCTTAAAACAAATTGGCTTTAAATTTGGATTTGTAAAATAAAATTATCCCAAAAAATCACCTTTAACTTGAAAACCAGACTGTTCTAACATTTTTTAAATATCCAAAATTTAGATATCAACATATAAAAGTGAACTTCAAATCTTAATATTCAAAAACAGAATCAAATATTATAAACTCATCAAACATGCTACCGCCTTTATCTCCAGAATAAATTATCCAAAACAATTTTGTCTTCTTCTGTCGCATTATTTTTCTTTCTAAAATATAACCAAACTGAAGGGTCGAAATGTTTCCCGTAAATAAAATGCTAACAACGGTTAATTCGGATTTTAAAACAAAAGACTAATTGGTTGGTGGGGCTTTATGGCCATGGGTAAGGGTGTTTTGACTTGTGAGTGCCTTAATTTAATAAATCACTAAAGGATGTTTCTTAATAGAAAATTAAAAAGAATTTTGACAATTGGAGTGGTATTCCCTTAATTAATTACTCGCTTTTTAAAAGTTATGCCGAATAATTCATAAATATTTAAAACTATTATTAAAAGTTGGTAGATAATCCATATATATTCCTAAAGGAGATGATTTTATTCAACGGCAATCATGATAGCAAAAAGTCCATTATAGTAAACTATATTTTGTTATTGGAATATTATAATATCGAATATCCCATCCTCTTTTCACTTTTAGTTTGTTATGCCATCTATAAAATTAAATTGGGTTGGTAAATATAAATGCATTTATAAAATTCTGTCTTCTACAAGATTTTTCTCTAGAATTTGGAAAAGTTTTATAAAAATATACACAGAAACATTAGAAAAAGCAAAGCGGAAAGAAAAGTTCCGCGTACAAAGAATCAAACACAACATCACTTATAATTCGCCCATACCCCAATTGTTTTGTCCTCTTTCTTAAATGATTTTTCAATTGCTGAAAAAGAAAAAGGTAATTTTTCACTAAAATAGCTAATTTTCTTTTTGTAAATGTTTATCACTTGTAAAAAAATTAATCTAATAATTAAATAATATATAATCTTATTCAAATTAAATTAGATATAAAAGTTGATTTGATAAATATTTTTTAAAAAATTAAATTAAAGGAATTGAAGAAAGTATTAGAATAATTGGAAAACTTTAAAATATTTTTTATATGAAAATAAATATAAATCAAATTTGAAAAAAAATATATATAAAAACTGAAAAATATATTTAAAAAAAATAAGTTTGAATATAATACTAATCAAATTTATAAAAATGTCCACCTATATTTTTCAATGTTTATCATATTTTTCTTTTCATATTCTTAAAATCAAAACTTTCTTTTGTTGCGTAGTCTATTTAGGTAAGAAATTGTAACATGTAGTAGGTAGGGGACCATCTCAAAGGTAGTGTTATCCAATTTTGGAAATAATAATGACTCTGCCTGAATATCACAAAATTTGACATTATTTCATATTATTTTCATAATGAAAAATGTTTGCAAGTGCTATGACCTCCAATCTCACGTAATTTCCCGTCCGAATGATTAATTTTCTCGAAAATAGCGTACTGAAATCTAATCCAGCAGAATTAAAATCTATTTATATTTAAATTAAGTTTAATTTAGATACTCAATTAAAATAAAAAAAATTTATAATAAAATTGTGTTTAAAATAAATGAAAATTTAATACAAAATCAAATAGATATGAATTTAAAATATATTAAATTAGAAATAATTAATTTAAAATAAAAACAAATTTTGAAATCTTGATCGACCCCATTTTCACGACCGCCTAGCCTAGTCTAACCGATCGGGCCCAAAAAATAAAGACTCGAACCTTAAAATATAAGTCCATTAAAAATTCAAGCTTTCGGACCTCGGGCCACAGGACGGGCGGGCCGGAGCGGTCAGGCTTTCGAACCCAAAACTTAGAAGTCATTGACAGCAAATCTCAAAAAATCCCAAATCAAGAATATCACATTCCCAGAAAAACAAAAAACGATGACGTCATCCTCAAGCTCCGATGACCTCAGTCGGCTCCTCCGCCATGGATTCATCCGCCGGCCTCTCGACCTTCACGCCAACGTCCTCCGAGTAATCTCCATGGACCTGCACCCGACACACAATTTATCGATGATTCCATCGTTTTCGACGATTCGTGACCAAAACTTTCAGATTATAAGATGAAAATTCAGTTCACCTCCATCAATTTGCCGAGATCGAATTTGGGTGCCTTCAAAATCTTGACTTTCCTGATGAAAACGTTCTGGAGAGGGTATATGCTCTGTGTGGCCTTCTCTATCTCCCTACCAATGGCCTCGGGGATGAACTTGGCCACGAGCTCTTTCAAGTCGCATGATGAAGCTTCCTTAACCATGATTTCCCTCATCTTTCTACGGATCTATACGACATGTATTACACGGGTCAATGGACATATCGATTCAGACGTGGCTCGATCATGAGAGGGAGAGAAATGGTAATGGTACAGTACTAACCTGGCGAATTTGGCTGGATTGAGCATAGCAGGTTCTCTTGACTTGGTTTGCCCGCCTCTTGGTGAAGGCGATACAGAACAATCTGAGGGTGTAGTTATCAGTGGTTTTAACATCAACATGAGCCTCGATAAGCGTTTGCCACTTCTTCACCAAGGACCTAAGCTTGTCAGTGGTGAAGTCCATTCCCTATGGCCATTATGAGAACAGACCAGTTAAGTTGGTGCATTGGTCAGAATGAGAAAAGATAAATTCTTTTCATGGTAAGATGCGATTTGTTACCCAGAAGTTGGTGAGGACGTTTCTTCCCTGAACATCCTCGGCTCTGAGACGGATCTTCCTGTAGGCGTTATCCTCATCACCTTGAAGATCAGCTAGAGAAATCTCAAAGACTCTGTGTTTGAGCCCCTCAGATGCAATCTGAAAGAAGGTGAAACAGGTAAAATACAGATATATCGCAAGTGGTGCAATTACATTCCAGAATGCCCAGTGATATTCAGGAAAATCATTTGGCACTGAAAAGTAAAAAGGGTAAAGCATGTGTTTGTTTGTTACTTTTAAAATCACAACACGACACCAAGTCAAGAACAGAAACAATCACATGTTTGAAAATTATTTTAAAGAATACCCAATGATCCTCGTGCATATCAAATAACACAAAGTAAATTAACATTCCAAAAGACAAGGTTAATGCATTTTCGGTTGCTTTAAGTTAACGTCATTAAACACTAATTTACAAAGACAGAGAACCCATTCGGCAATTGGCATTAGAGTATGCAGCAGAAACCGATATTACTTATGCATCCGTAAGTCTGTAACAACATCGGATGCATTAAAAATTCAGCTAATCCCAAGAAGTCCAACACACCTCACGTGGGAAAATTCACCAATACAAGACACAGTCAGTCACACAGGAACAAAAATCTTAATTGTACCTTAGTACCCTGTGTTCTGGAGACAAGGGTCTTCCCCACATTCCTGACACTGAACACAGATGGTGCCTTGATGTCATACCAATCCTTCTTTGAGAAAGGGTCAACTCTGAAACATATGGACGAATGGAGAACATGAGATTACTAAGTTCAACAAACAAAAATCATGAGAATAGGTAACAATTCAGAAATTGTAACCACCACGATCTAAGGCTCAAAATCAAATATATTCATAAAATAAAGTACCTAAGATTCAAGAAAGAGTATTGAACTTAATAGGTAGAAGAAGCGACATTTAATTTCAAGAGTATATAAACAGGGTATTCACATGTCAGAAATTTAGGACAGGTCCAAGCAATATACACAGATTTGTTATTCATAGACAGAAAATCAAAGCATTCATAATCCATTCGTTTCGCATTGGCAGAGATTTATCTTTCCAACTCATTCAAAGATTAAAAAATCAACACATTAATCGAAAACTATAACTTTTGTTTCGTAATACAATTGTCGATAAAAAAGAGAGTCTAAAATATTTCACTCACATCTTCTTCTTCCCTCCTTTCCTGCCCTTTGAGATCCTCTTGTTCTTCCTGTGAATAAAACGAGATCCAAAAATCAAATTAAAAAAAAAAAGATAGCATACAGATAGAAAGTAGAATTGCATAGAAACAATGGATCGAAATCATCCATTCAAGTATCTAAAAGAGAGGACGACGAAGTTACCCGACCGCCATTGTTGCAGCTGCGAAGGAGAAACCCTAAAAGTCTGAGCTTCTTCGTAAGCAGAGAGCAGCTGCGCCTTAGGGTTTTGTTTTGTTGGCTTTAGAAATATTTTTTATTATTAGTTAAATAAATCTAAATGAAAATACTTTGGGCCGTGGCCCAATAATAATAATAATAATAATAATAATAATGTAACAAAAAAAATAGTATTCATAGCTTATTAAACAAACTACACTCGGAATCACAACATGACTTATTAGAATCGATCGGACTTGGACTGATTATAAGTTCATGTTCCTCCGGTTAACAAATCATAACCGAACTTAACCGGATCAATTAATACAAATAAAAAACAAGCGGTTCGGTTCAAGAGAAGAGCGTATGTCAGATTAACCCTACAATACAACTTGAAGTATTCCTCCTCTAAAACCTTAAACCAAGTCAGGCATAAACCAAAACCAACTCTACCAGAAAATAACCGAACTAAACCGAGAGACTATACCGAGCCCTATGAAGATTAGTTCCTACTGTTGAACATACAGAGACATGTAACTCTTTAACAGTCTACTTGGCGATTTTTGGGTAAGTTCGGTTAGAAACGAACCAACGGCAGCGATACCTAAGGTGAGATCAGAGATCAGTCGCTGTCGGGCTTGGCATTGGCGTTCTCCTTCAAGCTTTTGGCGATCCAAATCGCGGTTTCTCGGGGCGAAACCTTCTCAGGACCGAAAGGCTTTAGCAGCACGTTGAGTTCGTCGTATCTTTCCTCCACTAACAATCTCGCGCTGAACTCGAGTAGACCCTCGAGAGCTTCGGCCCGTTGCCTATACGAAGTCGGGTCAAACCGACGTCTTCTAGTACCCGAGGATGCAGTACATGTAGTAGTCCTGCTCGAGGCACCAGCCGTTGCATTCTGATCAGACGATGACCCATCACTCCCGTTTTCTCCTAACATATCGAGTTGGATTCCTTGCCAGGTCGTGTCTGTAATTCCTGACTTGCACGTCTGAACCGTGCATTTGTCTTTTGTTATAGAGCGGTCGTTCACAATGTCGCCTCGTGGTGACCCGTTTGAGCCTTTGGACGATGTTTTCCTATGCGTCGGTAGGAGGAATAAAATGTCATGTTCGTACAAGGCTAAAGGGAAAACGGCTACCTTGTCGACCCGTGGCTCGTTAATGGAAACTTCCGGGGACTTAACGTTCTGTAAGATGCCGAATGTAGGGTTATAACCCACGGTTTCTTGGGAAGTCATCTTCCTCGAGAGAGGTAGAGAAGCTCGACGAGCTAAAGGAGTCATCTTCTTGGTGGTACCACCCGAAACCGGGTGCTGAAACATAAACCAACAGAACATTAGAAAACCGACAGGTAAAAATCTAAGCCTGGACTGCGATATTCGGGTGAAAATTCGTTATCATTACCAAGTCGCGATTCCTTCCCGTTTCCCCGAATCTTCTTGCCGACACCGGAGTCTTTTTCGGGGCGTACTTTGAGGCCTTGGAAACACTGGAAGCAACAGGCTTACATATAACTGTTCCATCGTCGCTGCTTCCGACGGATACATCCGAGATCCCACGACTGATACATTTGATAGACGACATGGAATCTTCCTCGGCCTCGGGGTTCAAAGCTCTGTCGTTCCTCAGCGACGAACGCCGTCTTTCCCGAAAGGGAGGACAAGTAACAGCGGGTTCAGAAAACCGCGTTTTTTTAATGACCTTCTTGGATTCCGGCCAGTGTGGTGGAAGCGTGTTGCGTCTCGGGTTATTGAGCCTCAGATTGACATCGAGAACGTAAGGCTGAAGATGCGGATGTCTAAGCAAATCCGAGGCCTACAATAATCATATTCATTGCACAGCTAACTAACACAAGCAACGGAAATTCCAGTTTACAAGCAATGTTTAGTGTCTTGGGTTGGTAAAGTTATACGTACAGATGGCCTGAGCTCCGGGTTTTTCCGCAGCATGCTTTTGACGAGACCTCGGCTGGAAAACAAAGGTTCGGAAAACGGCATAAGGAGAGAGTTGCAAGAACGAAGAAACTCGCGATATCTAAATTATGGACTCACAATGAACCCGAATATTTTGTCGGAAGGGGAGCAACGATCGACTTGTTGATCTTGTTTATAAGCGCTTGCATATCCTAATCACCGTAATAACGACAAAAAAGTATTAAGAATGGCTTAGAAATGGTAACAAGATCAGGTTTTCTTTCGGGTTATATGATAACTCACGAATGCTTTAAATGCCGGTTTAAGAGAAGTCATCTCATACATACAGCATCCTGCAACAAAAACAGGAACCGGAAAGTTAGATCGCCAGAATCACAATCACGGTACGACCATTTTTCAGCCCTTCGGATTAATCTATCGGTTGAGATGAGAGAGATAACGAGAATTAGATCAACGGTCTACATAGCATACGTTGTTTAGCTCGCTAAAACATACTATATAATCTCCTACCATATGGAGAACGACGTACCTAATGACCAGATATCGGATTTCGAACCGTAAGGTATATCGGCCAGAAGCTCCGGACACATATAGCTTGGAGTCCCGACAACCTAAAATTCGAAGGAAAGAAGAGATTCTCGGAAGGAAACATGGAAGAAAAACAAAGTGGCAGTTATGTAAATGGATGGAACCGAGTAACTCACAGAGGAAGTGAGATCATCAGATGTTAGAATCTTTGCAAGCCCGAAATCACCTGCATAGGAATCAATCACGAGTCATTAAGGATATCGGGAGTTTCCGGAAAGAGATTTACAGAAGAAGGCTCGAAAGAAATGCTCACCGAGGCGTATATTTTGGTCCTTTGTCAAGAATATGTTAGAACACTGGATAAACAAGAAACAAATTTATTAGCAGATAGAAAATCCGAGTTGTCATGTTCGGGTTTTTGAGATGAGAACCCGGGATTGGTACCTTGACGTCACGATGAAGAATATGGTTAGAGTGTAAGTACTCGAGGGCCATCAGAAGCTGAACAAGCCACCTGCATAGTTTCTGAGGAAAAGAAAAAACACCGAAACAAGATTTAGACATACATAAAAGTGAGGGGGGGAAAACTTCCCGAATCACATTTTACAAACCTCTTCCGGAAAATGGGTACCGTTGGCTTTATTGACAGCTTCTGCCCTGTAAACATAACAAGACGGATGATTACACGAGAAACGATGGAAAAGCGGGGAAATAAAAGGGAAAAGGAGAGCTTACATGTCTCCTCCTTCGCAATAACCTATGATAATACACACATAGCAACCCTACGAAACAGCCGAGTAAAAGTTATAAACGGAGATTTTTCGAACCACAATGAATGAAAACGATACGAAAACTCAATAGATTCAAAGATCTGCCTTACCTTTTCGACCCACGAGTCTTTGTACTCCACGATAAACGGATTACGCATTTTAGAGATGAGCTCCATCTACATTAACACGGGAAAGTAACGAAACTGTTATAGCTGTATTAGAGAGCATGAAATGGATCACGTTTTTTCATTACCTCCTGACGAGCAGATCTTCTTGTCCTGTCTGTCTGTCGGGCAAGACGGATTTTTTTCAAGACATACCTAATGAAACCAAGGAATGATTCAGAATCTGTTGGTATACCGAGTTAAAAAAAAGAGCGAAAATTTGCTTAGCATACTTTTTCTTTTCGTGCTTATGTCGCACTAGAAGAGCTGAACCGAAAGATCCTTTCCCAATCTGCTCGAGAATCTCGTAATGGTCCATTGGTAAAGAGCCCCCCCAAGTATCTTGGTTATCTGCAACTTATTACTACCTGAAACGAAACATAAACACGTAAAGTTAGGAAATCTTCTTAGTTTCAAGAAAACAGACAAATGAAAACCAAGATTTGCCCGAGACACACGACATGTCCAAGAATGTAAAACTGAAAGGCAAGTCACACAAAACCGTGCAAGTAAACTAAATCTTTGATAGAAAACTGGTGAAAAGAACAGCAAACAACCATTAGATGTGACTTACAGTGTATAATCTCATTAGAGAAGAAATTGACTTCAGAGCAAGGAGTCAAATAACAGTTTTAACTTCAGAAAAACCTAACAACTCGTCTTACAAATACACATGCCCACACCACACGCATATACGTACACACATTTACGCATATATGCAAAGACACTAGAACAGTTGCAGAAAAGCATCCTGCATCATCAAAACGCTAAGAATATGCAATCAAAAGATACAATCGACATGAAAATATCGTTGTGCAAGCACATCTGAAGTTCGACATCACCAGAGAACAAGAATCATCCCCAACGTTCATAGTCTCATTTCGTGAATCAGCTTTTGAGTGTCCCAAAGCACTGTCATAAAATGCTCGAAGTCCTGTTTCTTGACATTTTAATCTAGTTCAAAAGTTCAAGTCAACGACTTTCAACCACAAATCTAAACGCTTTCTTTTATTTTCTTCTTGTGTTTTGCCTGGATCTGATGTTTATGACCGAGATTCGAACTAAGATGCTCGGTCGTAGTAAAAAAAAAATTCAAACAAATTTATTACAGACACAAGAAGGAAACATCATTTCTTGATTGTTCTTGTCCAAAACAGAGAGAATCCGACATTGATAATGCACAGATAGTGACCATGAAGAAATTGAAACTGGCTTCTAATTCCCAGCTAAAAATTATGCAGAATCCAGAGATCCCAGAGATAGGCCAAGCAAACAAACCCTAAAATGCAACTTAGCATTTACAAAATCCAAATGCAAGAAAACGAGAGAAAAATCGCAAATTTCGAGCCCTAGCGATAAAAACGAACCAAACCCAGAAATCCAAGAGCAGAAAAGAGAGATACTGACCTATGAAAGCTAACTAAGAAACACAGTGACAGCGTGAGACAGAAGAGAGAGAGGGGGCGGGGAGAAAGAGAGAGAATGATCAGAAGGAGAGAAATGGAGGCTTGAGCAAGTGGGGAGAGGCTCCGAAACGACAGCGTTTAGGGAGCATTAGGAGAGGAGGAGGAAGAAGAAGACGGAGAAGCATTAGCTGAAGTTTCTTCTTCTTCCTCTCCATGAGTGTGACTGTGTGGAGAGATAGAGGAAAAGGACAAATGTTTCTAGAGAGAGAAAGTGGGAAGAGATTAGAAGACAGCAGATTTAGTGCAATTAATGGTGGCTTTTTAGAGAGAGAAACGCGAATTGAATTTGCTAAATTATTACTATTTATAAAATTTATTTTATACATTTTTGGGGGTCAAAAAAGTATATAAATGGACCACACATGAATCTCACAGAAAGAAATTGAAGCAAAGATCATATTGAAGAAGCGAACTCAGTCATGGCTTTTGTTATTTTTGGTTAAAAGAAAGAAAGTGAGGTCAGGCTGAAAATAAATATAATAGGAGAAACTGCAAAAATTCAATATTTAAATGGAGATAATTAAAGTATAATGCATTTTATAAAAACAATAATTAATTGTATTTATATTATAACAATTTTTCAGTTTTTCTTATTAAAATTCTATTAAAACTTATACTATATATAATTTATTTGATAATCAATAAATTATTAATAATAAAATAATTTTCAAATCTATGAATATAAATCTTATTTTTGTCTTTTAAGCATTTAAATAATTATCAATCAACCAATAAATTTTTCATTTAAGCAAAATTTTATTTTTTGAAAAATCAGTTATTTTTTCTCTACGACCTTCGAACTCAAATTTTGGAAGAAAAAAATCACTAAATTTTATTCTAAAATTTAAAAGAAAATGTATGTTTTTACCGTGAAAACTAAAACAAGAATCTTCAGATATTTTCTTTTTCATCATAAGAGTTGAAATATATAATTGTTTTCCGGCAAATTTCAATGGGGATCTTTCATTCCAATAACTATATATAAAACCATTTTATAATCGATATTAAATCCTCGAACTATTTCAAAAAGCATGTAAAATCTTTTAACGGGAAAAACAAAATATGTGCTGGTATATAATTAATTCAAATGCATGTGTATTTGTGTAAAATAAATTTTGAATTTCTTGAATTTTCTAGTTTTATGACTCTGGATAATAGGATAAAATATGTAAAGAACGAAATCAAAAGTACTATTACCATTTATTTATTTATTAAAAAAGTTTCCGATTTTAGGATATTAAAAATAATGGTTGAAAATAGACAGAATGCGACATGGTGGGGCCCTCAGTTACTTCGCTTGACCTGAGAACCTTGTTGCAATACGTCTTCGATCACGAGGGTTGTGCCCGACAAACCTTACGTGAAATGTTCTAAATACCCTCATTAGATTCTCAAAATCTCCAAAAAGCCATACCATTTATTCAGTTTGATTTGATTACTAGGCTTGGGAATATGCTCATTGATCTGGTAGGGTTGTAACGTACCAAACAAAATAAAACCGATTAAATTGTATAAGTACACTTTCAGTTTTTATTAATCCATTCCATACGAATAAAAACTGGTGAATTAAATCTGATTTCAAATTATCCGGTTTAGTATTAAAAAACTAAACAAACGATAGATTGATGTGTGCGTATGTATGTATGTATGTATGTATGTATGTATGTATGTATGTATGTATGTATGTATGTATGTATGTATGTATGTATGTATGTATGTATGTATGTATGTATGTATGTATGTATGTATGTAACACTATAACAAATTAAATTACATACCAATCCAAACAGATAAGAAAATTAAAGAAATCCCGCGTAACTTAAACTAAGATCCAATGTAAATTTAAATCAAATTTAATTATGCATAAATCTATTAAATTTAAAAATATGGACAATCAGAACGCTAAACATATAAAATAAAATTATATTTTCAAATGAATAGAAATCTTTATAAGAAATTAATTATAATGTTTCAAATCATTATTGTATTCTTTTTTTACCGCCTTTTGAAGTTACAACTACATTTCGTCTAATAAAAAATAAGAAGAGGAAAAACATGCGAAAAAGAATTATATCGTAACCTTTTCTGTGCAGAAGTCATTTTTTGTCATTTTATTTTGAAAGGTTGGCACAAAAACATACAATTTCTTGAAAATTTCAAAAAAGTATATAATTTCTTCCTTATAAATAATTACATTCTTCAAATACTTAAACAGTATATAAATTTTAAAAATATTATCAAGTTTCAATTAAATAATAATTAATAATATTTATCCAAATCCGTCGGATATAACTTGACACTTGCGGAGTCATTTCAAAGAATATATTGTTTTTGGATCCTTGCTTTGATTAATTTGAGTTTAGAGATTTGGAAAATGGTTACACGTGGTTCTGTTACAAAACAAATTTCAATCGAAAAATAACGCTTATAATTTAGGACATATATTTTCAGTTTCTCTTTCTTTATTTATTAAAAAAAAAAGACTGGTGCATCAGTGAACCATGTACAAACCGACGCCACATTCACCCGGTTTAGCATCTAAACCGAGTTTATTAGTTATAAAAGGAGGAGATGGATGCCCTAATTTCCTAATTTCTCTACCATTTTAGAGAGAATAAAGAATAGAGAGAGAGGGGGGGGGGGGCGGGG